AATGTATACATACATTAAACATCTAGGTTACATATATAACAAGCCCGACTGCATTATAACACAATGTACATATTTCAATCTTGAATCCTGTGTTAGAGCTCTGCATTAAGCATTCGATTTAATACTATTTAACACATTCTTATTGCTATATAAGTTATCTTTTATTTCACGGCTGAATAATTCCACTCGTCTCTACTCATTGGTGAGTGACTATTTAGCCAAATTCACCGTTAGTCACATTAACCCACCTGGCTTATGGTTGTGAGTAACTTTTAAACCCTGGCTCGTATATAGTTACTTTCACCAAAACGCATTTACACATGACCACAGACCACATTGTGTTCTGCTGTTAGAATCACTGTGCAATTATATACTGTTACGGAGTAACATGCAAATTATTTTCAGTACCTAATGATATTTTTATTTTTAAATATGTTTGTAAAAGGGTCTGATTAAATGAGGCTTTGGTTATAGATATTCTGTGTATTCCCAGCTACTACAACTTTTCATGATTAGACTTATCTATGGCAGGAATTCCATGTACAGGCTCAAATCAAATAATTATTGAAAGTGATTTAGTTAAGAGACAACAAGCTGCAGTAATTTTAGGCCACAGTGACTTATGCCAAGTTAACTTACATTTCTAAATTTTTCAATCCACTTGTGACTTCAAAACTCAATGTTTAATGAACATAATCCATAAATGTTAGCTATATATGGTGGTTTAAATTCAGTCGTCTACAATGAGTTACTGCAGGGCCACAAGCTTTATTTGAAAAACTTAAGAAATTAATTTATAAGCTCCTCAAATGAGAAATATATAAAACATATGTAATACAGACCCTCCTCACTTACCAACCGGCTTCTGTTTCTATGACCCGTTCGTAGAACAAATTGGTCGGAAAGTGAGGAGTTAAGAGATTCCCTGAACATAGAGGAACGCAACAGTTCAGGGAATCCCTCTAATCTATGTATGGGGAAATTTCCCTGAACATAGATTAAGGGATTCCCCGCTCTGCTGTGCATGTCTGTGGACATTTCCCCCGAACAGAGATTAGAGGGATTCCCTGCTCTGTTGCATTTGTCTATGTTCGGGGAAATATCCCTGAACATAGAAGAACACAGCAGAGCAGGGAATCCCTCTAATTCTGAAGACGGCTTGCACTTACCACCCCGCGAGAGAGCTGGTCGTAAGTGCGAGCCGTCATTAAACAGGTAGGTTGCAAAATGAGGACCACCTGTATATAAAATGAGTTTTGACAAACAATACTTTGCAGTATAATTTTTTTATTTTAAACCTATGTATTCCTCATATAAAGTGGAAGATGGCGCTCTATAATTTTGTTTCTTTTTCTCGGTGTATAATGCGATGAAATATAGTCAACTTAAAAAGAAAAAATCGAAAAAGAAAACCTCCTTAGGCACAAAAATAAGTATAAAAAAACCAAACAAAAATAAGTTAAAAGTTACAATAAAAAAATGAATAAATGAATAAACATGGAACATATAATTCATTAAGGTTTTTTGTTTTTTTTTACAACTTTTGTATTTTTTTTTCTGAGCACATTTATTAGAGAGCTTTATTAAAAATTGAGGTCCATTATTGTGCGTACTTTGAAATGGTATAGAAAGCATATCTAAGGCTGCATTGTATTCATCCTATTCTATATACCTGTGTATGTAAGGAATGTGGTGACACACAGGGCTGTTATATGTGGGTTGGGTTTCTTGACTGCTGTCCAAATAGCTCATAGCATAACTCACTTCTTTCTCTGAATGCAAGACCAGACTATAAGTACAGGTTAATCTGCAGCTGCAGTACCACTTCTCTTTGGTTCCTACAGACAGGTGTACAGAACTAACACCTACAGTAAGTCTCGATGGATAATTATTCATTCCCTAATTTCATTTCATTTTTGTATTTTATTGAAATCAGCCATCTTTCCCTGGTATATGCAGTCAGGTGGATCAACTGGATTACCAGATTTTCGTAATTTTTTTTTTTAACTGTTTTGATTTTTTATTTTTTTTGGGTTATGTTTAACAATTTTGTAAATCTTTTAAATAGTAATTAGCTACTCTAGGGATAAAAATGGAAAAAAATGGCAACACATTTTACAAATATATTATATTTAACACATTTTACCATTGCCTTTTTCTTTGCATAGGCAAGTTAATCATAGGTGAAATTTGGATTGGATTTCATTTATTTTTATTGCCTTCTAATTATATTTTTATTATTGGGTCTATATATAAGATATATATATATATTTATATATATATATATATATATATATATTTAACTGGATATGCTATAGATATACTGGCATGAATTCACAGTTTAAGATATTACATTCTAATCAAACTGGATAGCATACAGACTTAATATGATTGGTATGTGATTTACTATGAAATCCCTATAAAGTTGGAGAGGTAAGCTGAGGCACCAAGTCGGTTTTTGAATCACTTTTGCATTTTTGGGGACTCTATAGGGGTCTTTCACAAAAGGTATTTGGTTGCTTATTTGTGTTGTTTTTTATGTTCATAATTTAGGGTCTCACTATGCAGGTTCTTTAAATTTGTTTTGAATGTATTATCTGTGCAGATAATATTGACAAGGCTGAGAGGGATATGAGTTGGTGATCAGCAATAGTCCAACCCTTTCCGAGAGGAAAATACTAGATCAATAATATTGTTTGAAGAGGTAAAAAAACGAGGCGAGCTCAGTAGCGTCACATATAGCACTGAAAAAGCTTGTAGTCTACATAACTCATGAAGCTCAGTCAGCCATAGGATGATCGAGCATCGTAGGCTGCATGACTCACAAACATTTGTAGAGCCAAGTTTAGATACAGCTGGTCTAAGCCTTTTTTTTTTTTACATTAATTGATGGTGGCTTTGATGATGGTAACAGTGGGTGTAGTCAAATTTCTCAAAATGTTTGAGATTGAAGCAAAAGATTGTCAAAACCTAATTTCATTCTTAAATTTGAAATGATAAAAATAACAAAACAATGTTTTGCTCAGATCAATATCATTCTCAGTAAATTATGTAACTATTGCCCTGTGAATAACTCATGATATAATCTTCTGTTCAGCCTTTAGCATCACTGCAGAGTGTCATCCAATGCATTTTACATTCATACAAAGAGAAATGATAGTAAATGTGTAGTCCTCAAGGCATATATAACAAAGGTAAACAGATATGTCTTTCTAGTCATAAAAATGCAAAGAGCATAATGAAAGCTTTTATCAGTAGTACATTGGTGCATTTATAAAACGGAAACATATTGTGATACACTATTACGAAATAACAAGTAATCATGTCAGCAAAAATGACACTCTATGTATTGAGAACCTTGCTTGAAAGAGCTTCCAGTCTAGTAGGAGTAGTAGCTGTGAGAGGACTAGCTTGTGGATGGTGTCATGAACTCAATGCTAAAATTCAGAACTTGGGAGCAATGTTAAAAAAAAACACTATTGAAGTTCATTACGTTCATCAGAAAGATGCTTAAAAGTGGGTCAGTGATGGAAACAGGTGATGCCCAGGATAACTTCAAGGGTGATGTCCAGGATCTTTGATGTCCTACTTTCAGAATTTGTCCTTTAAAAAAGTATTTATGTTGAGGCATCTTCAACAGAAAGGTCAACGCTAGGTGGGAGCATATCGCAGTTAGGATTCCAATGCGGTATGGTCCCATAGGCAAAAAAACCTACAAATGCAATGCATGCCGTAATGCTGCACGCATGCATGCTAAGACCCTCTACATAATCTTATAATGCGGGGGAGAAATGTCTGAAAAGGAACAGAATTTGAATTTTTAAGTGTCACAAAGAGGGGTGGACAAATATTGCTGTTGACTTCAGGAATGTGGATTTATTCCACCTATAAAACAAATAAAAGAAATAACGTGTTTTTCTTTTTCAACAGAGAAAGGAACCAAAGACTGTGGGACAGGAATGATGGGGGGGAAAGAGGCGCTGTCGTTCCTGTTTATAGCAGGCTTCCTGCTTTCAGGTAAATTATTAATGCGATGCAGGAACACATTTTTTTTATTGAGCAAATGGGTGTTATACACTATAGGCTATTCCGGGGCTCTCTTCTAAAGTCCAGTGGAATATTTGGGAACCTATAGAATGTTCTCGCTGATTGTTCCACTTCTAGAACTTTTCCTACACTGGTGTGCAAAGTTATACCTTTACACCTAGGTTTGCCTGTGGTTGGATGGGACTTGGTGGTCAGTGAGTCACAATCCTTGATGATAAAGTTAGTAAGTTAAGACAGACACTTCCCCCACTTATCCCTCAGCAAGCTTAAGTTGGCACTGATTGAACAACCATTTAAATACTTCTTCAACATGTCTGACAAACTAGCAATTAATGAGTGGTATTCCTTATCCTTTTACTTGAGTACCAAGAAAATGGGTCTTGGCCAGAACTGAGCAATTAGACCAGGGTTGCCCAATAGGTAGATCACCAGATGTTATAGAACTTCAACTCCCATGATGCTTTGTTATTCTAGAGGCATTCTAAAGACAAGCAAAGCATAATTGGAGTTGTAGTTCTACAACATTTGTGGATCTACCTATTTTGCAGCCCTGATTTAGACCCTTGGAAGATGATGATATCTTTCAGCGAGGCACATAGCAGATCCCCATCGCCTATACATCAGTTTGGCAACAATACTAAAGTATTTTTCTTTTTATTCTGTATTTGCAGGTCACGTTAATGCACAGGTATGTTTTATTCTGTTATCATAGTATTCTGTTAGAGCACTTTGTTAATTGTTATTGCATAGATATGTAATATAGCCTCTGGTTACATTCTATGAAATGCTTGCAATGTTTTTTTGTAGTTAAAAAAAAAATAGATCCCCAATCTGCCCCAGGTACACTGGCAAACATACAAAAACTATAGGAATTTGTCCCCACCTTCGCTTAAAATGCTAGGCCACATTCTTAGGCGTAGGTGGAATAAAAAAAAATATTATTACAAAAAAGAAAATTCTGCAGTATGATAATGATAAATTAGAAAATTTTCCTCCCAAGCAACATGACATATAAAAACCACATGATCTGGTGACATTCTCCTAATTTTTTTGGTATTCTTTTTTTTTAAGTGTTTTTTGATTTCCATATAAATGTGGGGACCTGCCAATTCTCTTCTATTACTCTTAAAATCTCTTAATAGTTTCCTCTATATCCGCCATTATATTTCTCTTTTCATTTTCTTTTCCCCACCAATCAATAATCCATCCTTCTCTTCCCTTTTCCACTTCAGAAGTACAGCAAACCTAAATTTATTAGAGCCAATACAAAGGATGCAAGATTAATTTCTCTTTTGGATAATTATGTTATCCTTTTCATTTCCAATTCCATCTATCCTTCTCAATCATTAATTTCGGACTAGGTGCCATCTTTTCCGTGTCCGATACTCTCCAACTGGTCGGAGCCATGATACTTTGTACCTCAGTTTTAACATCAGTGCCTCTACTCCTAATAATCTGTATGATAACACTGACAGATCACTATACATCTGGCTACAATCTGCCATACTACTAGAAGGGGCTCAGAGAGGTTCTAGAATGCCATAGATATTCCAGAATCCGTAACAAGAACCCCCATGCGTATAAAAGGATAGATACCTCAGAGTAATTTGACTATTTCATACCCTTGTACATAAATACAAGTCTTGGCATTTTAACTTTACACTTATAGCTATAAAATATGTTGTGCTGTTTATATAAACTTCAAAAGAACAATGTAAGATGAAAAAGATTTACATCAACTAATTAAAGGTTACTTAAGATGGATTCAACCATCATAATGATTAGAGTCCACTGTAGTGGTTACAGAATTATGAGTATTCTGGTGCCATTTCTTGGTATGGGGAAAACTGTTTTACGATGGCTTGCCCTCTTACCTTGTCCTGCCAGGTTTCGGGTCTCCTCTGAAACAGGGTTTATGATGTTAGACTTCCGCAGAGCTTCAAAAGCCGTATACCAATCGTCCAGGCCATTCTTTGGCTGAGAGCATCATCTGACCACTCTCAGCCAATGATTTTTATCTAGTGGATCAAAATTTGCACAGAATTGACATGAACAAGTACAGAAGTGTAGTTCTGGGCTGGCTGATGACACCCAGTGATGCTTCCAGAGGTGGAGTTGCACTTTAGCAACAGAGGGGTTAAACTTGTGTATGTACAGCATTTCAAAGCAAAAAGCTGCAAATACAGACTCTACGATATATGACCACTTGAAAAAATTGAAGTGGACATGGTGCCCTGAAGAAACCCTTAAAAAAAAACAGGTGCCCAGTTGCTTGAATAAATAACTAAGACACATGTCAATTGAACGGATTATTACCACTGTTGTTGAACTTTTGCTTTTTTCCATCATGTGCTTGGATGGATATCAACATTTAAAAAAAAAAAAATTCTGTCCTACAGACAACTGCCTTGACTGACCCAACTCGTGCTCCAGAAATAACAACTGTATGGAGCACTGAAATAGATACAATAACTGATCTAGGAGTGGTAATGTCAAGCCGTACTGTGAGTACAATTTGTTTTGACTTAACAAACCCATATCGAGACTGAAAAGAATCATTAAAATAATTTCTAAAGCTAGTGGTTACTGTGTCCAGTGCGCTTATAAATTTAGTACCGTGATATGCAAGCAGCTATACACTCTAGTGGGTGTTCTCCTTCCCCCACTCAACATAAAAGTGAACCAAAGTGAATCTAGTATGAACTGGGTATAAATCCAGATCTTACTAGTCAAATGAGTGAAGCGCTATATATTTTCACTTACCCTAATTTAGGGTTAAATCTCAGATGTATGTTGATACATAGAAGTAAAGAAAACACAATACAACACAATATAGTGTAAATCTGTAAATAATGGGGATTTTTGATGTTATAGCAATGGTCAAACTCACATGGAATAGAGCCTCAAACAGGACAGGCTCAAGTCACTTCCACCGTAGTGTCGTAAGGAGACACTGCACCCTTTAACTGGATTCAAATTTCCTCAGAGAAAGAAAAAGGGAAACAAAAAAGGGAGAAGCCCCCTAGTGTACTATGTTTTGACTTAATAGTTTTATACACAGTAGTTATGGTGGTGCTCACCTTCTTTTGAGCCAATGAGAACCTGGCTCTGGATGGTTTCTAATCCAACTTTCCCTCTTGATCATTAATTTTAGACCTAGTGCCCTCTTGTGCATCTTAATCAACTTGCACATGATCGGTGTCATGCCACTTTCTAACTTACTGTTAATATCATGTCCTCTGCTTTCTGATAGCTAGTCTACCTGTGTTCAAGTAGTGGAATTTGGCTGGCTGGTCCTTCTTAACCTTTTATTGAAATTAAAGAGCTAACTACATGTAGACTGCTCAAAAAATCTTATTATATTCAGGTTCATCCTGGCACATTCTGGCACTATTAGTGTGGCTGCAATCCTGTGTGCTATGGCTTCATAAAATGGGCCCAACTAGTCTTTAGTATACCATAAGCAGGGTTTAGAAGTTCCACTCGAAACTAGCCATTGGTGCGTGAAAATTAAACACTGTCAAGAAGAAATTCAACCCCAGTTGGCATTCCATGGACTATCTAGTCTTGCAGTGGCAAGTAACTTTTAAGACCTGGACAGAAGCGTATGTATAGGCGTACTCTCTGAATTGTTTATTGTGCTCTCCTCAAGTTTTCATAACCCCATTTTATGTCTTATGCTCCCTTTCCCTTTCTTATGTCTCTTTCCCTTTTATGTTTCTTACCTCTTTTTTGTGTTTTTAACCAACCATTTTTGTCTCCTTCCCATCTTGTGTCTTGTGTTGACCCTTGCCTCTTTATGCCCTACTTGCGTCTTACACCACCCTTGCATCATTATACCTCCTTGCATCTTATTCCCAATTTGTGCCTCTTATGCCCCCCTTTCTTCTTACCCCCAGTTTGTGTCTCTTATGCCCCTTATGTCTCTTATGCCCTTTTTGGTCTCTTATACCCCGTTCCTCTACCTCAATCCACAAGGCCACACTACACATAGTAAAAGGCGGGACTGCTACAACACCCCCACCCCCCCGCCGCCCACTGCTGCGTACATCACTGAGCAAGGGACTTCAAATATTTACTCCATGAATATCTAAGCCTTATTTCATTATTTCTTACTCTGTGCATAAACCCCATCTTAGTTGCTTCTGTTAAGATTGAGAGGAATATATAAGAAAACATCAATGGTACAATTGTTCCATATTAGCCTTTAACTTTGAAGAACGTTTTATTGGAATTTCCTGATAAGATAAATTCCATGGAGGTGTATCAGAGCCGTCTTGAAATGAATTCAGGATTGTGCTTGTGCTGATAAATAGCTAACTGAGAGAACAAGTCATGTCCCAGCTATTTGGAAATATTGAAATATAGGTGGATAACTAAACTAATATAAACACTCTAAGTAGTTTCTATTTGGCCAAAGAGACATTCACTGACATGTCTTAAAAGAAAAATAATTTATATTATATTTATCTATACAATATTTATTTATGCATAAGTCTCCTTTAAAGGCCTTGTACTTATTCTAAAACATTTATTTTGCACGTTTTATATAAAGAACAAGAGCTGTGTAAGTCAAATGAGATATACGTTGACTGATTAAGTGAACACAGACACACAAACTGATTTGTTTATGTTCAAGACACACATAAATTAAAAAAAATAGCAAGTTGTTGCTCTTGAGGTCTTCTGATTTCCTCCATCACATCGCTGGGTGGACGTCAGCATTTAAAAGAATACAATTTCTGTCCTACAGTCAAATACTACAGTTGCAGCACCTACTACTCCAGAAGAAACAACTACTCTAACTACAACAGTAGGAACTACAGTGGTAGGAAATGGCCAACCAGTGAATACGATGTGTTTATTATGAGCAAGCTCGATCAAAAATGATCTGAGATCATTAAAACAAATAATTATTTCTGTGAAAAGCTACATGTAAACATTGATTAACATTGAGAACAAATTAAAAAAAACTAATTGCTAAATTAATGGATCCCACTTCTACCACCACATTCTGTGATACTGTGGTGTAGTAAAATGTTTCAACCCTATAATATGTAATATATAATTAATATTATATTTAACTACATAATATTTAAAGACCTTGTACTTGTTCTGAAACATCTATGTTGCACGTTTTATATAAAGAACAAGAGCTGTGTAAGTCAAATGAGATATACGTTGACTGATTAAGTGAACACAGACACACAAACTGATTTGTTTATGTTCAAGACACACATAAATTAAAAAATAGCAAGTTGTTGTTCTTGAGGTCTTCTGATTTCCTCCATCACATCGCTGGGTGAACGTCAGCATTTAAAAGAATACAATTTCTGTCCTACAGACATCTACTGCAGTTGCAACAACTACTACTCCAGAAGAAACAACTACTCTAGCTACAACAGTAGGAACTACAGTGCTAGGGAATGGCCAATCAGTGAGTACGATGTGTTTATTATAAGCAAGCCCAATCAAAACTGATCTGAGATCATTAAAACACATAATTATTTCTGAGAAAAACTACATGTAAACATTGATTAACATTGAGAACAAATTTAAAAAAAAAATTAATTGCAAAATTAATGGATCCCACTCCTGCCACCACATTCTGTGATACTGTGGTGTAGTAAAATGTTTCAACCCTATAATATGTAATATATAATTTATATCATATTTAACTATAGATTATTTATGTATGCATAAGTCTCCTTTAAAGACCTTGTACTTGTTCTGAAACATGTATGTTGCACGTTTTATAAAAAGTACAAGAGCTGTGTAAGTCAAATGAGATACACATTGATTGATCAAGCGATCACAGACACACAAACTGATTATTTATGTTCAAGACACACGTACATTCAAAAATAGCAAATGATCACTCTTGAGGTCTCCTGATTTCTGGCATCACAACGTCGGTTGGATGTCAACATCTAAAATAATAAAATTTCTGTCCTACAGACAACAGTTGTTCCAACTACACCAATTGCTACTGCAGAACAGACAACTACTCAAACTACAACAGTAGCAACTTCAGGGGTAGTGATAAGCAATTCAGTGAGTACGATGTGTTTTATATAAGAATCCAATCAAAAACTGATCTGAGATGATTAAAAAGAATCATTCTGTCCGTGAAAAGCTAAATTTGAACATTGATTAACATTGAGAAAAACAAAAATCAAAAAATTGCAAAATGTCTAGATCCCATTTCTGCTACCACATTCTGTGATACTGGTGTGTGTTAAACTAAAATAAAAAGCTGGAGATTGATGGTGTTTGAAGTTCACTTGAGCTGCAAAATTGTTGGGTACTAAAGCTCTTCTTTCTGAGCTGCATATTCTATTAATTATTTCTGATTTCATTTTTTTTATTATTTTTTTACTGTAGTGTAAATCCTTTGCAGCAGATGGTGAGTATGCTACCAATATAAAAGTTTTTAGTTTTTTTTCAAATTTGACTCAAATAACTATAAGCACTGATTTTCACCTCTTTCACTTTTTACAGCAACTCTCACCTGCGAGCGGGTGGGTAGCACGTAAGTACCAGATTTCTCTTCAACATCTTTAAAGCGACGTCCTTAAAACAAATGCTATATAAAAAGGGTAAAAAATAGAATATATGGTTAAAGTATTCAATCAAAAATTTATTGCAGGCTTAGTGTGAATTGCATTAAATTCGTAGAGAATTCAAACTGAATTTTAGATTTTAGGCCAACATTAGCCAAACTATAAACACAGCTGACTTGAATTTTCTTTTGACATTTAGTTATTGTGGCCTAAAATTCTAACGGCTAATAAAAATGCTGATAGTCTCTGGAAAGGCCTGGTCCCATGTAGCAACAGAGTATTCATTGTCTACCTTTATTTTATTTTAGTTCAGACTTAGACATGCTTTTGCAAGAAGGTTTGAGTGGTGAACAAGCCTGCGCCTATTCTCTACTTCAGTATGCCTGTGCAAAGGTAAGTTTCTCCAAAAGATATAAAGCATAAATAAAGCAACACTTGTTAGGGGGTCTTCGAGACATGGACGAACGAATCACAAACCGAATGAAACACGCAATGGCCAAACATGTTCGTTTTGAGGCGTGATTCTGAATTCTGCCCATGGCACCAAAAAATAAATAAATAAGATGATTGATGGGAAACAATATGATTGATGTCCAGTTGACAGTCACTAAATGTAGATTTTATTCACAGTTCAAGTGAAAAGTGTCCAAAAAAGGGAAAAGGTGCAATAAAAAAAAATCTATAATTATATATTATATACTTAAAAAATATATAACATAAATATACTTTTTTTCTGCTCTTCTTGTTTTCCCTCTTTTGATGACTTTTTCTCACTTGATCTTTGAACCAAATAGCCGACTTGTGCTCCTATCAGTGTACAGCAAAATATATACGTAATATTTATATCATAGGCCATTTTGCTGCACTTTTGGTTCGTGCGATTCCTTTCCTGAATCAGTTTTTTTATTACTGAAATTTGGTAATCCTGAAGATTACTTTATTTTGGGGAGTAATGGTTCGTCAAAACCAACTTTTCTTGTTGTGCACTATTCTAGCAATCCCTGCACCTATTAAGTTCCTTTACTCTGCACAAACCTAAGAAAATATTTAGGACAAAAAATTTTTTTTTTTTATTGAATCTGTAACATTTACATGTCATTTTTTTTTACAGGTTGGACAAATGCTTACAAAGTGTTACAAATGTTTTCCTCTTGTTTTTAGATCAACTTAGCCTCCACAGACACTGTTGTGGCGATCTTGAAATGTTTCATCACAAATCAAGATGCAATCTTTTCCCAAGAAGCTACATCTTTGTTCGTCTCCAAGTTATCTCTAGATACATTGAGAGAAACGTTCGAAGCAGTTGACACCCAGGTAAATCTAAGTATATTAAAAAAAAATTACAAATAATTTCTGCAAATTGAAAATGTACTTTTGTTCACCAGTTTTATCATGTTTTGCTCTCACCACAAGCTATTTAGTACTTCACTTTAAATAATTTTTATTTTTTCATTTGATATTATTAATTGCATAACACTTAGATATGAATATGACACAATAGAACGTGTGCGTCAATTTACGAGTGTATCATTTTGTATCTTTTAGGTCCCTGATTCATCCATTACACCCAAGGCCAAATCTTTCATACTAAATGCAGTTTGGGAGAAGTTGAGGACCAATCCTTCAGCTCTCACCTCAGGTTCAATAGCCGCTTGGTTCCAGGAGAGATTATACGGTTTCCTGTCTGCTATAAATCTCGATATCTTGGACTGTATGGCTGACATTCCTCTCACATGTGATGCATTCCAATCTGTGTAAGTTCAATTTAACAATGTTCAAGAGTTCAAGACCAAGACAGACTAATAAAATTACTGTCAGAGCAGTGGAGGACCAAGATCAAAACCACAAGTCTAATTCACAGTCCAAACACTGCTGAACTAGTTTTGTTTAGGGAAGAGGCCAGCAACTGTGATGTCTCTAGAAGGTGCAAGTGTATGTTTGAATTCTAATACACTCTGGTGAGCATTGATTGACATGTGTCAGATATAGTACCAAAACGTAACAGGGAATGACACCTACAGAAGTGTAAATGGCATTGCAAATAAACAATATAACATGGTGGGACAAAAAGACCGCAGGTCATGAGACATTAACATCTGTTAGAAATACAATCATTTTTTGTTTTTTTGTTTCGATTTTGTCTAGTGTTGGTGCCTTGGATCTTAATTATGCAAACTTTGATAACGCCACCCAGCAAGAGATTGGAAATTGGATTTCTCGATTCATCCAGATAAATTGTGAGTAACAAGAAGATTGCAATGTATTTCCATTGCAATTTGGTTTGTTTAGAAAAGAGTACCGAAAAGAAATGTGCTGCATTCTTGTTTTTGAAACTTTCTTGCCGTATCTAACGACTGGGAGAATCTATGCAGCCTTTCTGCTCAGTGGGTTGAGATATATTTATATATCAGTCTCTAGATAAAATAGTAGCCTAGACTGGAAAAAAAAGACAGCGGGAGGCAAATACAAAGTTCACATTTGAACTTTATTTACTTGAGTAAAAATTCAACATTAATTTAAAGTGAATTTGAAATGTTACGCCAATGAAACCGAACTGAAACTATAGCTGACCGGATTTTTAAAATTGAGCCATTTTGACCTTCAGTTTGAAATGAAATTTGGATTCACTTTGAATTCTCACTTAAGTAAATAAACCCTGTGTTTCTTTTTAGCTGTCCAGGCCACATTTCTTAAGCAAACTTCTAATTGTGACATAGCTGTGGCATTATACCCAGATTATATTCTAAATATGTAAGTGGTATAAGAATATACTGACCTTCTTGGGCTCATCTGTACAATGTTTTGTGTCAACTTAAGCATTAATAAAGTTTTTGTACATTGAAAAAGTGCTAAAAACATCATTTCAAATTTAAAGGGACACTATAGTCATCAGAATAACTACAGCTTATTGTATTTGTTCTGGTGAGTAGAAACATTCCCTTCAGGCTTTTTGCTGTAAACACTGTCTTTTCAGAGAAAATGCAGTGTTTACATTCCAGCCTATGGACACCTTCACTGGTCACTCCTCAGATGGCTGCTGGAGATGCTTCCTGAGGCAGTGCTGCACAGTGTGACTGACGTTCAGTATCTCCACCCTCTGCATGGAGAAACTGAATACGAGAATTTTTCAGGTTTGGCTATTTTGACCTTAAACTTGAAATACACTTTGCATTCTTACTTCAGCGAAGAACCCTTGTTTATTTTTTAACGATTTTAACATGGCAATGGCACTTTGGGGTGTTCAGTTATGTAAATCTGACACAATATGCATTTTCTATTCTGCTTAAGCTCCAATAAAATGTTTGGGGGCAGGGCGCAGGTTTTTATCAATGTGGATAATTTTAAAAATGAGTTGCATAAATTAGTTTGCCTTTTCTTAACATTGTTCTGTGTTTTTTGTTCTTATAGCCTGCAGAAAAAACACAGCATATGAATTCATTAATTCCTACTACCGAAGTTTTAAAAATTCCGTCAACTACAGTGACTATGAACTAGCATGGAACGGCATTGATTTGGTAAGTCTGCGTTAATTAAATTCATTAAAAGATATTAAAAACATAGCCAGAATTACAAATATTTTCAACTGCTTATCCAAAAAAATAAAAATAAAATTGCAAACTTCTTTTCTTTATTTTCTGGGGGAAAACAATTTTTCGTTACGCTTGATCTTAAACACACATAGTGACGAAGCTAGTTTTTGTAAATATATGGGAATTGGTTAATAAATATCACCAAATGCACTTTGCAATTAATGACACATTTTTATTTATATGTTGATTTAAAAAAACAAAAAACAAAACAAGACTATTTTAGGGTCAACAAAAACACCAACTTAAGCAGAATATAATATAAGAGTATTTATCCTATAATCCACTTAGTTGCTCAAAGTCCTTTTAGTAGTCAGCTAACCTTAGCTCCCATTGACTTCAGTCATTAGGAATGCTGAAGCTAGAGGTCCTTCCTATAGTTTCACAGATTTTGACTATGTGAAACGACGCTGGACGTCCTCATACTTTGAGGACATCCAGCGTGTTGAAAAATCCTATAGGAAAGCATTGATTCAATGTTTTCCTATGTGGAAGGCCTAATGCACACACAACGCTCGTTGTGTATGCGCATTATCTTCTACGGATAACTCTTTACATGGCCTCGGAGGAGAAGGATCGTGGTGGTAGAGGGGCACTATAGGGTTATGAATACAGCTTTGTATTCCTAACACTCTACTGTTCCTTGAAATGTGAGTTTGGCATGGTCTGATCTGATACGGAATCTTGTTTATTTCGTTTGAAAGAATAGCCTGCTCTCACTTGACCAGATGCTCTAGCTCAGGGATAGGCAACCTTCGACACTCCAGATGTTGTGGACTACATCTCCCCCGACGCTTTGCCGGGGGAGATGTACACCACAACATTTTGAGTGCTGAAGGTTGTCTACCTCTGCCTTAGTTGCTAATGCCAGCCTTCTTTTTGGAAGGTGTTAGAAGGGGTAGTATATCTGGCAGATTTCCATGATCATAATGGACCGTTTCAGAGGGCCGTTTCCTTTTCTTTTTTGCAGAGCGCTGCATTGGATGTTATACCTTCATTCCAAGTGGCTCAATATGCCATTGCCAACAATGCATTCAGCAGCGTGGAAAGCTCAACATCAATAATAGAGTTCCTAAAGACAAAAAGTCTATTGTATATTGTGGATTTCCTGGACAGTGTCTCCCAGTTGTCTGTGGATACAGCCACCTATGACAGCAATGTTGTCAGCAACCTGTTGGAGATTACACTGGGCAAGTTAAGCCAAGATGATGGAGAAGTTTGTAAGTCCAGTTGGGAAAAAATCTTTACAACGAAGATCACTTTCATTCTGACAGCCATCAATGAAGCCACTCTGCAGCTGCTTCCTGCTGATATGGATTGCTCGGACTACCGCAGTATGTAAGTAAACAGTGAACTTAAGAGAAATGTAAAAGCCTGTCCTTCTTCATTATTTTAATACTGATGTTCCCTTGAGCTATGTCTGTAATACATCAGAAAAGTTAAAATTCATTTTACAAAATGTAGGTGCATATGGAAAGATGAAAATGTACCCCAACAGTTTGGCAAAGGGGAACATAAAAATGACAGCAGTTGGCTGAGCAACTAACTCACTGCAGTTCAAACTCAAATAAATATATGGGGCTACAAATCCCTTATTTCATCTTTTTTCCTCATTTTGAGTTTTAAAATGCAATCCGAGAGACACGTGTCTCTTAATGTGCCCGCCTGTCCACTACTCTCTTGCTGAGAAAAGATTTATAGTATTTTTTTAATTTTATTTTTTTAATACAGTACAAATTTGAGCTGAACTCAAAGGGAATTTCAAATTTAAGGTCAAAACAGCCAAACTGAATCATTCTCTAAGCTAGCTATGCTTTCAGTTCGGCTAAACTGGTCTTAAATTCGAAAGTTACTTTAAATTCACTTTGAATTCTCACGTTAGTAAATAACCCTTTGACCCTTTAACGCCACTATCTCCAGGCGCTCAGCGATCGCACTTGTTAAAACACCATCCATTAGCATTCCCTTCCATCTGTTTGATAAAAAAGTTATCCAAATCTTTAAAGGTGCAATACTGAGTATCACAACCACTAAATATATCATGACTTATTCTGATTATTATTTTTTTTGGCAGATTCAATGGAATTAACCTTGTCTATAACAAGTTAGATGAAGCAAGCCAGTTGGCCGTCTTTAACTACCGACTTCAGTTCTTGCAACGGGAAGCTGACAAAACAGGTACAAAAAAAATTAAAGTTATCCTGGCATTTTTGTAAGTAGACTATATATTTTGTTGTCAGCTCTCCCAGGTTAATGCCTGCTGTCACTTTGTAAATTATAGATCATTCACTCTTAATATAGATTGATGTGTTATGTTTTCATATATTAATTTGTTTTCTTATTTTTGATAGTGTGATTAATATAACCGCTATACGTTCTGGATCATGATTTGCAAAATAAATAATATAAATGCCTCTATTTGTCTGCTACACTATAATATGTAAAGAAAAACCAGACACTATCAGCGCAGCAGTGCCAGGAGTACTGTGCCCTTCCCTCCGTGTAGATAGTAAAACTATTTGCTAACGGTTTGACAACTTACTTGGCATCGCTGTGTGCCAGTCATTGATCAATGATCATTGGATCCCAGGTAAGATGTCAAACAAGTAGCAAATAGCTTGGCTAAATAAATTGTGGTGGGGGGGAGGGGGTGGGCACCATTTACACCTGGCGCCATAACCACTACAGAATGCTAAATGTTGGGCAGGTTATGTTTACCTTGTAGTAGGGTGTCTTCCGTATTGACAAATCTGTTAGTCAACAATAATTTCAAAGGCACAGAAGTATTATTATTTTGTTATCTTGTCATTAATTCTAAAGGCTACCAATGTCTGATAAAAAAGTTATTTTTTGTTTTTTATGCAGGAACGGCCTGTACCTGTGATTACTCAAGTCAGCAATGGATTGAGAATAATTTTGGCTTTTCCTTCAGCTTCTTCACATTCAATCAATTAATAGCCCTAAACCAGAATTTTAATGGAGTGAGTATGCTAAAAGCACACGGCAAGAGAAAAACACCTTAGTTTATGGTTTACACTTGGTATTTTGAATATAAATTATATTGTTTGAATTGTCTATCTTAATAGATTTCCCTCGTACCTACGTCTATCCACTTAATTCTGCTGAAATCTGTTTGTTTTTATTTTAAATGATGATTAACAGTAGTAATAATAAATATAATCTTTTTTCTGCCTTATCTAGTTCGACGCCGTGTCTTATCTAACAGTTAACCAGACAGTGGACCTCATTATCTATTCTAAAATCCTAACTGAAGCTGAACCACAGAGTTATGAAACCCGAGTTAATGCCGTAACCACTGTTCTAAAAAACAACGGATATGCATATCTATTGTCATTCATAGAACAGTTTGAGATTGTTACAGTACAGGTGAGTATCATTTTTAACTTACCTTAAAGGAACACCTTAAACACCTTAAAGAAACACTGGAATATATATATATATATATTTATATATAAACAATTTAGAAGATATAAACCCAGTGAAAATATGAATTTGTTTAATTATGGATATTTTTTAATTTTATAATGGGGGTATCTAAAAACAGCTGGCATAAGCTGCAGATCTCTTGTCTGCAGCCTTTTCAATCCCTCCCCTTCTATCCCCGCGCACACTCTCTGTAGCTGTCCAATTACAGAGTTTCCATGATCATAATGGACCGTTTCAGAGGGCCGTTTCCTTTTCTTTTTTGCAGAGCGCTGCATTGGATGTTATACCTTCATTCCAAGTGGCTCAATATGCCATTGCCAACAATGCATTCAGCAGCGTGGAAAGCTCAACATCAATAATAGAGTTCCTAAAGACAAAAATTTTTTTAAAAAAAGGACACACTCTTCACACATAAAGCACTCAAAGCTGAAGTGCTTAGATATATGATGTGTCCCTTTAAGTAAGCCACATCCCAGCGCATCTAAAAGACAAACGTCCTCCAAAATACCAAATTTCTGGCGATATTAAGCAAGCATAATTCATCATTATACAGAGCTGCCCAGTTATCTTCTTTACACAAGCAAATTGGTTTTGAAGTATTCATAATTAATACAGTGCTCTGTGATAAAAATTCAGTGAACATAATTAGTGGCACAGATTCCTTAAATATTTCAGATTGGGCTTTAATTTAGATTGTAACGGTGTTCTCTTTTTTTTTCCATATTAAAGGAGCAAGTAGTTGGCATAGCAAATGAAAAAGTTCGCAGTTTATTCTTGGACGGGGTATGGGAAGTTATATCTACCCAATTTTCTCAATTTTTGTACGCTGATTGGAACATATGGTTCTATAAATACCTGACCATTTTCATACCAAGCATCAAACCAGCACATCTTCGTTACCTCAGCATTGACGTGGTTAAGGATTGTTCCAGTTTACAAATAATGTGAGTAACAATATCAATGTCAAGATACATTCTTACCTAGTTTAGCACCCTGGAATGCCTGATGAAGGGAACTTGAAAGCTTGTAAGAAATCCCCTTTATTTAGTCAATATAAATATCACTTTTACATCTTGTTAGCTATGTTCTCAAAGACATACTATACAGTCATGTAGTTAAAGGAAAGATACTAGCACCATAACCACCACAGCACTCCTGGCACCATAACCACTACACAACAGTCAGTGGTTATGGAGTTTGGAGTGTTCATTCAACTAGCTATCATTGTATCAGCAATTTTACATGAAACACAGAAAAAAACACTTCAGTCTTTATGCCGTTTTAGGAATAATTTTCCCTTTTAATCTAATCTAGTTCAAATAAAGGGAAAGGTATGGATCACGTTTTACTCCATTCAGAATATTTAGCTGTAATTCACCTTCTAGAGCTTGACTCCTTAGAAGAGCACTCCAAGCACCATAACCACATGAACATTCTGCAGTTGTTATGGTGCCAGGAATGCATTTCCCCCACCCACCCATTGTAAGAAGTCAAACGGTTTTAGAATGATTTTACTTCTTACCCAGAATCCTTTGGGGACAGCTCTCTACCACCACTACAGCTCAGTTAGAGCCAGGAAGCTCTCTTCACTGAGCTAAGCCCAGCAGTGCAAGGCTTACCTTACTGGCTGACAGATTATGTTCTCATGGGCTAGACCTATACTGCAGGGCTTAGCTAAGGAGAGCTTACAGAAGCTCCTGAGAAGGTTCCGAATCGTCCCTGGCAGAACCCAGGTAAGAATTCAAATTGTTCTAAAATGGTTTGACTCCTCACATCGGGGATGAACCAAGGCACTCCTGGCTCCAACACACTGTAACGTGTATGGTGGTGGGAGTTGTCCTTTAAAGGGTTGCTCTAAACCAGGGGTCCTCAAACTCCGGTCCCCCAGATGTTGCTGAACTACAACTCCCATGATTCTCTGACTATCTGTGTAATTCAAAGAATCATGAGAGTTATAGTCCAGCAACATCTGGGGAGCTGGAGTTTGAGGACCCCTGATCTAAATACTATGACAACTTTGGTGAATTAAAGTGGTTGTGGTGCCTGGAGTCTGTAAATGCAAATTTTCACTATGAAGGAGCCACATTTTGTTAACCCAGCATCAGAGAAGGCCCAGTGCCCAACAAGACCCAGGGAAGAGGGCAATAGTGATCATGAGACCTGAACTAACCCAATAACAGTTGTAAAACAGTTGTAAAAATCTGGGCATCCTTTCTTTTTTAATGATTTAAACCTTAGGTTTTATGGTATTAATAAATAGTTAAATATACATCCTCAAAGATAAAAGTTATAAATGGAGCAGGAAAGTCGCAAATCAGTATTGAACACAATAAGTCTACTCACATGATACTGATATGAAATGCTAAGAAAACAGACATCAATTTATCATCGTTTAAGACTAAGTAAACTGGCTACTGTTTGCCACAATCTGGATTCTTTTGCAAAACTGTCTGTCCTATTCATTTAATGATATCAGTGCTGTATTGAAAAGTTGATAAATCACACTAAGCAGGACATCCCACAACGCTGCCACAAGAACTTCAAGAATTACGATTCAATGACACTAACGAATATTGCTTATTAACATATAGAATATTGATTGTGATCTCTTAGAAGCAGTATAGGCATAGTAAGACCCACTTAAAGGTATAAGAGGGAGTGTTTTATGCCATATATACTTTTTATTTTCAGTGTTCAAGGGTTCGATCTTGGATTTGGTTACATGACCATTGAAACTAAAAAAAGTGTTACTTCTTGGATAATCAGTTTCCTGACAGCAAAACGTAAGTGTTGTTTTCATTCTCTTTTTGTTTTTTCTACTTAGGCTTCAGTATGTTGGTGGTTGTATTATTGAAATCAATGCATAGAACAGCTTAACTGCTATCTGGGTTAAAGTGCCTCCTACACCAGGGGTGCCCAAAGGGTAGATCCCCAGATTCTGTAGAACTACAACTCCTATAATGCTTTGCAAGCCTGTAGAATACCTTATACCCCTTAAGGACACATGACAGAAATATTCCGTCATGATTCCCTTTTATTCTAGAAATTGTGTCCTTAAGGGGTTAAAATGACAACACATCACAGAAGCTGTAATTTTAGAACATCTGGGGATCTACCTTTTGGGCACCCCTGTCCTAGACAAACTTGATGTTTAGAATTTTGACGACAGCTTATTTATTTTTATTTTATTTTTGAGATTCTAGATATCGTCACATATTGTATCAAGAATAGGCAAAAAAAAATAATGATATATCAGTTGTGATGGGGCCATAGGAGTCACCATTCAGAGAAAGTTAATTGAGGGATAGTAGTGTCAAAAAACTTTTAGGCGTATGTTAATATAACTGGCTGAATACCGTTCGGTACTGCGAAGAATGTGATAAATACTAATTGCAAGGAAACTAACACAAGTATACGAGAGAACTAAATGAATAAAGTTAAAGCAAAGTTAAAGGATCAATTTAAACATTGTTGGAAGAGGACGGATCAGGTAAATGCTGGATTAGGATGAAATAATACAAAATAAAAACACGGAATTGGCCCTGTTATCACACGGGTTGAATGCTTATAACAGTTGCTATTACCTTGAGGATAAACCTATGAGATGTATGGGTCTTTACCATTAGCCAATATACCTATATTGGAATAATACGGGAGACAGATGAGAAGTAGTAGAAGTAAGAAGAAATAAGCAAATAAAAATAACATGATGGCCAAGCTATTAGCTCCAGGAGACCATGAAGCAAACTAGAGATATGAAAATGAGACATTTAACTTGTTTGTCCAACATGTCTTTTTAATATTTCTTGTATATCCCAGTTCAACATTAAAAAAGAGAGAAATATCAATGTATTATTTCTGGAAAACACTTTATAAATTATTACAGAAGTGGAAAAGTTAAATGTAAAAAAAAAGGAACTTTTATATCTTACACTTCTTTTTTTTACAGAATGCTCTGACAATAACTGGTTAACTGTCAACTTTCGACAGTTTAAGGAATACGTTACTTATACGGAAATTTTGACACTGAATCCATCATATGAACCGGTGAGAAAATGCTGTAATGTTTTAGCAACCTCGCAAGCATTGGTTGTTGTATTTTATTATCTATCAGATATTTAACATTCTAAGCCCTCGGTTTAATATTAGTGGATAATATTTGCAAATCAATTGATGGTTTTAGATAAAAGTTTTAAATTATTTTAATTAAAAAATATTTTAATGATACAAAAATATCAATATATCAAAAATACTAAACTACTCTACTAAAAAATGCGCAGATGCCTTGTTTAAGGTGTCAGAAGCCAGTCCAAAAGGCAGTGAAGTTGAATAAGGTTCGGCGGTAACCACTGTCTTTCAAATAAATAATTATCTTTATGAAATAAGCATGTTATCCAATTTGATCCTGATGAAAGTTCCAGATAGGGAAGGAAACGTCATTTCGCCCTGACAATGTTTTATATGAAAAAGGACACCTTCTCAAAGTGCAGTTGAAGAAAGACATTTTTTCTTGCAGCTTACACATCTAGATGAATTAACCGCCACTCAAATATCAGAAGTTGTGATCAAAGAAGAGTCAGCTCGGACCAGCGTAGCTGTTATAAATACAGTCTTTGATGCTCTCACTGTGAATGTCACATATGAAGAAGCTGTTGTGAATCTTGGCTCATTCTGGGAAGGATACAATTCACAATATAAAGAGGTAAAATTGAGTAATGATATTTTTTCGTTTAACAGGTTGCTTAAAGAATTTATTTATTCCTTTTTTTTTCTAACTTTCACCCATACCACCATTTTGAAATCAAACATGGTAATTTAATAAAGTGAGCAGTGTTGGCAATTTATAATGGATTCAAAGTGAATTTAAAATCTAAGGTGAAAATAGTTAAATTGAAAATATTTCTCCAACCCAGCTATTCTTCCAGATCAGCTACTTCGGCATCAGACTTGAAACTTGCTTTGAATTCATCATGATAATTCTCAATTTAGTGAATAAACTTGTACATTTTGATATTCCCATATTGACCTCTCTTAGAAATATAAACATAAGTTATAATATATAAGTAGCTCCAGCTAGCTAAATTGAATCCCAAATCTCTCTGTCTGCTACAATGTACTACTTTAACATATGTAACCCTGTATTCGTTTGTTTGCTGTTTTGTGGATTTTTTTATTTATTTTTCTAAAACTCACCTTTCATAGATAACTTGAAATTACCAAAATCTGAATTCTTAAAGACATAAATATATATATATATTTTTTTTACTTTTCTTTCTTTTTTTCCCCCTTAGACTATCACAGTCACTTCTGAAGTCCAATATACAATGCTGCAACGAACCACTTCAAAACTTGCCTATTTCTATAGAAACTTCACTGAAACAACATATAATTTTTGGTTTGAACAGAACATAATAACTGTATTGCCCCAAATAAATGCTGAAATTTTAAACCAACTCCCTCTTAACATGGCATGTTCATCTTACCAAAGCATGTAAGTGATTCGGCATTTCTCTTTAGAAAAGGTGAGATAATGATTATGCTATTATCCTTTGCAAAATTATTTTCCAATTTTGTTTTACAGAGTAAGGTCACTAGATAAAGTGTATGCTAAGACTGAATCAGCTAACCGGGATGATGTCTACCAATTTTATAGCAACTACCTATCAAAAAGTGGTAAGAATACCTTCCGCATAATATTTTATATACCAAAATGCTATCTTATTGTTATGTATGTGAAATTATGCGCTGATTCTAGGAGCTGGAAAATTGATTTTTTTCTGTATTTTTTTTAATTTTACTGATGGATTGGTGTGTGCATAGAATAAGCTTAGAAGTGGTTGTGGAAACAGAATACCACAATTCAAGACTAGACAGCAAGAATATACAGTAAAAAACAAAGAAAAAAGATTACCTGCGCTCTTCCCAAATCCCTATGCATATTTAAACAAATGGAGGTTATTTAATTACTCCAATGGCCACTGGGAAGCCTACCTGCCACGTCAAGGCAAACCTCTTAAGTGGGTCCTACACTGACTATTTAATATACAACTATACTAAAAAAATTAAATCAGTTTATTTTATATTGAAAAGACAGGCTTTGGGGTAATATTTAAAAAATAAAAATAAAAATAAACTATTTAGGAAGTACTCGCCTTGCGAACCAACGGGGATATTCCTGCTGATTAATTGAAATTAATTTTATTAAAAAAAGTATATAGTTCTTTGTTCTCTTGTAAAAAAAAATGCCTCTGTGTATCTGTCCTCACTTATTGTGGACATACTATAGACCTACTGAATTAATTAAATTACTGTCTTTTTCTCCCCTTCTAGGTAAAAGTTGTGTACAGTCTTCAGAATCCCTTATTAAATTATATCTCAGAAGTTACAAAGAGAAAGCAACATATGAACAACTTGTTGTTTTCTATGAAGATTTTAACATAGTAAGTACTTAGTAGTCTTTGTCACAGATTAATTACTTATTTTTTTCCATGGCTACCTCTAGTAAACATGTTAATGGAATTGATTGGAGAAAGGAAGCATATACAGAGTTCTTTATCTGTTCCTGAAGTTAAAAAAAAGATAAAAAATAATATTTTGTAATGTTCAAATAACTCAAAGTCTAATGCCCCTACTAAATTAGACAGAGAAATACGGGGAAAGGCTGGCAGAGGGCCGGACATACAGACGATAGGCAAAGAAATATAGGTTTGGGTTGACCAAGGAGATTCTTGCCACTTCATTAATGTCTGGGATACTTTCATATGATAGCCACTTAGAAAATTGATGACATAGCATCACTTTCCTGACTAAAGCATCTTTCTCTGTCTCTACTTCCACAGTTTGAGACTAACGTGCTCAGTATCCTAACACCTGTTCAAATTGGAGAAGCAATAGTGAAAGCAAAAGTCACTGAAAGCATCGAAAACGTCACACAGCTCTTCAACTTCCTGAAAACGGTTTCCATTGAAGAAGTTAATAGCTGTTTCACCCAATTCACCACTACTGGAACTGAGGTATGCGAGAACATTAGTGTTTATATATTCTTTAGTACTAGAGATTATGAGGCAGTGAGGTTAATGCAAAATGTATTTGTTGAAGAAAATGTAAAGTTGGGCTTACCATGTGACAAAATTATATATATTTATACATGGGATGTTTTGCGTTAAGCACAAGTATACAAATGAAATGTTTTGGAACCTAAATTATGACGCTTGTATAAATGTGATTAATTAATCACAAGGGAAGATGTTTTTGTCATGAGTATAATTCTCCATTCTTTATTTATTTATTTTTTGTCATGTCCAGGCCAAGTTGGTCATAACAAGTGAAGAGGTAGGCACATACATTCTGGAAAATTATCTCACAATTATTAGTTCTGAAATCACGACCTACACGGAGGAGAATCTGAAATTGCTGTTTGAAACAAGGATTAATTTGATTATCAACTTCTTTACTATACAATCACTTTCACTGCTCGCTGTTCAAGACTGCAACAAACTGTCCATTGTGTAAGTACCAAAAAACAATAATCATGCCTATTTTCTCTTCATCTATCCAAGACTTAGTGTAAAACGTATGAAGGTGCCGGGAAGGCAGAATACACTACTGTATTTCTTCAACTGGACCTCAACTCGGCACAGTTATTTTCTCCCAATAATTATTGACCCTACGTTACTCATTTTTTTTTAGTTGTGGCCTAGTTAATAAGCACCTCAATTAATGCACCTCCCATTGATTAGTTTGGTATTGCATATCAGATGCTTTGGATAGAGAGACAGTATTTATGTTATACCATCCCATGCCAAAATCTAAATATATAATGTCCCGTGCTATAATCATTTTTTTTTTTTGTGAGATCGTGCAAGGGAATGTTTAGAGCAGTGGTTCCCAAACCAGTCCTCAAGGCACCCCTATCAGTCCAGGATTTAGGGATTGCCCAGTTGTGTCTAAGGTTATTTTTTTTGTTTGTTTGTTTCTTTTTCATTCATAATTCTTTATTTTATTTATTTTCTAATAACATCTTAGACACAACTGGGTAATCCCTAGATCCTAGATTGGTAGGGGTGCCTTGAGGACTGGTTTGGGACATACTGGTTTAGAGACATTTCCATAAAGTACTTGGGATTTCATCCAATCCCCTTCAAGCAAATAATGTACAGATTATGTATATACAACATAACAAAAAAAATAAAATAAAAAAAGAAGTGGTGGAAAAGGAGTATATGGTTAAATATATCAACCTCAGAAAGACTACTACGACCTTAAATATTTGCACCCAAAGAGTAAATAAAACATATATATATATATATATATATATATAAATATATATATATATATATATATAAAAAAAAATTTTTTTGTAGTTTAAAATAGTTTATTTAGGAGTTATGCCCCATTTTGAGGGTGTTGGTATACTTGGCTCCAATCCCTATTGAATTATTTATATACAACATAAGTCTCCACTTTACTGATATTAGTTATGGCTAGACTACACCTAACAGAAGCTTACAACTTAAACTTCTGCTCTAGAACGTCTACGCAAAAGCTTGATATAATGACTCAACAAAGTGCTCGCAATGTCATTTACTGCGAATACATGTCTAATTCACCTAATGTCATTTGTTTTAGTGTTACCGAGTTGGACAATAGTTTTGATGTCTTGTCTCCAGAAACAAAACAAATCATTGCAGACTGGATAATTAGCCTGATTAAGGATACCACTTTCAATGGTAAATCTAATTTGCTTTCTTTCGGGTACTGTGTAATCAAAGCTACTGCTAATGTATGTAACTGCTCCCTTTTAAAACGAGACAATAAAACCCCAATGTAATATTTTTGGACACGCTTCTCAAATAATGTTTTAGAATGTGTGTTGTAATTCAAGCATTTATAAAGTAATACCTTTCTGAATACAATGAATTTTACGCACAGAGGTTATCCACTAGCTAAAAGCCTCAATTTAATTCTTCAGGGTTAGCTTTTCAAATGATCACAATCTGTTAGTAGAAGCTTTTTCGAAGATTTATCTGCAAACCTTTATCTTGAAAAGCTTATCCGAAATAAAGAACTAAAGTAGGGCCAAAGTTAGAGATTTTTTTTAATTACAATTATACTGGCCTAAATTTTGCAAGTCAGTTGACCACGGCCACCAATTCACATTTTAGGAGATAAAAAAAGCATAATGTCACATTATGGGCAGTTCATATATAGAAATCGTTTTTCAACTTTTCACTTTTGCTCCATTCCTGATTTTCCTGATTTTCTTCAGCTCTGATTCATTTAAGGCCAGAGCCATTTGAGCGAGCGCACTGAAAACATAAATGTGTTGCCATAGAAACATAGAAACATAGAATGTGACGGCAGATAAGAACCATTCGGCCCATCTAGTCTGCCCAATTTTCTAAATTCTTTCATTAGTCCCTGGCCTTATCTTATAGTTAGGATAGCCTTATGCCTATCCCACGCATGCTTAAACTCCCTCACTGTGTTAACCTCTACCACTTCAGCTGGAAGGCTATTCCATGCATCCACTACCCTCTCAGTAAAGTAATACTTCCTGATATTATTTTTAAACCTTTGCCCCTCTAATTTAACATAGCAGTATAATAACTGATATAAAGTTCCTTGTTTCTCTCATTTGTTTACATCTGTCATAACGTTGTCATGAACATCGTTAAATGTCTATATAGTCCTAATATAAGATTTTTCATGTTACACTAGGTTCAGGGAACAAATAATAAACTGAGAATGGTAAAGAAACCACACACTTGAGTTAATATATTATTTATTTTGTTGTGTTTTTTGGTTTTTTTACAATACAGGTTGTCAAAGCATATCTGTAAGTGAAACTGTCTGGGTTAATGAAGTCTTTGGAGGATTCTTCCAGTTTGTCAAACTGTCAGAAATTACTGAGGTTTATCAAGACTTCGACTTTGTAAGTTCAAAATCCCATTTATTTGCCAACTCGTTGTGAATGATATGACATTGCAATACCACTGCTATAAACATCCATTTACGCTATGCTATTTATGATTACCATACACACGTTACTAAATTATATAACTGTCCAGGAATGGTTACAATTTAACCATTCCAAAATCACATGTGCCATTACTTTTCATACAAATCCCATCACTAGAAAATGTGAAGTTAGTAAACAATTGCAGAGAGAGTAAGAAAATACAGAGAATATAAGCATCAGGTACCATATTTACACCTTAAGGACCAAACTTCTGGAATAAAAGGGAAACATGACATGTCACACGTCATGTGTCCTTAAGGGGTTAAATTAAATTACCATACCAAATTAAATTACTCTAAATAGATCAAGTCCTAAATGGGGAGCAAGTTCACAGAGAAATAATAAATAAGATAAAAGTATGTAATTTGTCATATGTACCAGTAGATTTGAATATAGGTCTTAGTATGGAGACAGTAACCAGAGTTAGAATTCAGTAAGATACAAGTGCAAGATAGGTTATTGAAAGAGTTCTAAATATCCTTAGCCAATGTCCATTATCAATGTATTTCAACTGCCTAACCGATACATAAGAGGATATACCCAAGTCACACAAAGAACCAACTTGGAGAGTGTATTCTAAAACTTAACAAGAAGATAAGACAGAAAACTTTTCTCTCATTCACTGAAAATTTAGAATTGAAGACTAAGCAGAGGTGAAATGCTCATTCTGTGTTTTATCTGCTAAATAATAAGACTAAACTGCCATTTACCTGGTTTATTTGTGTTAGATCCTTAGCTGCCTTCCACCTATCTAGATCATCAGTAGACACAGTTCCTGGTATTCTAGGTTGTTCAAGCGACCTCCGCGCATTAGGTTTTACTTACTAACTAATATAATGGCATAAGAAATTGACAGTTGTATGGGAACGGTAGTCCTTTATGTAACTCCTACATGAGATAATACAATGTCATTTTGTTCAATCCCTTAGAAACTTGTGATTGCCTATGCGAGTATCACCCAGAAGGTAGATTACATTGTGTCTTCAGACGCTTTCACCAATGTTGAAACAATTAAGTTTGTACTGGAATCTCTAAAAGAAGAAGACTCAAATGTGTCTGTCTCTACACTCACTGAGTTCCTCGTGTACTTTAATACTGCCTACAACCAGGTAACTGACCCTCTTTATGGAGAACAACACCCGAATGCAAGTACAGATAAGTTCATTACTTAGTAACTAAAGTTTTTCATTCTTTTAGTCATCGGACCAGTTATTATCTCTGGATGTGAAACAAGAACTTATGGACTTCTGCTTCTCAGCTTGGGTGCTAAATATCAAATTTCTGAGTGAAATACAAGTTGAACTGACTTATACTTACTTCCAAAACTTCATTTCTGGCACTACTACCGAAGTTGTTAAACGTATCCCACAGGACCTCAGCTGCACTCAATACCGTTCTATGTGAGTACGACTTTATTTTATAAACAGGAGAACAGATAACGGGGTAATAAGATGGTTATAAAGTATCACCCCGTTTACGGCAGTCTCTTATTATTATTATTATTATTATATATACAATAGATCATTTTTCTTACATTTCTTGCTCACAAATGAGAATTAATGAACTGGAAATCACGAGGCATGCCAACAATTTGCATTGCATGCCAGGCTGTGTTAGAATCTGTTACATCTGTTACATCAAGCATTTGCGTTGATTCCACATGTGAACAGGAACATAAGTTACGTGTTTTTATCTTACTGATACAATTGTGTACATGTTCATGCGTGTGGTGGCTTTCTTTACATGTCTTTATTGTTATTAGTTTGTCACTAGGGCTAAGTCAGTTCCTTTTATCTCCAAGGATTAGACAACAAATTATACAGAAAAAAAAATAATACAATTTAGAGCCAATTGTGTTAATAGAAGCACTACAGGAAAATATTAGTCACATACTAAGTGGGGTCAACACATTTTTGCTTCTGTGAATTAATGTTACATTTGTTAAACACATTTATATTTTTCTATCTCTAATATAAAGATATCACACTTTGAGACAAAATATATTCTGAGTATTATTATGAATTTATCCAGAACACAGCCAAGACAAGGTGTACCTCTAGACTCACATATAGTCATCCTTCAGAACAAGACCTGAATTCATGATGTGCGCTAGGCAACCATCTTCTCCCTCTTGCCTATCCATATTTGCAAGTTTCCAAGGGAAAAGACTCAGCCTGTCACTTTTAACTTTCAATGGCAGTACTGAGTTTTTCCCCACATTTCCTTTCAGAGCAGTTCTTTAGGGGAGCTACAGGAATTTCAGAGAAAATATAATTTTGCTGTTAGCCCTCTTTTATAGAATGTTAACAACTGAACTACAACTCCCAGAATCCTTTTCTGCACACTATGCATAGCTGTATTATTGGAGCACAGAGACAAAACCCTGCAGGTTGGAGTGTGGAAACTGAAAATATGTGCTTATTGAGAAAGTCTCTTTTAAAAAGATTCATTAAAAAAAGAAACTCACCCAGCACAAATAACTATAACTTAATCTAAGTGTTGCTCATGCGACTTTTGTACCTGAAGTGACCCTTTTAACTAGACACAAATACAAATGATAATTCAGATTCACTCCCTGTCTTGTGAGCTGCTAAGTATAAAACGTGTCTTTTCTTTCACAGAATAAGTTCCTTCAGCATTGATTTTGACAGCTTGAGTAAGGATGTCAGGAGGGCAATCTTCGATTACATCATAAGCTACCTATCTTACAATTCTGAAAAGTTTTCAGGTAAGACCGTCTCCATAATATTGATATCTATCACGTAGAATGCAGGAAACAAGACCAAGTCATCCGGGAAAGCAGTATCCCTTAGCCCAAGCCAAGGTCAATCACTGATGATTGGTCTGAAATTCAAAAAAAAAATTTTAAAAATCCTTGCTTCTCACACAGTAAATTTAATGTGAAGGATCAGATCACGATAAAGACTGTAGCTTTTAGGGTAGACCTTAATGCATGCTGTCTGTGAGCTGATTAGGCAATGCTACCAGCTGGGTATTTCTACAGGAGCAGAAGCAATTGCAAAATCACAAGATATTTGTATTCCTGGTCTCGTTGTGGATACTACACATGGGTCCTATCATGAAACTTCAACCCTCAGTTCCATCACTGGTCACTCAAGCAACTATAGAAATTGCAATCCAGGTGGTTCACATCCCTGCAGGAGTTATTTACCCTGATATTTTTCTCAAATTTATTTTTTGACTTTGACTTGGAAAGTCCTGCATCCTATTTTGTGACACTTTAAAAAAATTTTTTTTTACCAAATGGAAGACATCAGAAGCAACAAAGTATCTTTAAATATACAAAGAAAATACAATGTTATAGAATTAGTCCCACATATAAAATAAAGCATTAATTATGCTCTTTAATCGTAAAATATAATTTTTTAAAACTAGTTTAGAGCTGGTTATATGCTATGCATGCAAGATTTACATAAACTGATGCACACTTAGGTGTTTTGCCCCAACACACAACTTAAAATCATAACTAAAAATATCAATAGAAGTGGAGCAGTATTGTTTAACATGTAGGACTTATTCAAAAAAAAGTGAAGTGGTGGTTAGATGAAAAGGCCAAACCAAAACGTCTAAATTCAAATTCCTGAAGTATTGAAGTATACTTATTGGCCAGTAGATGGCACTACAACTTTTTTAAAATAAGTCCAAAATGTCACTATAAAATAAAGTCATCACAAGACTTAAAATACAATAACCAACATTTTGTTGTTTGCTTGTTTTTTGTCATGGTATAGTTTGTGTGTTTGAGTGACAGTACAAAACTGTGTTTTGCAGCACTATTTTCAACACCAACAATCAATAAGCTTCTACATTGTCCCTTTCTCCAACAGGAAACGTCTGTTCCAGCTTATACAGGAACAGCGATACTTACATATTGTATATCTATTACCGATTTAGTATCTATGCAACATACTATCAGCTGAGCTATTTCTACATCCGATTTAATGTGGTATGTATTACATGTGTTTTAAATAGACATTGAGATATAATGGGTTGTATGTATGAATATCTATATTCTTTCTTTTTGAATTATGTCCCTATGACTTTTCTGATTGTTATGATGCATCTTTAAAAAAATCAGGGCTTTAAAATGTTTTAATAACTTGAGTTTTACTTCTTTTCTAATGGTTTTTTTAACACTTCTGTTCCGTTGGAGCTGTAAAAATCTTACTCAGTACTGAGAGCCAAATAATATTTATTGGTAACCCAAGCAAACTATGATTATGGTTCTTTTTCCAACTTTGGAGGATATTTATTAAAGTGTTGCTAACACTTTAACATCAAATTTTTAGGCGTGTATTTTGTGCTATTTATTACATCTCTCACAGTTTTTGATCAGTTTCCATTTTCCCCCCATTTTCGTCAGTGTCGCAACATGTTTATAAATCTTTCTGACATTTTTCCTGACAGAAAGGTTTTCTGCTTCACTTTTCTTTTTTCCGCTACTCTAAATTTTTGATGGTTGCCTGAAAGCGGTTGAATTTTACTATGAAGAAAATCTTGTTTTGTTACTTTTAGATGACTTTTAGAACACATTAATATAATCTATATAAAAAAGTAATGTTATGATCTTCCCAGAATGCCTTGATAAATATCCTTAATATCTGTGAAAATAGTTGCAGTTTGGTGCAGACTCTTGAATAATACCCAAGACCTTGTTAGACATCTAATTATGGACCACTTTCTTTCAGTATGAAGTTCTTCATCTGCTATCTGGTCGGCAGTTGGGCAACCTTTTGATCAACAGTACAGCTATCCAAAATCAATTCAAAGCAGTGGAGATTCTGGTGGAAGTGCAAAAACGTTCCGCTGTAGAAGTGACTGAATTTATCCAAGAATTTAATACAGTTGCAAAAGAGGTATGCAGCCAGAGGGGGTAGAGTCAGTTTTAGAACAGTTTTAGAACAGTGTGGTTAATAAGCAACAGGAAAGAAAATAATGTAAGTTATACATAATTCACGTGATTCACATTAACACTTCCTTCTTCTGTTTTTCTAGACAGGATTAATCAATGTGGCAAGCAGTAACATTCAAGATCTGATATTCCAATCTGTATATCCAATATTAACTTCTGAAGTTGACATATCTTATTCAGCAGTCTTTAAAGATCTTGAATATGTAATATCGAGCATCAGTGTGTCGGATATACAAAAAATATCTTGGAATGGAGACTGTGATGAGCAGACCTCAGTGTAAGACCATTCAATTAAATGTGGTACAATTCTTTTAAGCTCTTGTACTATTGTATCACCTTTATCTTTCTAATTTGCTTTTGAACAATATCATCCTTAACTGTAGGGTTCATCCATTTTCTTCGCAAAGGCGCAAACTAATAATTCTAACTATTTTTTTTTAATATATCATGTATAAAATTGGGAGTATTTCTTTGTTGGAAAAATAAATTATCATAGGTTTTTCAAGATTATTATTATTATTATTGGCAATTATGTAGCACATATATATTCTGAAGTGCTTTGCATGTTTAACGAGGACATGTAGCAAAAAAATAATACAAAGACAAACTTGCAAGTGCTAACCAGAAACAAGAGGCTGTCTTTTAATGAATAAGCGTTCTCTGTGTTAAATCCAGGGTTGGCAGTTTTGGAGAGGCATTTGACAGGTTGTCAGAAGACAAGAGAAAAGCATTCTATGGAAAGATTTCTGAAAATCTCGCCGAGGCCAAGAATACCAGAGGTATGCTATTGAAAACATAACATGATACAGTATATCATAGATCAATGGTTGATAGGAAATTATTGTTGTTGTCACAAAGTTTTGTTTTTTTATCCCAAATGATGCTATTTGTTTTTCACTTCACTATAATTTACTTTTAAGTGAATATCCCATTAGCAATTTCTAGAAGGATAAAACAAATTGAAAAATTATGAATTGATTAGTGTTAGAGATCAACATTGGAGTTTAATTGCTGCCGTTACACAATATTTAAGAACTGTCATGTTTTCCTGGACGTATATCACTTTTTCATGTTGATGAGTGCTTGGAGTAAATAAATAAATGAATAAATATAGTTCTTCGGGGGAACCTGTCTTGAAGATTCAGCTGATTTACATCCTGCATGGCATATGCATTTATAAAGACAGCACTTTGAACTTATCGGACAATGACATGTAGAGGTCGTTTAGGTCCTTTAAATCATGGTGGAAACTATAAAAATATAATATAATATGAAATGTCACATGGAATGAATGATTAATTTAATTACATTGACTGAATTGCTAACTGATTATAAATCACTGAGAATGATGACCGTATAAAAGATATGCTGATGAGATAAGATATTAAACGTATTTTTGTATCTTTTTTGGAAGGCTCAGCCTGTAGCTCCGGGAAGGACAGCAAACTATGGATTCGGGAGTGCTTTTCTTCCTTCATTGCTTATGCCGATCTAGAAGAACTACAGCAGTTGAATTCTAACTTCTCTGTGGTAAATACTATTTTTATTAATCATGTTTCTCACACATTCGTCTTTACAACTTTTTTTTTGTAATATTACAAAAATATTTTTTAATAACATGTATTTATATAGAGCCAGCAAATTCTCCAGCACTTGATATAAATTCAAAGTGAATAAACCGAATAAAAGAACATAGTATAAAGAAAACAATCAAAACAATAAAGTGGAGTTTGAGACTCTAAATATAGTATAAATCTCTAATCCAAAAGTGCTGAACTCACCATTTGTAGAGTTAATTATACAGCATAATGTGGGGGTATTGATATGGTTGCAGATTTTTAATGCTGTGGGATAAAATGTTAATACGTCATGGCATCTGGTTAATACAGCAGACTTGGAGATTGCAAATGTAGGTTTAGGTCAGGGGTGCCCAAAAGGTAGAACCTCAAATGTTGTAGAACTACCCCTTCCATGATGCTTTTTCATGCTAGAGCATTCAAAAGGCATGCAAAGCATCATGGGAGTCGTGATTTTACAACATCTGGGGATCTACCTGTTGGGCACCCCAGGTTTAGGTGATACTTTGAATTCATTCAAACATTTGTGTTACAATGTATTATATAGAACATGTTATAGTTTAAGGTTGTGTAGATATACAGCCAGTGCTCACCACAACTCGTCCTAGAGTACGTTCACAAGTCACGAGTCCCATCTAACATCTGGCAAAGATTTCCAAAGTTTAATTTAGAGTTGGATGTAGGACATGTTAGAGGGCTGGTTTTAGGTGGGGCATAAGTCAATGTATATGGGAGGATCCATAGAATTTACCCTTGGGTTGAAGCCAACTAGCAATGCCCCGTGAGGGACATTTAGAAAAGTGCAAGTGAAAAGTGCTTAATTTTGTTGTCCTGGGATTTTCAGCCATGCTCATTGCTACCACCGTCTTTAATTGGGTGGAATGCTTTCTGTATGACACATTGACCCAGTTTTGCTGAGCAAGCAGCATTACTGTAGCCTGTTTGAGTTCTGTGTTACACATTAGTTAATTCTTTCTTTGTTTCAGATTTCCGCTGTGTCAGAACTGACTGGAACTCAGCTTGCAGATTATCTCTATACATCAGGGGGCCTGGAAAATGAGGAGATCATCACCCAAGTGTTTGATAGTTTTGAAAAAACCGAACAAGTGTATGAGTGTTTAACTCAGCTGAACACTATTGCCCCGGTAAGATTACGTACCTATTTTTCAGTGTTAGGCTTTTTGGAGAAAATAATACGTTCCCTCTTTTACAACATCCCATCCTTAAAGGGAAACCATATTGCCAGGAAAACAAGATAGTTTTCCCTGTTGTGCAGGAGCTGCTCCTCTGATGATGACAGCGAGGGGGGAGACCTAATGCGCATTATACAATGGTTTCCTGTAGGGTGTCAGGTGATGCTGGATATCATTGTACATAGTGTGAGGACGTCCAGCATCAGTTAGGCGACCAGAAGTCGCCTAAAGACCCGGAAATCCCACTAGTGGCTCTCTCGTAGACAGCCACTAGAGGTGGAGTTAAACCTGAAAGGTAATTATTGCAGTGTATTAAAAACTGCAATAATTAACTTTCCAAGGTTAAGGTTTAAGGGACCTGGGAATATGCACCCAGGCGGCTATAATGAGTTTAAGTGGCCTGGGTGCCTATAGTGTACATTTAATAGCATAAGACCAGAGAAGTATCAAGATCCCACAGGACCTTGGGCAAGTTACCAGTCTGGGTTCTCCTCTTCATTCTTCACAGAGGGATGGTGTATGGGAACAAGTCAATTCATAGTCCTATCTAACCTCCTGGTCCTAGGCGAAAGCCAGATGTTCGCTTTATGGTTAATCCTGCTCTGCATGGGAGGTTTAGATATAGAACTCTAGGAAGGCTAACGTTTGGCCGTATTTAGACCAAGACAATATAAAGGTACATTTGCCCTGCCCCCCCCCCCCCACCTCCTCCTCCTGTTAAAATTGTTGAAATGTGCTGTGCACTATTAAAATCTAATATATTCTTACAAAAAAAACTAAAAAAAAATATAAAAAAATAACTAGTCAGCTAAAATCCAATCTCTGTTTTGTCTTGTGATTGCAATGATTTGCATTGTATTGCTATAATAATAAACTATAAAGGGTTCAGTATAAATCGTAATAGAAGCGTGCATCCTTCGTGAATAAGGAGACATATATAACGATGGAATTAAATCGTAACAATGAACTGCTGGTGAAAAGAATGAAGTTGCTATGGTGATTCATTTGTGGTCTCTCTTTTTTTCATCCTTCTTTAACTGCCAAAAATAAACACAGTCAGCACAATAAACAGGCGTTTATTTTCAGGCTTTTAAAATGAATTAAAATTAAGCTGAATTTTACATTAAAATGCCAAAATAGCTGAATTGAAAAAATAAGCTAGTCAGTCATGTTTTCAGTTGGGCTATTTAAACTGAAAAAAAATAAATGCATTTGCTTTGAATTCCCAACAGTGGCATGTTTATTCACTAATTCAAAGTAAATTTAAAATGAAAGATAAGAGTAGATGTATTGGAAAAGTTCAGTTTGGCTTCTTGGGCGTAAAATTAGAAATTTACTTTGAATTTACTTTGAATTCTCACTGTAGTGAAAAACCCTGTAAGTGAATAAAAAATGTAGAATATTCACTTGGCTCGATAAAAGATGACTTTGTTGTATAGTGTTTAGCTTGAACGCTCACGCTACTACATACCAAGCAGGCCTATCTTCTAAATAAATGTAAACAATAATGATATGTATTCATAAAATTAACAAATCAGTAATGACTATATGTAGTCAATGCAAAACCCATCAAAGAGGTGCTAATTACTGTGTCTTTTAGTTAATCTATGGTCCATGGTTCTATAACGACCCAATACATGCTACATTAATCTTTTTGCAAATCAACCCTCATTATAAGAGAATAGTAGAAATATATGATGAATTAAAACGACTTTATTTAAAGTAGCATACAGAGACTTTTTTTTACAGTCAATTAATGTAAATTAGTGTTAAAGTGGTTTATGTAATACATTAATATCTATATATTTTTTTAGGCTGATCTGATAACTAGGTCTAATCAGGAATTAATTATCAAGAAGACATTGGACGTGATTTCTGTGGACTTTCCAGGATTCACTACTAAAAAATGGACAGATTGGTTCCAAGGACCTCTAGTAAAATTCCTGCCGACTATGGCTGAAAGGGATTTTGATAAATTTAACCTCCCCTTACGCTGTGACAACTACCAGGCAATGTAAGTATAGTTACTTTCCATCACAGTACAAACAGTCTATATATTCTGTTGATCTTTTTTTTCCCTCAATGTTAAATGGACACTATAGTCACCAGAACAGCTACAGCTTACTGAATTTGTTCTGGTGAGTAGAATCATTACCTTCAGGCTTTTTGCTGTAAACACTGTCTTTTCAGAGAAAATGCAGTGTTTACATTACAGCCTAGTGATAACTTCACTGGCCACTACTCAGATGGCTGCTAGAGATGCTTCCTGGGGCAGCACAGTGTGAGTGACAGTCAGTGTCTCCACCCTCTGCATGCAGACACTGAACTTTCCTCATTGATATGCATTGATTCAATGCATCTCTATGACGAGATGCTGATTGGCCAGGGCTGTGTTTGGCTTGTGCTGGCTCTGTCCCTGATGTGCTTCCTTGACAATCTCAGCCAATCCTATGTTTTCCTATGGGAAAGCATTGTGATTGGCTGAAATCACCAATGCTGATGATATCAGCCAAGGAGGCAGATCATGAGCAGAGTCAGCAACAGCTGAATGGAATAAAGTAAGAAATTACTATATTTAGGAGGGGAAGGGATGGCCTTCATAGATGGAGTTTTAACACTATAGGGTCAGGAATACATGTTAGTGTTCCTGACCATATAGTGTTCCTTTAACTACTTAAAATAAAAGGAGTAAAACGTTTCTAGCTCAAATGTGTTTCCTATGGCTAAAGAGTACATTCAATGACATACAATAAGTTTTTTTACTTCTAAATGCTAAACAGCAAAACTGTCAAAATCACAGGTTCCGAATTTTTGAGCTATACTTAGAGCTCCTCCTACACTACTAAGGAAATTTTTCTAAATTTCCAATTATGTTGCAATGTTGTGTATTGTATTATATTGTAAATTTGTATGGTGTACTATTAGCAATGTAATATATTATATTATGTTTTCTGTATACATCTTTAACTTCCATGTAAAAATTTATATGAATCGAATATTGACTATATTATATCTATAGAAGTATAAATTATTAATGGAAGTATTGTTATTTGTAAAATGTTTAAATAAAAACATAAATAAAATTTTAAAAAAAATTAACACAGGTTCCGATAGGCTGGTGAGTCCACTCAATTCATGATATTGGTATCTGTTACTAAAAATGCATGTTGCAATGCAATTCCAAGATGTGCACATCCACTCTGTAAATTGAGCATATCATACATTTACATCTACATCCCCTATACAAGCATGGCTGCAAGAACATTCTAATAATGATATGAGATGACAGGCAACAAACAATATAAAAAAATTTAAATTATTAAAAAAATATATTTTTTTTTCATTGCTTAGTCAAATTCGGGACATGATCAGTGACTATTTATTTACAGGCAAAGTGTGCTGTCTCACTTGTCTATTTTTTTTGTGTACATTTTAAAACACATTAGTAATATTTCTGTTTTACTGTGAGAACATGCAATTCGAGTACTGAGTGGAGTGAATGACAATAATCCTTGGAATCAAATAAAAATGTATTGAGTAGCACATGTTACAGAAATGGAATAGCTGCTGCAGAACTTATAACCCCAAATGTTCCTATTTTAGTCATTAATATAGAAACATAGAAACATAGAATGTGACGGCAGATAAGAACCATTCGGCCCATCTAGTCTGCCCAATTTTCGAAATACTTGTAATTAGTCTCTGGCCTTATCTTAAGTTTAGAATAGCCCTATGCCTATCCCACGCATGCTTAAACTCACTCACTGTGTTAACATCTACCGCTTCTGCTTGACGGCTATTTCATGCATCCACTACCCTCTCAGTAAAGTAATACTTCCTGATATTTTTAAACCTTTGACCCTCTAATTTAAGACTATGTCCTCTTGTTGTGGTAGTTTTTCTTCTTTTAAATATAGTCTCCTCCTTTACTGTGTTGATTCCCTTAATGTATTTAAGTGTTTCTATCATATCCCCCTGTCTCTTTCCTCCAAGCTATACATGTTAAGATCCTTTAACCTTTCCTGGTAAGTTTTATCCCGCAATCCATGAACCAGTTTAGTAGCCCTTCTCTGAACTCTCTCTAAAGTATCAATATCGCACAAATTAAATTTAAAACTAAATAAATAAATAAATAATTAAATTAAATTAAATTAAGTATTAATATATGTACGAATTAAGTTATGGGTTATAAGTTTTGATCATTACTATGCATGCATCCATTGGTGTAGAGAAGATTGTCTTTGGGATACAATGTACTTCATTTCATTTCACTTGTGTCCTTAGTTTTGTATTGTTTGTAGTCAGTGACTTTTATATGTTTCTAGCTAGATAGATTAATACTTTAAAAAAGCACCTCTGCAGTTTAATTTTGTATCCCCTCTGTTATGCCTTTTTTATGATTTTTTTTTGTATTTTTGTTGTGTTTTTTTTTTCTGAAATAAATGTATAACCATTTGACATGTCACTTGCTGTTACAGATTGAAAGGTTTTAATAATGCCTTTGACCGCATGACACCTAGCAAGCAAAAAGTGGTTTATGATAACTTTGTCAAAATACAACTTAACTCCACTAAAACCACTACAGGTGTGTTAAATACATTATTAGATGTTATAAGAAATGTTATTTACCACTTATTAAAGAGTTTTGAAATGGGGGGAGGGTATGTCTATTAATAAAACAAAAAAAAAATATATATATATATATTAAAGACAGACATACATAAAGCTATAAACAACAGCATAGTTCTAGGCAGAAATTACAGAAACCATGAACAAATATAACCCTGAGAAAGAGATGTAAGAATATAAGGTTATATAACATGTCTTAAATTAAAATGTGCACGTTTTGGGGACCCAATTTTTGATCCAAGAAGTCCATTGTTTGACATTCTTAGAGTTCCAATTTTCTATTCTTGCACATTGCCATTTTATTTATTCATATACAATATCACTTCTCAGTAAATTAGAAGATCTCCAGTTCCTGGCTATGAACAGTTTAGCTGCAGTGAATATATGAAGGATTATATTGGAAGAATGTTTCAATGCATTTGTTTAAGATTAAGGGGCAGTCATACTAGTTCTGGCATTCTTGCAAGTTTTATGTCACACATATTCTCTATGATATCGAATACTTTATTCCAAAGTATTTGATTTCACAGAAAATATGTGCGACATAAAACTGTGAAACACATGTTTATTAATTTGGCTTAGTATGACCCAATTTCAATAACACAGACCATGGGAAGTACAGCCATAACTCTCGCCCCCTAATCTTACAAAGTTTTAACCCTACCTCCAACGACAAAAGATAACTCAGTGCTTCATTTATACTGAAATATACCACCCTTCCATCTTCAGGTGTTGTCTGTGGCGATTCAACACAGAGAACTCAAGAGTGGATTGATACCAACTGTGGCTCCTTTTTCCAGTATGCTGAGTACATTAATATTGTGCAGTGGAACGAAAAATTCACCGTGGTGAGTGTTGTTAATTGTTTGCAGTTCTCAGAACATTCCAAACATCATAAATCACACTGAGCCAGTGAAATCACTAAATGAATATAAACTTGGGTTACTTTTTTCTCACTCCTAGACGGAAGTCATCTCTTCTCTAAGTGTCGAACAACTGGCCGAGGTGACTCTTCAAAGCAGCAACATTAACAACGAAGAGCTAGCCTGCCAAGTTTCTGGTCGCCTTCAACAGTCAACTGTTACTGAAGTTTATTCTTTTCTGACTCAGTACAATACTGTCTTCCAACAGGTACGTGGCCTCCTTAGGATACTTAGTGAATATTCCTTTTAAGTAGCTTAATTATTATTCTTATTATTTTTAACTAATGTGCACTCTTTTGTGTCAAGATAAATTCATGTTTGAGATGTGTCACGTTTAAATTATGTTTTGCAGCTCGGTCTTTTGGAGTTGTCGAATGACGCTATACGATACAAGTATCTCAGTACAGTCATTGCCATTGTAGAACCTAGTTTGTCCTCTTATACTGTCAGCGAATGGACAGTACTTTTCAGCCAGATCAACATTTTCATGAGCAGCATCGATCACGAATTATCGGCCACCCTACTTGGCGCTGCCACATGTGATAGCTACCCAATCATGTAAGTGTGGGAACATTTGTGCACATTAACGGAGATAAGGAGATAAGGAGTTTTGTCCTGCCTAGGGCAGCACAAAACCAGGATACACCACTGGCTGTCTGTAGCAACTATCAGAGCAGCTAGATATATCTTGTAGGTGGCAAACAGATGGGAAAGAAAGGGGGATATCACCTAAATGTCTAGAATTAATCGAAATCTAGACCAGTAGATAAATGCCTTTCTAACTGCAATTTATCTAGTAAGCAAAAGCGAATATATAATGACAGTGCATAACGAATAGTTCAAAGGTTGAGGTAAGTCAAGTGCAGTTTTATACAAGGTACCTTTTTGGATATTAGCAGGTCAGTGAAGCTGAATATAAAGTATGGTTGTGGAATAGATATAAAATATAGGAACCCAAAGTCTATGCTTAAAGGGTATTTAAATGTCTACTGAATATATGTCTAACAGTGGAGACATCTGATATCTGAAGGTAACGTAAAACCCTAAATCTTTGCCTTTAAGTGCACCTAACCTGCTGCTGACCGAATAAGACGGATAGCTAAGCCTTAATTACTACTATCTATGCACTTTCCCAGCCAACCCCGAAGATCGGTCCTGCAGAGTGGGGGAATAAAGCAAAAATAAATTTAGTTGTGAATATCTATATGCAAAGGTTGAGGTTTAGTAGCAGGATAAGGAGTGCGGCTGAGCCCCAACGCGCTTTTCGCCGGTAAGTGACTCTTCAAAGGGGCTGTTTCAATCTGTTTGCGACCTACAAGATTTATCTAGCTGCACTGATAGCTGCTACAGACAGCTACTTGCCTCTATTCAGTTACACTTCCTACACTGGGACTCGATTACATTGTTACTATTTTTTGCTACTATCCAACTCTTGTAGAGCAATTTAGCAGGATATTTAGAATATATATCTAGACTTTATCCTTAGTGACTTTCGTCTCCATTCTTCACTAGAGATGTCGCGAACTGTCCGCCGGCGAACAATAGCGTGTTCGCATTGGGTGAACATATCCGATTTCCGGTCCGCCCCCTATACGTCATCATTGAGTAAACTTTGACCCGGAACCTCACAGTCAGCAGACAGATTCCTGGGAGGGAGGGTCTGCTGCTGATTGGGTGGAATGTGTCTGCTGGCTGTGAGGTTCCGGGTCAAAGTTTACTCAATGATGACGTATAGGGGGCGGACCGGAAATCGGATATGTTTGCCCAACGCGAACACGCTATTGTTCGCCGGCGGACAGTTCGTGGACAGTTCGCGAACAGTTCGGCGGACATTTCGCGACATCTCTATTCTTCACTATTTAGAATTTTTCTAGTATATATAGTATCCATATAGCAATTTAGTTTTTTTACTAATTCCACCCTTTTGTTCTCCCATGTTTAGAGGTTTTTTACCTTTTTAATTATACTTATTAAATGTTATATTTTATACGTGTTTTTTTCACTATATCAGTGATTCTATTAGGACAGATTACGTTCTTTTGTTGTCTTATCTAAATTCCCCACAAGGGTTACTTCCTAATATCTGTCCTAGATATTTCTCGCATATATACCTATAGCTTCCTACCTGTTATTTTTTGTATTTTTTCAAACATATTATTTTTTTTTATTTTTTTTATGATAACCCTGGATTTTAACTTGTGGTAGTATAAAAAAAATGTTTCAGAAGTTTTACAAATTAGTTATCCCTAGTATATTCCATGAAATTAAGTAAAATCAAGGATAATTATCACTAAATCCTCTTCATTAAAAATTGCCTCTTTTCTTAAGCTGCTTGTAATTTTAGCATTTGGTCAGTGACTTCTGTTTTGTTTAAACATGCAGGACCATATCAGGCCACTGGGGGACAGCAAAGATTTAATGCTGAATACAATAACTCCGTGCCTACTGTGGTATTGTTTTAAGCTTGTTCCATAGATTCCATTTTAAGCTTGTTCCATAGATTCCGTGCCTACTGTGGTATTGTTTTAAGCTTGTTCCATAGATTCCATTTTACAGAACCTTAGTGAATTACAGTTAATGTGCACTCCAAGCATTGTGTAAAAAAACCAAAAAAAACCTCACTGCCTCTAAAGTGAAAAACATTCTGTATATAAAAAAAAATGTTTGCACCACTTGCCAGACGTGTATTAATATTATGTTTTTGCGTTTTTCTTTTTTATAAAGCGTCAAAAATCTCGATGGAGTGTTTGAAAGTTTGTCAGTTGACACCCAAAAGAGTTTATTTGACCTTCTGTATGGGTTCCTCCTTCATCAATACCAAACCACAGGTAAGGAAAGAAACATTATTTATAACTTCTGATCTCACTGTGTGTTAGTCCACCACGTGTCCCAATTACATACTTCCAAATTTTATGTATGTACACTATCCATTAAAAAAACGTTGTTCCCTAAATTACAGTTCAGCAGTGGGGTTCCTGAGATTGATGGGCTTCAGTTGTAGATCGCTGCTACCATGATTAATTATGTCCCTCTCCCTTTATCCCTTTATTAACATACTGGGCAGGGTAACAAAGTGAGCCACAGCTTGTCAATATGTGTGTCTATGTATGGGTGTGGGGCTCTGGACAAACAAAATTTACATGTGCTTCTTACCCACCCACACTGTCGTTCACACAAACACATGCATGTAATTAGTACATACTGGCACATAAATAGCAATTCACACAACTTGTCACATGCTGCAAACTAACTAGCAACAAACTCACACACACATAGACAAATGTGACAAGACAGGGGGGATATGATAGAAACATTTAAATATATAAAGGGAATCAACACAGTAAAGGAGGAGACTATATTTAAAAGAAGAAAAACTACCACAACAAGAGGACATAGTCTTAAATTAGAGGGACAAAGGTTTAAAAATAATATCAGGAAGTATTACTTTACTGAGAGGGTAGTGGATGCATGGAATAGCCTTCCAGCTGAAGTGGTAAAGGTTAACACAGTAAAGGAGTTTAAGCATGCGTGGGATATGCATAAGGCTATCCTAACTATAAGATAAGGCCAGGGACTAATGAAAGTATTTAGAAAACTGGGCAGACTAGATGGGGCGAATGGTTCTTATCTGCTGTCACATTCTATGTTTCTATGTTTCTATGTTTCAAATACAAGTATGCATGTATGCACAGACACATAATATATATATTCATACATAGATATACACTAACTAGTTATCATAGACACAAACTAACACGCAATCATAAGTACATTAAGATACATGCCTAGCCACATGATCTTGGTTCCAGACTTGCCCTGCTGAAATGGGCCACTTAGATGTGTGCTTGGGTGGAAGGGTGGGTTTTGTTACAAAATAGCTAGTATAAAAGGGGGCAGAAAGTCCTTGGTACCCCAGCTGCTGTGGATTATAACGTCAATAAAAACATGTTTAGACAAAGAAATGTTGGGGAAAAAAGGCATTATTGTGAAGCAAAGCATGGCATTTTTGGCTCAGGAGACATCTGATCCAATTGACCAACTTTATCTTTTTTTCTTGTGTAATTTGTAAAGGGTCTGCTTGTCCTGTCCCTGACGAATCCAGCAGTCAGTGGATAGAGAGATTATTGAAAAGATTCTTTAAATATTCTAAATATACCGCCATTACGGGTATTGACAGCAACTTCAATGGGGTAAGTTTGCAAACAACTCATACAAGCAACTTTTCTTTTTGCATAAAAACACAATTTCCATCCGTTTGGTATATAAAAGGTGTATGTTAAATTAGATAACTATATGCATGTCATTACTGTTTTCCAGTCAACAATATTCTCCCAATAATGGCAACTTGCTCTCTGCTTTAAATAGTAATTATACTCCCCTGGTGAAACCATAATTCCTCATTAATCATCCAAATGAATCTACTGATCATAACATTTACTGACAAATTCAAAATGAATTTGTCTGCCTGCCTGTCTGTCTGTCTATCTATCTATCTATCTATCTATCTATCTATCTATCTATCTATCTATCTATCTATCTATCTATCTATCTATCTATCTATCTATATATCTATCTCTCTCTCTCTATCTATCTATCTATCTATATATCTATCTCTCTCTCTCTATCTATCTATCTATCTATCTATATCTATATCTATCTATCTATCTATCTATTTTTAATTAAAATTTGTTTCCTCAAGAAGATTCCATGCCTATAGAGCATTCTGTTTTTTTTTTTATAAACCAACTAACCATTGATTAATAGATACTATTGTGTTTTGTAAAGTGTATAGATTGGCAGTCATCATACTGGTATATAGGTTTATTTTTATTTATTTTTAAAAACAATTTTTGACAGTAAGAGAGAGTCACTCCCAGAACTTTTATTTATTTAAAATATTCCCTCAAATAAACATAAATGTTTAGTTAAAATTAGAAGTGGAGGGTTGGTGAGGATCTAAACTAATATCAATCTATTCTTATGATGACCTCATAAAATATTGACACAGTTCCTATTAATTCATCTATTGGAGATACATCTAGACCCCTTAAAAGTCAATGTGATGATGGTAGGTCTCCTATGTACTGTGAAATACCCTTTATTCATATAGATTGAAAACCATCTGAATGAACTTCTGAAACTGTAAAACTTTATTAACTAATTTAAAATGTAGATATTGTTAGTAGGACACTGGTAGAAAATATCTTAACATTATACTTATTTTGTGCTTGCAGCTACAAGTTATCAATTTACTAACTCCACATCAACTGGCTGACTTTGCCTTTACCGGGAATGTTCTTACCAACACGGAGAGCGCCAGCGCCCTCGCTACCACCTTGGGGAACTATGGTTTTACCCAGATCAACGATTTCCTGGACAGCTTTAACGCTGCAGCAGACGCGGTAAAATTGGTTTTAGTATGGACTCCTTGTTTTAGTGCCACTGATATTGTATTATTTTACTGTAATCCTAATCAAGAAAAGTTTGTACATTGTACATAGTGTATTTGTACTGTACATAGTGTGACTGGTCAGGAATCAAACTGAATTCAAAAAGTAATTTTACATTTTAAACCAAATTAGTAGAACTGAAAACATACCTGAGTTGAATTTTGTTTTCCCTAACATTTGAAATGCACTTTGAACTTCTGACAATTCACCCTTTAGTGAATAACCATGCGAGCCGACACAATATGAAGAATAAATAACAAACATGCACATTTTTCCTTACAGACAGGTACTGTTGTCTTGCCAAACAGGGAGACTTCCAGTTCTCTACTGAATGTAATTTATGGGAAAGCCTCAGCTCAGTTCAACGGCTTTACAAGTGATAACTGGATCAACTTTTGGTCGCATAAATTACGTCTGTTCATATCAGGCCTAACTGGAGATCAGATTAACCTCATCCCATTCAATATTGATTGTAGGGCATACCAAGGCATGTAAGTACAAATGAGCTTCACCTTCCAATGAATACATAAAGGCTTTATAATTGTTGCTTCTGTTAGAATCCTCTGAAGCAGTGGTTTCCAAGTTCTCGAGGCACACCAAAAGGCTAGGGAAAGTGACAAAACCCAGACCATTGGTGCCCTGAGGACTGGGTCGGAAAACCTCTACTCTACGGAACGATAATGTGTCTTCTTTGACACATTGAAGATGTTTTCTATAGTGGTCACTCTTTATGACACAGCCAAAAAGTTTGCTTTCACATGAAAGTACCCTAAAGTATATAGAGCTGAATATGTTCTTGTGAGCCATTAATATTTCTCTTGAAACAGAATATAATATTTAGAATATAATAATTGCAACTGTATGGTGCTTATCAACTATGATTCTAAAAACTGAGCTCTGAACAGATACAGTAGTCATTTAATATGACAATTTCAAACTGGCGAGTTTTAAAGCATTAGAACAGTGTCATTAAATCACAATTGGAAAGGGAATTGTTTATAAGGATGCCACTATAATGGGGTGAAAGATAGGGGACATAGGATTTTGCAAACGTTACTTTTTAGGCTTAGGATGGGGGTGTTTAGGGGAGACTTGCAATTACACAGAATTAAGCTTGGAGACCAGCAGTGTACCCAGCATTGCAACATGCCTGTCATTAAAATTGGACTTCTAATTATCCACGAGTTGTTTCAGTAGGGCAACATTAAAGTGTCGATCTTTGAAGAGTTGATATTTGTAAAGTGAATTGTCCACTGCACTACCTGCACAGTGAAGTTAACAAGTTAATATCTTTTCCTGTACAGAATTTCAACACTGAGTAACAATTATGATCAACTGTCAAATGAGACCAAGCAAGCTGGATTCACTTTTGCAAAGACCTATCTCTTGGGGCGGAAGCAACAAACTGGTAAGTGAAAGATAACGGCACTTTCCTATAGTCGGTGTCTCCTTGGCTTTTGATACAGTACAGTATATTTGCACGTCATGCTTGAAATAGGTCATAGGTTGTCAAGGCTTATTGGCTTCAAAGATAATTGGTAATCAACAGCCACAGGGCCTACCAAAGCTTCCGTCACATCCGATTGAATCTTGATATTTTTTTCTTCTCTTTCTGTTATTTCAGGATCAGTATGTATTCCACAAACACCAGGTAGCTCTGCATTGCTCAAATACAACCTGGGGTCCTTCCAAAATATGGTCAGCTATCAAGAGATATCAAATCTCTTTCAAGATTTTAGCTTTGTAAGTATGCAATCACAATAAGTTTTGCTAATGGATTGTCATTAACATTGGTTGGTGTTTATACATAAACAAAACCCATTAGCATACCACTATGGATTTTTGTTGCAGATTTTTTTAAAAATAAAATGTACTGTGTTATACCATAAGAGGTCGGAGTTGAGTGAACTTGTTGAAATTTCCACCAGAGGTCTAGGGCAATATTTCATCATACGAACATAATGCTTTACAATCATCAACATAACCTAACTTTTTTCCCTAGACTGACGCAGCGCCACTCCTCGATGAGGAGCAATTGGCTTACTATAGCGTAAAAAGTGGTGCTCTGAGAGACACAGATAAGATCACAAGTATCATGGCCAGTGTGAGCAACTTGGATGTTGGTTTGTTTCTGGATTACTTCAACCTTGCTGCAGGAGAGGTAAAATAAGTTGCAAAATGTTTTTTTATAGGAACCTTGCATCCTAATTTTAAATTCTTCTTCTTTGGCTTATGTTCTTTCCAAAACTTTTGGACCCTTAAATAGGAATATCTCACATTGAACTAGCACATGGATGGATGGACGGATGGATAGATAGATAGATAGATAGATAGATAGATAGATCGCTTTAACACAAAATAAAATAACATACCTTGAATATACAGAAATACAACAATATAACATATAAAAAAAATATACAAAAGGAAATTTCCAAAAAAAAAAAAAGAGACACACGAGAGAATGTAAAGAAAAAGAGAGATAGCAGAGAAAGTGAAAGACATACATGACAGACGGAGGTAAAGACACAGAAAGGTCAGGTAAGCTAAGTCATTAGTAAGTCTGGAAGGTTATTGGTTGCCTACAGTTGGAAAAGCATCATGGGTGATCTACCTTTTGCCAACTGCTGCTTTAAAACATAGGCTTTGTTACATTTTTTCAGAAAGACCCTGTTAGACTATGTATCATCTAGTACTATGTACACCAGTTGCAACACTTATGTGATGACTCATATTTCAGGCTGGACTTACGCAACTGCCCAACTCCCAAGTCAGGGACATCATTCTTGGAGAAGTATTCTGCAAGCTTGGACTAAAATTCCCATTGTTCTCAGCGTCTGACTTCACCAACCTGTTCAGTGATAGGCTCAAGTTTTTCACTAGTGGACTTAGTTCAAAGACCCTCGGCTTCATAAACACAGACATATCCTGTGACTCACTCGCTGCCATGTAAGAAAATCAACCATGTTTTTTGTAACTGCATACACTGGCTTTAGACATACTGTATATTAGAATGGGATACTCTCCATCACATGCAAATGACTCTTACTGTTGTATCGGGTTTCACATCCATGGATCTTAGTTGCAATCGCAGTCATAGTCGGAGTGTTATAGAAATTTGGGACACAGAAGTACATCCTTGATCAGATGATTATCCTCAGCCTTTGATGTACTTTTGGGCACTGCTAGAGATTGCTGGAGATTTGGAGGCCAGTCAATATTATGTGGGTGGTGGCTTATATGTATTACCGTAGATGCCAGGAACATTTTGGGTAGTCTGGAGGCCCATTTTAGTAATAGTTGATCCTATGAAAAGCTAGCAGGTAACATTTAGTTAATGAACTATATATAATGAGAAGAACTCATTTTATATCATGAGAAGAACTTGGTAGAAAGGACTCCTAGACTACTTCTCCTCTCTAACAGAACATAGGTTGTTGTTTTTTCACAAAACTCTAAAAGTTAAAAAAATCAATGTCCCTTCTGGATAAGTCTGTTCATTCCATAATTCAGAGACACTTCCTCCAGCTTCTTGTTGGGAAATGAACATTTTTATACTAAAATAATGTCGCCTCTACAGCGTCCAGTCTCTAAACGATGTCGTGAATCTGGAGCATTCTCAAGACATTTACAATTTCCAGAATTCAAGTCTGAAGTTACAGTTACAAAACACCGGTAAGTGCAAGAGGTTTTGGGACACATGTTAATTAAATCATAAAACACAGGGTCTAGGAATCTAACTACAACCAAATTGCTTACATTCTATAGAATATACAGATACAGTTTAATGACATTGGGGACATCATTAAGATGCAAGGTAGGGAGAACCTGGTTTCTGGTAGTTTTCCAAGTCATCTAGAAAAATACATTTTTCAAAAACATTAATGGAATTTATGTAGAGCATGAGATGGAAATAGAGAGGATAGAAGCAAAAGACTCCAGAACTGGCTTGAACCTAGGGAAGCATATGCAACCCTAACATGGTTTATTTAGTGAATAACTCTGTAAGTTACACATTTTGTTTAGCCTTGTGTGCCTTCCCTTAAGTGTGGATAGAGTCCTTTTTTGCACAGAGTATCATTTTTAAAATGCCAATTAGAGCACGTGGGATTGCTTCTCAAAGAGCTCATGGTGACGTTTAATATTATTCATGTGACTGCTTGTTCAACAGAAATAATTGGTTTTGGTGACACAAGAAACGATTGGCTTACAATACTTCTCAAACATGTTTCTTTGTTTCTTATCCCATTTCCAGAACTGGATAACAACATTAATCCATTCATATAGCCATACACTCCTTGCTTTTTATGAATATATATATTGCTCTTTAATAACACATATTGGAGAACCATGAATAAAAGCATGGGTGTGTACCCCTTTTGAAGTTTTTTAAATTATTATTATAATGAACCATTTATCAAATATACCCCAAAGCTATCAACAGAACCCATTGGACGCTAAAATCATAGTAGGCTTTCCTAAATCATTTATTATGTCTGTGGGACTGATAAAAAAAAGCCAATTAACCTATACGGCGTGTAGTTGTACACATCATTCCTTCTCAACATTTTTATAAGCAACCCAGCAGTGAAACGGTCAATAAATGCATATTTTTCTCAACCCTGCTATCCTTTCCTTTCTAACCCAACTACAGTGTTCTGTTATTTTCTATAGAGATCTTTTCTAACTGTTTCAGTGTTGAGATGATCATAAAACAGGGGCTTCGAGGTACCATAGTCCATACCTCCAGCTGTATAGATATAGCCATCCAATAATGAATGAATTACCCATAGATTGAATCTAATTTGCCATTTTTCATTTTTTTCCCTCTAGGATCTGCCTGCAGTAGAGGACTAAATGCAAGGGAATGGATTCAGAAATACTTTGGAAAATTAATTGTTTCTGCAGAGTGGAGTACCATCACAACATATTACCCCGGCATTCAAGCAGTAAGTCATTTGTAAAACATCCACATATACAGCCAAACGTCGGTGGGTTTGATATGCACCACATATTGATAGAGTCATCATTTAATTGTAAAAATGACTACAGTTATTCAGTATCAAAAATAATGTAATTTTGTATCATTGATATGAGAAAGGAAATGTGCAACATTTACATTTTCTTTTTTCTCTTTCTTTCTTTTCAGAGCGAAGTGTCAGATTTACTGACTAACATCCAGCTGGCTAGCGCTTCCACCTCCTCTACCATCATTACAAACGTTACCTCCATCAGCATCATATTTAGCAGTGCTTCAAGTGATCTCTCATCCCTTTTCGGCTTCATTTCATCATTAAGAAGCCAATTGTTACAGGTTAGAGAAAATGTAGCGATGCCTGAAGTATAAAACTGCTGTATTGCTAACGTATATTGTAACAAATATAGTGGATGATCAATGTTTTCAAATAATGGACTATAGGCTTTTAAGAAAAGAATTCCAACATAGGCCTAGATTTTATATTTTTCCATATGTTTTACAAATGATTTAATATTTTTGCATAAATTAAATTATTATTTAGGCACCCAGACCACTTCAGCTCAATTAAGTGGTCTGAGTGCAGGGTCCCAGGTCCCTTAACCCTGCAAAAGTAATTATTGCAGTTTTTGATAAACTGCAATAATTACCTTTCAGGTTTAACTCCACCTCTAATGGCTGCTGACCTAACTGACGCTGGATGTCCTCACGCTATGCATGGGGACATCCAGCGTCACCCGAAACTCCATATGAAAGCATTGTCCTATAGGGAAATCCTAATGCAAGCGTGGCCATTGTCGCGCATGCACATTATGTCTCCCCCGCCGGCTGACTGCAGCAGGAGGGGAGCAAAAAGCAGACTTGAGCCACTACCAAGCTGCCTAACCCAGGTAAGTGACAGAAGGGGTTTCTAAAAAGGGGTGGGGGGCTCGCGAGGGATGGAGGGGAAAGCTATAGTGCAGAAAACAAGTTTGTTTTCCTGGCACTATACTTTCCCTTCAATGTTCTTCTTTTAAAATGTATACACAAGACATCACAAGTCAGTCCAGATGCAGCTAGGGCACACAGTGCAAATGAGAAGTAAAACTCTGAAACATTGTTGCAGTTTCTCTTCTTGGGGTAACTACATTCAATTGCAGAAAAGGGGCAAAATTTGATTAGCGAGGAGTCAATATGGAGATGCCCAGTTCCAGTACAATGCTGAACAGACCAATGGGAGTTTTATTTTTTAGACCTCGCACAATTATATTTGCGAAACATATGGAATAAGTAAACATAATATTAAAACATTTGGGAAAACGACAGTGTTCCTTTAATAACTAACATTGTACATTTCTAATTTATTGCTCACAATGAGCAGCTCATTCAAACATTTGTTGACCAGGACAATGTTTCAGCAGAAGAAAAATAAAAAAAATAAAAAATATTTAATGTATAAAAATCCATGTAATGATACATTATCGTCATTATGTCATCTCTGCATGTTTAAAACCTCTCCACATTCACCTCTAGTCTTTCAAATCTTTAAACATAATTTTTCGGCATAATGTTTCAAATCCTTCAATCGAATATTTCTATTTTATGTTTTTAGGATCCAACCTTGACGCTGACTGCCAAAGTTAGAGATAGCCTCCTGTCTTCCACAGCAGAAGCTTTGTTTCCAGTGGCAGGAACATTGCCTTTAAAAGACTGGCAGGACTGGTTATCTAATCTGAACTTTTTGTTACTGTCAGTAAACTCCACAATACTGCAAAATTTCAAAAATGATCTCCCTTGCTCTCACTTCCAGTCTCTGTAAGTACCAAAGCACAAGAGGAAATAGGTTTATATTTAACAATTATTTATTAGATAGCAAGGTAAAGGCAGAGAAGAACCTAACATTAATAGGAATTCAAACTGTATAACTAAGTTACCCATTGTTCAATGATATGGTATATGACAAAATCAGTTTTACAAAACACTTTCTTTAGACATTTTGGGGAAGATAGTTCTGGTGTTTTTTTAGACAGCCACTAGAGGCGCTTTTTGGCACAAACAGAGTAACACTCAGTCACATGATGAGGATACCCCATGGGAAAGCATTGAGTCAATTCTTTCCTATCAGTAATTTTGGATGCATCTGTGGCGTTTGCCATGACCCTCTCAGCACTGGAATAAGCTAAGTAAATCTTTCCTTTTTTTCCTTTTTTTTGCTCCGGGGTACCTATTTAGAGCTAGAGAGAGGGACACTATAGTGTTAGGAATAATTATTTATTTTCCTAACGCTGTATTGCTCCTGTAAGAAAACTAAATTGACAGAATATCTAATAACAACCAAGTATAAAATGGGTATTTTTTTTGTCTTTTGTTTTTTCTGATCTGCGTAGAAAGATTTCTTAAACTGTGCAAATATGTAGACCATTCTCGGGTGAGATTTAACATTGGTAAATGCAAGGTTATGCAGTTAAGAAGATGGAGAAAGTTATTTCCTAATTTCTTTTTGTGGAATCCAAACAGTAAATTTGTCTTAATTTATCTTTCTCACGCTAGTCTATAATTAGTTACTGTAAAAGTATGAGGGTTCTGCATTTTCTATCTGACCCTGCTACTAGGCAGCTGAATTTCAAAATGACTTAATTAGTATATACAAAAGATATGTTAAAGCATTGCTGATTCTGTTTGTTTCATACTTCTAAATCTTTACAATAAATATTTTTTTCCCAAGAATACATACAATATATACATACACATACGGATAGACATACAAATGGTCTTATCGAATAAATAATTGTTTTAAATTGGAAACCAAATTTCAGGACAAAAGCCAAGTTGCAGTAACAGCTTTCCATTTGCCTTTTTTATATGTAGCAGTGCAATATTTAACTTATTTTGATTCCTTGTTTAGTGAATATACCCCAGAAAGACGAATAGGCAAGATAGATAGTTGGGCTTTGAATTTATCAGGCCAAATCTGCCAAAGCTGAGTTGGGATGTATTTTTCAGCTCTGCTATTTTTATTTCTTGAAGGGACAATCCAGACCCCTAAAACACTTTAGCTTGCTGAAGGGTTTTATGTGTGAAGAATGTATCATCTTTTTTTTCATTTTGCAAAAAGTGCAGATTTAAATACATGTGGACACTTTTATAAATTAACCTTGTTACAACCTACTCTGCCTGTCAATCAGCTAACTGTTCCTGTTACGTCCTGGTTTGTTTAGCTCAGTGGAGCTAAACTCAAGAGGCAGCAATTGCCCAGAGCACCTGCCTTGCAAAGACTTCTCATTGAGCTGCATTGGGAAGTCTGCGATTGGACAGCCTGAGAAAGTCTGGGTAGGGTTAAAGGGGGAGGGAGGGCTTGCAAAGGCCGCAGACAAGAGATCTGAAGCTTCTGCAAGCTTTTTTTTTACATAGACCTCAAAGTAAAAATGCATAATTAAATGTATACTTATTTTAATTGGGGGTCTACTAAACAGATTTATTTACTTTTGATTTGGGCAGTGGAGTGTCCTGCAATTCGGTTGCCAATGCACTCTTTGTGAATAAAGCATAGGAATTATTACATTGATTTATTTTTTCCTTTCAGGATCAAAACTCTGGACTCAATGTACAACACTCTTTCACTGAAAAGAAAAGTTGACATCTTTAATTATGAAGTGTCTTATTTGACTTTTCAAACACAAAATAATGGTAAGTAGAATTCACAGGGTATGCATCTAAAAAATCAAACCCTGCTTGTATTGACGGTAATGCAGGAACCTCTAGAAACCATTAACTGAATACTTACAGTTCGAGCACCATGGGAATTGAATCTGAATGCCAAGGATGGAAATGACTGCAGCGTTTTAGGTTGCTCTTTCAATCCAATAAAAATGCCACCCAACTCTTCTGGTTGTGGGCCTGTGTCCCACCAACCCACATAGTCTGATGTGCATTGTGAGTGGGCTTCCTCTTGGCTTTCTAATCAAACAAAGCTCTGACAGCACTTTGTGTATGGTATACCCTGATGAGGGATGGGTAGCATGACAGTTAGCCAGACTGGCATTTATGAATATTTGGGCAGGATCTACCTTCCACTGTGATACCAGCATTGTTGAATGCGTCACTAGAATGCGCCACTTCCAGCCCTGGTCCTCGCTTATTCTGTTGCACTAAAACAAGTGTGAAACAGCCCTATATACTATATACTACTAATGAACTAGCCAAGTAGATGTTGAATTAACAAATTTGAACAGTTGATAATCCTAGGTATTCTGCACTTGGTTGGTTGTTAACGTTCTTACCACCAATTTAAATTAGTCCAGTAATCCCTCACAGTGTGTATATCCATATCCATCAATTCCTATTTGCATCTCTCCACCCATCCCTCTCTCCACCCATTCATCTATCCACCTATCCATCCAACCATCTATGCATCCATCCACCCATCCACCTACCCACCTATCCCTCCAACCAACCATCTATCCATCCATCCACCCATCCATCTACCCACCTATTCATCCAACCATCTATCCATCCACCCATCCATCTACCCACCTATCCATCCATCCATCCATCCATCCATCCAACCATCTATCCATCCATCCACCCATCTACCCACCTATCCATCCAACCATCTATCCATCCAACCATCCATCCATCCATTCATCCACCCATCCGTCCACCCACCTATCCAACCATATATCCATCCATCCACCCATCCATCTACCCACCTATTCATCCAACAATCTATCCATCCACCCATCCATCTACCCACCTATCCATCCATCCATCCATCCAACCAACCAACCATCTATCCATCCATCCACTCATCCATCTACCCACCTATCCATCCATCCATCCATCCATCCACCCATCCATCTACCCACCTATCCATCCATCCAACCATCCATCCATCCAATTCATCCACCCATCCATCTACCCACCTATCCATTCAACCATCTATCCATCCACCCATCCATCCATCTACCCACCTATCCATCCAAGCATCTATCCATCCACCCATCCATCCATCTACCCACCTATCCATCCAACCATCTATCCATGCATCCATCCATCCATTTGTCTATTTGTCATTAAGGTAGACCTTTTTGCAAAATGCCCAAATGATCAGCTTTTTACTAATTTCTTTCTACAATGTCTGCACTCCAACTCTGAGAAATCCTGATGGTTATTCACTAACAACTAGATTGAGGGAAAGTTAAACTCAATTTTAAACCAAAGTAAGTCAAAACTAAAACATAGCTGCATTGAACATTGTTTTTGCAGTTCAGCTGCTGTGCCCAAAAATGTGAAGTTACTTTTACTTTACTTTGGATTCCCAACAATGCCCCCTTTAGAGAATAACCCTCTGAACGTATATTTTCTCCCGTGTAGACCAGAAAGCTTGAGTGATCATTGTATACTCAAGGTTCCATATGCACATGAGAACATTGGAAATGTTTAGAGCTGAATAGTCATCCTCCAAAGGGAGGTATGAAAGGAGTATACTGAATGGAGACAATCTCAAAGGGAATGTTGATGGGTTCACCCCTAAAGAGCATAATACTATTTGCTGCCAAGTTTGAGGGAGTGGATGATCGTATTTACCAGCCCTTGTGACCCATGTTTATTACATTACTCTAGAGTCCCATCAATTATTAATTTCAAAGCCTTGGGTGCAACTCAACAAATAGAATTAATTCTCATTTCCTGGTTTACAGTGTTCGGGAATGATCTGTTTGTTAATATGGCTGCTACTTTAAGTGTTGAAATTGTTAAACTATTTAGTTATGAATACTCTAACGCTGTAAATGTTTTGTTTTTTAAGGTGATGCTTGCCTACCCAGTTCTGGAGATACATATGATTTTATCCAAACCAACATGGGGAGATTCTGCCAACAGGGATCAGTTAGTGATATTCAGGGATTTTACCCAGATGTTGATACAGTAAGTGTTACAAGATATTGTGCACTGCCAACCTCGCTCATTTCAGTTCAGATTCCGGAGTGAAGAATGCAATTTTCATTTAAGTTTCCTTCGTTCTAGTCTTCCCTGCCAATGTGGTGATAGTGTTCTGTAATGTTATGTAATTTATGTATTTTTTTTCGTGGTTATTCTGTTACATTTAGCAAACTGTGCAGTTCTGACTTGTGCCACTAATTCATTACATCTGTGCCCACCTATATGTTGGTGTTGTAACGTTTTATCAAACCTAACCCCACATTCTTACGTAATGTTATTATTTGGCTAATTTCTATTCATTCATACTTACATCTGATTGCTTAAAGCAATGATTTGTTGCCTCATGAAGATATTTAATAAGTCCTGTTAACACATTATTTTCATCCAATCCTACATCAACTTTTTCAATGCATGAATGCATTCATTGCATCTGCAGGCAGTGTTTTCAAAGTGAAACCGCTAGCAGTAAGATAACATTGTTATATGACATAGATTTACATGATGACTGCTCTAAATCCAGATTTAAAAAAAGAAATTAGATATTAGGCCATCTACTTGCATTGGGAGGTTTTGGTCTAATACCTACCCATGGGATACAAATAAATGATCAGATTGAAATATCACACCCGATGACCAAAGGTCTCAATTTTCAACAGCATAGTAACAACATGACACAATGTTGTTTTCTAAAACAGCTAAAACACGCTGTGACATGACGGTATGTAACATTCTAAAGTTAATTAAACTTTACATTATTTATCTTAAATTATCAGGTCTATTATATTTTAATTTCAGATCTGATTAGATTATTTTTTTTAACTCTAAGCATCCAATGTTTCATTTAAGTAGTGGGTTCCCAGTTGCATATTTTGTCTTTTAACCAAACCACTCACATCATGGCGAAGTTAAATTATGAAACAAATATTAATTAAAACCATAAAATATGCTGTCATATTCCCATCCGACTGGCATGTAAAACATCTATGCCACAAGTTTATTTACATTTTTGTGTAATTACAATTTCTGCATATAGACTGACATTATAGTTTTAACAGCATGTCAGTTGTCATTTGTAATAACCCCAAGTCCAACAAAGAGTCTTGATTGTAGATTTACAAACCAAATGTATTGGATTTTCTTAGAAGTAATAATAAAATCATGAAACAATAGCTGTAGCCTGGACGTCAAAACAACATCATCTATATACCTCCAATAAACCATAAATATGTAACACATTTGTAAAATTTTGGATTGATTACCATCAACACCCAAAAACATAACAAGAAGTAAACAAAGTAAAAGTAAAAGATCGATGAAGATAAAGGAAACTTCACGTAACTTGTCTTTCTGGACCACATCATGTTTTCTAGCGTGTTTAGTTTGATCAGTAGCAAAATATTGTTCTATCATGTTAAAATGTGAACCTCTGCTTACTATCAGAGCAACATCTTGTGGCCTATGTCTGCTGAAAAATGACTACATTGATAAAAGAAGATATATATTTTGAGTGAGAAACAATATGTTCTTTCTAAACTGAGACATGGAATGTATAAAATATCATACATGCAGCTCTCTTTAAATGATTCCTGCATAGAAAAACCATTAACCATAGAGTACATTAAGATAATTTGTTACTTTATGAAGATGTCTACTGCACTGTCCGCCACGTAAAAGATTGGGAATTTGAAATTGCTTCTTACACAAGCACAGTATTTTATCTCAAAGGACAGGAGTCAGAAAGATTAAAATCTGGAAGAATTTATAATAGCGATATTGTATTCCCCTTCAATATGTATTTTGTCATGTACTCAAGAAAGACCCGTTCATTCTGACAATGTATATCATATGTACATTGACATATGCAAGATTGGAATGTTGTATATTTATGTAGTTAATATTCCATATTAAACTTTATTTTCTTGTATGTAATGTGAGGCAGAGGCACTTTCTGTACAGCTGTTATGTTATATATGCCCTGTTACATTTTATGTAGTACCTCTACGTTTGCTAACCTTTCTGTGTAGCTGTCTGTTTGCTTATAATAAATATTGATTTAAAAAAAAAAAACAACAACAAAAAATCTGGTGATTTTGAATAAAGCATTTGCTTGCAAGACGTATTTGTGCTTGATAGTACTAACCCGGTTGCTACTGGTTAAACTAAACTTTTAAAGAATAGAAATAGGGAACATAACTAACCCTTTAGTGACCAGGCTGACAATGCACAATCATATTGCCATATTAGATGAACACATTAGTTAGAAGTATAGGTTAATGGAAGTTGCGGCCTACTATTTGTCCTTTCCCGACTTAATTTAAACTCCTCAACTCAAATTTTTTCAGTCAATCTGGTTATTCTATTGTAACACAATCAAGAAAACAATACATTATTGCAATGATTTGTCCTTACATAAATAATACCTAAAGGGACAATCTACGCACTTAAACTAGTATTTGAAAATATAAAAACAGCTGTATCTGTTTTTAAAAAATAAATTAATTCTGACAAAAATCTCACGTGTGAAAAATACATTTTTATGGTTGCCCCAATAGGAATGTAATAGCGTGACTTAATAAGTTAACACCATATTTTTGATCAGCCTGATTGGAGATTTACAATTAGCTCACGAAGCTATCACTGTGCTTTTGTCTGTGCTGTGCCCACGCTTACTAATCGATACCAATCACAAACTGCATGATTATGGTCGCTATCCGCAATGAATAGATTGTGTCATATGTAAATTCAGAGATACAGTTACGGACAACTGCCGTGGCAAGATACAGGTAAAATGGAAAATGTCACTTTTGACCACATTTTGGGAGATGAGGTCCACTAGATACGCAGTACCAGAATTTGGCAGACACTTATTGGTTCAACGGGTAACGTAGTCCCCCAAAAAACAATAAAACAGTTTTGGAGGTTTAAAAGCTGATTCAGCATACTCCCATCTGGGCATATTACCAATTTAGAGGTTTGCAGATCTGCCCTTTTCTCTTTCTTTGGAGACAGGAGCTATATACACACCAGCATTTAAAGTGACAGGACAGCCACAAAAAACACTTTCCATACACCATAAAACACACCACCATAAATACAAAAAATTACTTTTTATAAGCATCCAGAGAGAGAGAGATGCAGCCAGCAAAGCAAGCTAGATGGGCCGAACGGTTCTTATCTGCCGTCACATTCTATGTTTCAAGCAGTGCTAAAAGCTGCTAATATAGTTTGTGTAAATTTTAATTAATCTGGGTATTATAAAGCACTGACGAATAAAAAAAAACACTACATAAGAAATCTCTTAAGTGATATTGTACTCATTACAAAAACAATGCCTATTATAATACACCCTCTACACGCTAGAATACATTATTAAAGAGTCAAACACGCATAAAGGACATATTAAAAGTCTTGGGAGCAAAAGTGAGTTCAGAAAAGGGACATTATAGATAAAAAAACGATCTAAATAAAATCCATGGTATACTGCAGAAAATATGACTTCTATGTATTGCTATATATATATTTGTGCATATATATATATATATCTCAATACATAGACGTCTTATTTTCTGCAGTGTACAACATATCTTGCATTGCAGAATATATTTTTGAAAAATCAGCAACTAAAATAATAAATTATAATTCAATTTTAGCAAGTATATTCCACAATTATCTACAATTGTGTCCACAGTACTATGAGTATCGGGAAAAAAGTGTCCTGCCCCCTAATAAATCTAGTGCACAGGGGCGGACGGTAAAAACGCCCGGTATGAAAGTACCACCTGCAGCATTCAGATAACAGCAATAATTTATAGCAAGACTAGTATAGGGATAGATAGACCTACTATTGGGTCATAGCTAATACCATTGCATTGGTTAATTAGGTTAAACATGCACTTTATACACTTTGACTAATAATGTTACACACTTTAACCACTTTACACACATTATAAAGTTATAATTAAGGACAAGGTATGAGTGTATGACTTAATAAGTAATCACTGACATATTGATGAGTTACTTACCTTAGTTATCACTGAGTCACACACTGGGATATTACAATATAGTTATATTTAAACTGATTAACTAAGAGGATTATTAACTAAAATGATAATTCTAAGTGAATTTCAAATACAAGGTAAAATTAGCCAAACTGGGTAATGCTTCCAACATGGCAATTCAAAGTGCTAACCCATACCTATAAATCACTAAACAATTCTACCCCCTCCTATATCTCATAGATGAATAGGTATGCCCCTTCTCTGTCCCTCCACTCTGCCCGTGACCTTCTCCTGTCTGCTGCTCGCACTCGTACGGCCAACTCACGCTTGCAGGACTTCTCATGGGCGGCTCCCTTCCTATGGAATAGCCTGCCTACCTCCATCAGACTCTCCCCTAGTCTTCAATCATTTAAGAAGTGCCTTAAACCCCATCTCTGTAGGAAAGCTTATGGCCTCCCAGACTAACCTCTACCTCACATACCTGTCTCTTGCTCTCTCCTGTAGGGCAGTGCTTTACCCTCTCCTCCAGCTCTGCTTCACTCCACCTTGTTTGATTGCTATTTCCTGTCCTATTGTGTTTTATACCCCACCTCCTATAGACTGTAAGCTCGTTTGAGCAGGGCCCTCTTCAACCTATCGTTCCTGTAAGTTTTCTTTGTAATTGTCCTATTTATAGTTAAATCCCCCCTCTCATAATATTGTAAAGCACTATGGAATCTGTTGGCACTATATAAATGGCAATAATAATAATAATAATGGCTACTTTGGCTTTAAATTTGAAATTCACTTTGAATTCTCACTTTAGCAAATAGCCGTATAAGATCTGCATTCGGCATCAGACTGTGAAGGCGCAATGACAGAGGTCTGGGCTTCATCAAACAAAGACTTTGTCTCTCTTACTCCAGAGAGCAATGTGTATCAATGCTAACTTTCACAACACAGAGATTTGGATGGAAACACGTTTAAATGAAATATATGGTCAAAGAAAGTGTGACAAGTTGGGAGTGTATAGTGGGGGATAACTTGTTAGTAGACAATTCACTAACTGGGAGTAAAACTGAAAGAAACACATACCTACACTACAAATAAAAGGGTCAATTAAAACATATAAATACACAAAGAGTGCAATAAAATATCAGCTGAACTATGAATGTGACATAGAACACTTAATCTATCTACTAGGAATCACAAATACAGTGAAATCCTTAATTACTTAGTAACGGTAATGGACTCAGGAACGGTAAATATCTCAAGTGCAGTAAGAGTATTAACTAATAGTGTAATAAAGTAGAAACAACCTTAATCAGAAAAAAATGTTCCCTAAAAATAAATAGAAATATCCACTGCAGTTAAAGGATGGGGTGATACTGGAAGTGTGTGGGACTTAAAAAAAAAAAATAGCTAATAGCATATTTTATTATTATTATTATTATATTTATATAGCACCAACAAATTCCTCAGCGCTTTACAATGGGTGGACGAGCAAACATGTAATTGTAACCAGACAAGTTGGACGTACAGAAACAGAGGGGTTGAGGGTCCTGCTCAATAAGCTTACATGCTAGAGGGAGTGGGGTAAAGTGACACAAAAGGTAAGGATAGTATTAGAGAAGTAGATTGGCACAGTAGTATGCAATGAAGACTTAGTGTGGGTTTGTTTTTGTTTTTTTTGTTTTTTAAATGACAATTGCAGGAAATTAATCACTTGGGAGCCATTACCAGTTTAATTGATATGCTTTTGTGAAAAAGCAAGTTTTAATGATTTTTTGAAGGAGTGGAGACTGGGTGAGCATCTAATGGAAAAGAGAAGGGAGTTCTACAGGAACAGTGCAGCCCTAGCGTAGTCTTGAATGCGAGTATCAGAGGTGGGAGTACGGACAGAGGACAGACGCAGGTCTATTGATATAGCACTATTGATATGTAAAAGCTACTGCTACAAGTCAATAGACAGACGAAATACAAATAAAAAGCAAAATTTCGATACAGTAAGTTGAGTAAAGCTGCGATTAATATATGTCAGCAAGCTGTGTAGCTAAAAAATAAACTAAAGTGGTATATATTAGCGAAACTTTTTTTAGGCAAAAGTTTCAGTATTAATTGATCAACATATGCACTGGGAATAATCTTACGAAGTTTAAAAATAATGTGCATTATAAATATATCATAAGATATGGACCAATGTTCTATATTGTCAATTCTAATTTGATTGGCCCAAAATAATAAAAATATAATATGACAATGAAGCACTTCATAAAATATAAAAGTCAACCTAACAGTGTGCCTTCCGGAGCACCTAACTTCAGAAAAAAAACCTTAGCTTGCCTAAACTTACTATCATTGACTTCTAACAGTAGTTTTTACATATCTATAGTGCCTAATTCCAACAATTAGCAATTTGTTCATTTGATACATCTATTAGGTTTTTTGTTTTTTTTAACACACTTCCAGTATTACCCCTTGCATTACTGCAGTGAACATTTTGGTTTATTTTTTGGGTACAATTTTTTCTAATTGTTCAACTTTTTTACATTATTCGGGTAATAGTCCTACTACACTTGACATACAGTACTTACGGTTACTGAGTCCATTTGGGTCTATTCAACAATTAATTCCTAGTAGATAGATTTAGGGTTATATCTCACATTTATAGTTTAGCCGACATTTTAATGTGCTTTTTGCGTATTAGGATGTTTTCATTGTTTTAATAAATATATTAGACCACCTTATGTGTGGGCTGTGTATCTGTTTATTTAATTTGTACTCCCAGGTAATGTATTCAAAGTTAGTTTCAATATTTATGCCAAAATAACCAAATTTTAAAAAATCTCCATGTTAATGCTGTTTTTAGTTTAAATATTTTGGCCTTGAATTTTAAATCCCCTTTGAATTCCTGGAAATTCTCACTTTAGTGATTAACCCCGCTAGAATCTCCTATTACCAACACAGCACTCATCCATCCACAGGACACCCATGTCATACACTGCACTCAGATGTAATACAAATCACAGCTATATCATTCAAAGGACCCATAAACCTTCATTATACATTGTAGCAATCAGCCATTGATATGGTATCTTCATCATACACAACACCAACCAGAAACTGGCATCACACAAATCACCCATCACTCAACCATATGGATTTCAGATCCCACAGAATACTGTCACATATCATTTTCATTGCAAATAAAATTCTGGCACCCACAATGCAGTAGTGTCACAACTTCAGTTATTCATTCCTAACATGACCTCTCAGTCCCATTTATGACTCCCCAACATGACCTCTCAGTCCCATTCATGACTCCCCAACACGACCTCTTAGTCCCATTCGTGACTCCCCAACACGACCTCTTAGTCCCATTCATGACTCCCCAACACGACCTCTTAGTCCCATTCATGACTCCCCAACATGACCTCTTAGTCCCATTCATGACTCCCCAACATGACCTCTCAGTCCCATTCATGACTCCCCAACATGACCTCTTAGTCCCATTCATGACTCCCCAACATGACCTCTCAGTCCCATTCATGACTCCCCAACACGACCTCTTAGTCCCATTCGTGACTCCCCAACACGACCTCTTAGTCCCATTCATGACTCCCCAACACGACCTCTTAGTCCCATTCATGACTCCCCAACATGACCTCTTAGTCCCATTCATGACTCCCCAACATGACCTCTCAGTCCCATTCATGACTCCCCAACATGACCTCTTAGTCCCATTCATGACTCCCCAACATGACCTCTCAGTCCCATTCATGACTCCCCAACATGACCTCTTAGTCCCATTCATGACTCCCCAACACGACCTCTTAGTCCCATTCATGACTCCCCAACATGACCACTTAGTTCTATTTATGACTCCCCAACATGACCTCTTAGTCCCATTCATGACTCCCCAACATGACCTCTTGGTCCCATTCATGACTCCCCAACATGACCACTTAGTTCTATTTATGACTCCCCAACATGACCTCTTAGTCCCATTCATGACTCCCCAACACGACCTCTTGGTCCCATTCATGACTCCCCAACATGACCACTTAGTTCTATTTATGACTCCCCAACATGACCTCTTAGTCCCATTCATGACTCCCCAACATGACCTCTTGGTCCCATTCACGACTCCCCAACATGACCACTTAGTTCTATTTATGACTCCTCAACATGACCTCTTAGTCCCATTCATGACTCCCCAACATGACCTCTTGGTCCCATTCATGACTCCCCAACATGACCACTTAGTTCTATTTATGACTCCCCAACATGACCTCTTAGTCCCATTTATGACTCCTTAACATGACCTCTTAGTCCCATTTATGACTCTCCATCATGACCTCTTAATCCTATTCATGACTCCCCAACATGAACTCTTAGTCCCGTTCATGACTCCCCAACATGACTACTCAGTAACCCATATTGCCCATATTATTAATAGTATCCAACTATTTCCCACATAGCAGTTATATAGCTACACAGTTTTCATCATGATATCCATCATAATCCACCTGACACTCATATTAATTGTATTAGCCAGTAATCAACAAAGTCATATTGTACCCAGCAGCACACATGGCAAGTACATTACAAACGGAACTTCCAGGAACCAATATGGCACCCCCAAAAACAGGGATAGGCAATTTTTGCACTCCACACAACATCTGTGGTGCTGATAGTTGCCTACCCCTGACCTACAGCATTTACTAGTCACTTATATTACACAAAGGGCTTTGCTTCACTCTTTAGGAGCTAAAGAGTTGGGCAAGAGCATGTTGAGTGCAGTAGCAAATTGTGGCTAGAAAGATGGACATTGTTCATTTAACGCAGGCAACACATGTACCAATCAGAGAGCTTTCTTGTGTGGTCAGATGCACAATACACCATCCCTATTAATTGAGGGAGCGGTGGACGCATCACAGGGGCTCTTTTTCCATCTCAAAGATCTTACCCACTTAATCTGCCCTGAGCATACACATAGAAAACCACATGCAGAGTGAGGGTAATGCACCAAACTTACAGTTGTGCAGCAGGCTCCCACTCTTGGTGGCAGCATGAATGCTTTAAATTGATATAAGCATGATTTATTACATTGCTACAACAAAAACACATGTCTAATGTCTTAAAAAAGGACAAATTGCTTGATTTTGGAAATTTCCATTTTGATTTAAAAAGCCCATCTTATATTTTAACGCAATAATCCACTGATATAGGGTACAAAAACACATACTCTCTGTAATGACTTGTGACATAGAAATACGTTTTTAAAAAAAGGAAAGCATTAGAAACTTTGCCTAAAGCCATGCTGGTCCAAAAGCCATTGGGAGTAATTTGCCCTTTTTAGCATTGATGATGCAAATCGTTATTGAAACTACATAACGTGTAAAGAAAACAAAACTAATAACTATACAATACTTATAAACACCTGGAACATTCGTCCATTGACGATTCGTTCTACATGGTATATATACTTGTGAACACTAAAATCAGTTAAACTAAAATTAATATGTAGATAAACAGCAGGCATGGGAATTCAAGCTGAAAAGGTCTTGGTGACAATTAAGTACAAATCAAGAAATTACTAGGAGTCGTTACTCATGATAAAAAAGAATATCAGCAGATTATACAGAAACAGAAAGTTAAAACCTTTCTAAAAAAAAAATGCAGGATAATAGTTTAAAAATAATAATAGATTAAACATATACTGTGAAGATCATAAAATAGACCACCAAACACACAGGTTTGTTTACAAAGTGAAAACTCAAAATAAATCCAAAGAAAATTTCAAATTTAAGGTGAAAATAGTCAAAATTGGATGTTCAGTTTTGCTAACCTGGCCTTTGAAATTTACTTCTATGAATTTATTTTAAATTCCAACTTTTGTAAATAACTCTCTTAGGTATATTTTACCACTGTGTAGAATGGTCTAAAAAATGCATTTACTGAGCCTCACACCCCACAATCATACAACACATTTAGCCAGTGTGTCGTAATAAAACTAAAACAAAAAAACAGTATTTACTCAATGTTTGGCATTAATGTTAGATTAAACATAATTTCCTTAAGGCAGGCCGACATTACTTTTTACACTATAGTGCAAAAGTTGGTGTCATATATATAATCAATTAAATTCAAAAATATTTCTGCCATATTTGTTCTACAAAACAAATAAAATATAACATTTTGTCGGTATTTTCCAATTAAAAACATTTCCACTAAATGGTTAGTAAGACTGGCCCTTGAAACTTGTTAAAAATACAAAAATTTGTCTTTGTAAATAACCAGAAATGGACAGATATTAATTAATTGGGAAAGATCTTGAATGGATACATTTTATGAATACAGATACAAGTCAACTATGCCCTCTGTAATTGAAGACATGTATCTACTAATAAAACTTACTACCCCCACTATTGTTGGCGAGCCAGACCAGAGATCAATCTAAAACACAAATAAAAATATGAAACATAGTAAAATGCATAAAAACTACACTTCAATGTTGATTGTATTTGTCTTTAAAGTATTGTAGGGCAGTGTTTCCCAACCCAGTCCTCAAGGCACACCTACCAGTCCAGGATTTAGGGATTACCCAGTTGTGTCTAAGGTGTTTTTACAAAGAAGAAAAAAAACACTTTAGACACAACTGGGTAATCCCTAAATCCTGGACTGGTAGGTGTGCCTTGAGGACTGGGTTGGGAAACACTGTTGTAGGGACATGGGGTTAGAAAAAGAAAGTTATAAACAAAATAATGCAAATTATCCTGAAATCTTCAAATTTTATTAAAATATATTAAGAATATATATGCCCATCTTGTGTAGTATACATTAAAAACAAATTAATGCAAATATTCAAAATTACAAGCTTAGGGTAAGGCAGCCTCCTATTGCAAATCTAAATGTAGAACAAAATTATTATCAATTAGTCAATTATTAACATGTACTTTATAAAGTCTGTTTCAACAGATAGATCCAATGCAGAGCAATACATACATATTTTGGATAAATTTAGACATTTGAAATATGAGTACATTGCTTTAGTTTGCTAATTGGAAAATAGCCTGTATCCATGTGTATTTGTCCGAAATCCATTGACATATAATTTAGAAATAGATGTCAAGTAAAACAGTCTTGATGTGAATATAGCATTAATTCTCATAAGATTGAAAAATTTGGAGACTCAGAATGTTGAAACATGTTTAGCTGCACAAGGATATGTAGAATCCTCTAAACAAACTCACAATAGAGAGCACATACCGGTAATACATGCAAACCAACCTGGTGCAATCTTTAAAAGTTACTACCCTAAGTTTTACAATAAATGTATATACAAAAAAATATATATAAAAAATAGAGTATACACACTACTATCACTACTTAATATTAGATAAATCGTTATTAAACCAGTGTATCAAAACATCTACATGACTAACACACAAAATAAATAAGTGGTAACGCCAAAGTACCAAAAAAACATATATTTTGTAGAATTTTTTATCATGTTCATTGAAATAGGTCTTTAAACATAATTTTATTTTACGTAGTCTTTCCTGCACAGTTATTAGAGGGTAGAATCAATTTGTCTTGAAACATAGCAGTATAGTATTGACAACAGTCCACTTCTGGGAGAGAACTCAATTTTATGTATTTCTATCAGTAACTTCAACCAACTTTCACCAACAGAACTTTTCATTAAAAAATGTTTTTCTAGTAAATATAATAAATAAAATTTGGTTATCTTTTTTAGTTTTCGCTCATGGATTTATTTGGACCAGTTGGGAAAGCAGAGTTGACAGTCCAATTTGCCCTAAATGACCGGCTGCGTGCCATTCAGATGCAAGCTCTTGTAAAAAGATTTAAGCATGAAGACATCGTTCTGTACATCACGCGGTTTAATGAAGTTGCACGCCAGGTTAGATATGTGATCTTCTATTTAATATTGGTTCCGTATAATATTGTTTCAAGAACAAGCTTTAATATTGAGTATTTTATTGCTTTATTTTTCACAGACTAACCTGACAGTACTCCCCGATGACTATATACGAGACTCTTTCCTAGCATTGTTTTTAAACAGACTAAAAGCCCACTTTCCCTACTTTCCTCCAGAGATGTGGGGGGACTGGTTTGAGAACTTTTTGCCTCTGTTCCTTCCTGGTATCAATGAAACACAAATTTCATGGCTGGTAATAGACATTTCTTGCACGTCCTATCAATCAGTGTAAGTATCTCTTCTTAATTACCAAGATATACAGCACCCAATTTTCAACATCATTATCTATACAGGTACCTACAGTATTGTGTTGTATTTTCTCTTTTGCATTTTTGCTTTTACTTTCTTACAAAGTATTCAATACCTGTGCTAGAAATTTTAATTAACTTTGATTGGTCTACTAACGATTGTGGAGCAAAGGAATCATAGTGAAATTTCAATCTCCATTTCTGGAGTGCAGGAGATGATAAATAGGACTTTATTCAATAGCTTTAGTTTTACATTTCTTGTAAATTGTAAAATGAAATGAAATGAAAGCCATAAATACACCCGATGAGAGAAAATGTATTAAACCTTATCTTAAGGTTAAATGTTTTTTTTTCTCAATATGTTGAAGTAGTTAAATGTTACTACTACTAAAGCCAGTAGATGCTTGTGATTTGGCATAAAAATATACAATGCAAATACAATTTTCTTTTATTTTTGCTGTAGAAGTATAATTCAGTGAATAAAAATGATGTCTCATGTTGGATGTGTTAGCTAACAGAGATGTTAATTGGTAAAAGAGAAAACCCTATGGTCAAGTCTGCTTCTAACAAAATCAAACTATTTATTTAGTAAGGTAGTGGTTATTATAATAGGTAAAAAAGAATGAATGTAAGAGATACAAAGGTTGCATACATGCACAAGGCATTACAAAGACAAACTCAGCGACAGACAGTAATTCAGTAACTGAATTACATTTCTTCACTTGGAAATACTTCTATAAATGTCGAAAACTGTGTCAAAATTGTAGAAGTAGAAAGGTGGCCATGGTAAAAATGGAATGTCTTTACCAATCCCATTGGTTTGTATGTTGATTAGCCATGTGGACATTTTACTCCTCTTGAGACACGTTTTAAATATCCCCTAATAATTTTGAGGTTGGAATGTTACATTCAAATTCTAGTTTATTTCTTTAATATCACTAGAGCATTCTTTCATAAGTAAGGATACCTTTGAACATATATGTTTGACACTACTACTGCTATATCAATGTATGGTTTGTAAGCATACACAATTCTAAATTAAATATTTGAAATGTTTGTCTGATTTCAGGGTGAATGGTTTTAATCAAGCATTTGTGCATATGCCCCAGGCTACAAAAATCTATTTCTACAATATGTATATTAAACGATTCCTAAATAAAAGAGCTCAAGATGCAGGTAAGTGGACGACTAGTTTGAGACTTTGATTTAACACAACCAGAGCCAATCAGTAATGTGTCTGTTTTCCCCAACAGCAGTGTGTGAGTTTACCAGTCACCTACAATGGACCAGTGACAATCTAGGAAGTTTTACAAGTCAAGCAACTATTCAGGATTTAATTGGATTCAATGGGAATTTTAGCAAGGTAATTTTTGTGTGAAATGGCCAATGTTAAGCTCAAGCACTTTAGTTCCTATCTGGTTAAAGTTCCATAATTGTCAACATTTTAAGTGCCTAAAGATTGGCAAGTTTTGTTTGGACTAGAGATGTTGCAATGGACAAGGTTCTTCAAGGATATTTCTCATGAATTAATTTATAGTAATTACTATATCACTATTAATATAATTTGTTGAAATAATAATGTACATTATTTCGAACAAAAGCTGACTCTCTTTATGGAATAATGTAGCACAAAATAGTAGAAAATTACATGTTTGTGGCGTTTGTGTGCATTCCTGTGTTCATTGCTATATGTTAATTGTGATCGTCAAACTTGGTAAAATTTTATACAACATAAACCTTGCACTATTACATATCCATAATATAAGATATAGAGAGATTTGTTGATATTCATAATTAATTAACAAGTGAAGTTTGTTATTTTAATTGATTAAATGTAGGTTTGGAGAAGTAAAGTATTTTAGTCAGCCCATTTCGACCAGAGATGGCAGGTTTTTGTGACAGATATATTTTTTAAGTTGAAATACTTTGTAAGTCCTTGGTAAATGTTGCAAACATCATAAAACAACAATTATCCTACAATACCCTATTTTTAAATTTTTTACAGGTGGACAAAAATACTACTCTTACTCCAAGAGAAATGGCCGATTTTACAGTAATATCTGACAGTCTTTGCGATGTAACATTGACAACCATGGCATTAAACAAAGTCGGGTATCTGAAATCTTATGAGGAACTCAATCTGTATCTGGGATATCTCAAAAACAATTCAAGACCAGTAAGAACTAAATACTATTATCTGATGCGCAATTTTTGTAAAAGATATTTACTATGAAAAAATAACATATAGAGATATTAAAGTATGCTGTAATAATAGCTATGCTATTTTAAAGAGTAGCTGAATTTCCTTTTATGCATGCGTATTAATTTTTGTTTGTTGTCAAGACCTCACCATTGTCTTCGTCAGTATGATTTTCTGTGCAGAGATGTTTATAAATGTAAATTGTCAATCTCTCCTTTGAATCTGTGTTGTATCTATTCTCTCTGTGTTTGTGTTTGTGTTTGTGTTTGTTTCATAGTCCATGTCTGGTTCTTGTCTTTAGTTTTTGTCTACCTAGTCCCTTGTGTACTTACCCTCCTCCTTCGAGCTGCTCTGCTTATCCAGTGTACCTTTTTTCAGCTTCAGGTAAGCATTATATCTGGTTAATTTCCTCCCTGCCTCCCTGAAGTAGTTAGTTTTATTATTTAATGTTGGAGAATGCCAGTAGAGCATTCTCTTGGTATAGTGGCAGGAGGAATTCTCAGTGTCTAGTCATTCTGTTACCCCTGCTATTACCTTTATCCCCATTGTATGTCCTTCTGTGTGCCTTTGTCTTATATATTTGTAACTGTGTTTTCCCCAGCAATTCTTGTCTTGTTTGTTTTGTGTATGTGCTTGTTTCCCTGTTTGCCTCAGCATCTGGCTTTATTCCCAGGTGTTTGGGCTAGCTGTACCAATCTGCAAGGTCCAAATACTAGATCATGAACGGAGGTGCTTAAATTACATCCCTTTATAAGATATCTACTCATACAACAGTTTTCTAATTTTACTTGTAATCATACAAACCCATAGTTTTAACACCTGTTTATGAGTGATTACTCTATAGTAGATCATTCAAACTTATTCCGCACCTAGACCTTCAATATACCAACACTAATGTCCCTGGAGAACTAATGAGAACCCATCTATAGACATTTTTACAGATTAGCACCTATGGAATTGTGACACATGTTTGATTTGTCTTTAGTTTTTTTGTACATTGATACGGTGGTTAGAATTTGATTGGTTACTAGCTCATACTTGATGTGGGGGTGGGAGTGAACTACCACTAACTCTGGTTTATCATATTGTAATAAATAAAGGGTATGTACAGCAGTATAATATATGAATTATGTCTTATCTAGAATCCATACCTGATATCAAACATTTCTTGGTGTGATGAACGAAAAGTTCTGGGTCAGCTCAGTGTGCAAACACAGCAAGAACTCATTTTGACTCTTCTAAGTGAAGAATGGATTCTGAGTGACATCCAGGAGTGGATTTTCCTTTTCAGTACCCTACTCAAAGATTTTGCTCTTGCCCTCAATGAATCTCATATTTTAAAACTGCCCTTAAATATCACTTGCGAGAGCTACCAAGCAATGTAAGTAACTGTAAAAGAACAATGTCTTTATTGGCATTGTTCTGGGGTTTAGCTAGAATGTTAGTCAGATAAAGCTTGAGTCAGCGTGGCCCAAAATTGGTAAAATCATGTTATGTCATTGCCGGCTTCCTTTCCTTCTGATACGGCCCACTACCATGTCAGCGTGTGGGCGTTTGGGGTAGTCTTCAGCCTCTTCAGTTCCCCTGTGGCTTGAATGATGCCCTAAATTATGGAGTGGTGGCCTGGCTCTGGTCCCATTTGCCAGTGAAAGAGTAAATCCGTAGACTGTCTAGGCAATTTGTGCACCCCAGTGCCCCACATACCGAGACTTATGGAGAAAGATAATGAGGGCTATTTAATCCTCTATGCAGAACACCTTAGTGCTCAGTTGTGTGCCTACAATTCTCAAGTTGACTTGTAATATTACCTTAGCCTTATTCTGATTCCTGGTATTCTGACCCCTTGCCTGCTATATCACTTAAGAACCTATCTTCTCTGACCTTCTCTTCTACCTGACCATGTCTTTGGATTCTTCCTTTCTGGAAAAAAAAAGTATGGCAATATTCTAAATTTTGTGCACTTTGTTTTATGACAGCATACAACTGCTAAACAATGTCTATCCACATCTCAACAAAGTAACAATACAGTCTGTGTATGACTACTGCAAATCTTTTCTCACAGAACAGAACTTATCCACAGGTATATTGTAACATTATAGGTTTATTTAAAGGAACCATCAAAGCTATTTTCTTTTAATGGATGAACGATTCAAAATATAATTTCCATAAAATTAATATATAAATAATAAAAATACAGTCAACAGACTTGTGAATTAATATTCAATTTTGCTTTAAAGCCTTTCAGAAAAAAATGTAAATGTCATTTTGATTCATGTGCATTATTTTTAGAGCCCTGTGTGGCACCGAGTCTAATAGATGGAGATAAGTTTAATGCTAAATCCAGATTTCTTCGAGAATCAAAGGACATTCATGCGTTCTTACAATGCATGTGCAGGCACAAGAAATCACTTTTCCTCGACCTTTATTATGTAACTTGCAGAGTTTGTAAACCTTCAAATCAGAATAAAAAAATTATAATTTTCTCAGACACTGCAGTCTTTTTCAACTCCTTGTTGTATAGTATTTTTTCCAGTGATCAAGGCTCAAAATTGCAAATCCAGTGGAACAAGACAGACCTAAAAGTTACTCTGGAGTGTCACCAGGGTAAAGTTGTACTCACCAGGGCTAAAATTTTCACTCGCCAATAGCAAGTGGGAAAGTGGGTAAAATGTTGAGCCCTGTTGTTATTATTATTTATCTACTGCCCATTAGTACCTCAATATTTCTACAAAATATTTCCATTATCTACATCTTCATGTTTAATAATGTTTAACAACATATAATAATGTTTACTCCTGAATATTACATTATTTGATTTCTTTTGTCCTTAGGATCTTCCTGTACATTAAACACAACTGGGACAGAGGAGTGGATTACAAAAAATTGGGGTGACTTTGTTTCTGATGTGAAGATCTCCGAACTCCTAACATTGTATTCGTATCTTGATGTGGTAAGAATGACAGCTGGTGTAAAACAACAGAGAACCTGATTTCTGTTTTTAATCACAGTCCTGACAGTTTTGTATGACATTTTTTTTCATTTTTGTTTAGAATGTTTGGTTCCGTTTGTTAACGCCAGAAGAATTTGCAGTGGTTCTACTCAAAGAAAACATTCTCACTGATTATGCTCTTGTAACCAGAATTTTAGGCCTTATTGAGACCCAGAATGTCAATGAATATGTGACTGCCATTACAAGTAAAGCTGCAGAGGTACCGCCTTCATACAAATCATAAAATTATGCTCTGTATGTAAAAATTTATACATGTCATTAGACTTCACTTGAGTGTTTTGTGTGAAACAAATGCTCCCACACAACATCCTACTTTGTACTTCTTTTATTGGTGAATGCAAGAGGGGACAAGCAGGGAACACTTGCCCCCCTCTGAAATATTGGTGGATTCTATTTCAAGGGTACAGAAGTCTTTATCTTTGCTGATAACTTTTATAATATTGTTGCTTACAAAAATGATTTAAGCAGTGTGTAGGGATATGATGTCTTGTCTTAACAATCAGCCTTATTGGACAATATAAGGATGATAACAACAACGTACTGGTATAAATTATCAGGGTCAAGAAGCAGTCCCCCTGCTCCCTTATTAAGTCACCTTGCAAGTGGTTTGGGATATTTTATGTGGATGCCTGTGATGTCACATGTTTGGAAAAGTGTATTTCTTTGGGCATGGTATACACCATTTTCGTTCTATATTTCTTCTGCCTAAATTAAGAAATGTTTTATGACATTTAAATATAATATTTAAGTAGCAGTAATTTTAAATATTTAATGATTTTTTTGTGAAGGAACAAAATTTATGAAAGTATAGGGATAAGTGTAACAATGTTCCTATGGCAAATGTATATATGGCAAATGTATTTATCCATTTTTTTTTATTTTCTATTCTGTATTATATTATACTTTTATATTTTTATTTGTATCATATTTTTTAAAGTTTTTTTTAGGAATCCAGAATATATTTTAGCATTTATATATATATATGCATCTATATTATTTAATAAAACAGGGACTCTTTGTCTTCATGGAAAAAATATCTTTATGGAAAATATTTTTAACAAAACAATTGTGGCGTTATTATAACATAAAATATTTTTTCTTTTGTACTTCTTAGAACAATCTTATAGAATCCCAGATAACTCTGCTGAAGGAGACCCTATTGGCTGTAATATTGGTGAATCACAGTTCCTCTTTCTCCTCTTTTGATACACAAGACTGGGTAAATTTGATGAATGATTTGGTTCTATTACTTCCCTACATCAACGAAACTCTTCTTCAGTTTCTGCCAACTGACATCTCCTGCTCTTCATACCAAGAAATGTAAGTGTGTTAGAAGTAATATCTGATATCACAAGTTGAAGCTATAAGATTTTTATTTAAAAATTTAAAATTTGAAGAATTAAGAAAATAAAAAACTCTATAGCATAAATTAGTTCAGACTAACAATCTGGCTGTTTATGTATCTCAGCAATCAGTTTATAGGAAGAAAATACATAATTTCAAGCATGGAGTAAACTTTAAATTGTGTACCACTAGACAGGCCAAATAGTTACTAGACTGTGAGCCTGCAATCTTGGAAAAGTGAATTTCTACTTGCCAGGACTGAATTTTCACATGTTTACTGGGCGATTGGAAATTTTAAGTGCTGATTTCAGTGTTTGATTATTCAACTAGGAGAACTGAAAATGAAACTGCAAATATTAGGTGAACGTAGCAGAGTTATAAACGTAGAATTTTTACAATTTTGTTATTTGGGTTTACTTCGTAAGTTAGATAATTCTGCATTTCTATTGTTATTTATCTGTGATATTAGAATTTGGAAGGGCAACGTATACAACATAGTGTAAATACAAAAAAGAAACAAATTGTGTCATGAAACCCTTGTGCATTTCGCATTAAAACCAATTAATTTGAAAACACGTTTCTAATTTTTATACTTTGTTTAATCAGCATTATAAAATATGTGTGGTTAATAAACAATAACAATGGAATAATTTGATCTATTTTGTAGAATCCCTACTTAAAACCATACAATAAGACAATACAATTTTAACATTACACATTGTTTGCTTTTTCTTAAACAGAGTGAAAGAATTTACCTATATTTACACATCACTGTCAGATATAACCAAACAAGAGTTCTACAATTATTTTATCAAAAAATTCATGACCGAAAAGCTGTCTACAGGTGTAACAGGTACGTTCCTTCGTTTCCTGGCACAGTTGAAACTTTTTATAGAGCTGCATGCTAACAGTTTGGATTACTTAATATTTCACTGTAATAATATATATATATATGTTTGCTTTGTATAGATGTTTGTGAAACATCAGATTTCAGGATTTGGATTTATATTAACTTTGGATATTTTATCGAGCAATCCACATTTGCAGATCTGATTTTGTTCAATAACAACATCACAAGGGTGAGAATTTGATTTCAAATCCATTTAAAGATAAATAGATAGCTAGTCAGACGGACGGACGGACGGACAGACAGACAGACTATTACTTAAAAAATAATCTCACTTTGTATTTTTGTTTTAATTTTCTCTTCACAGGTACAGAACCCAGATGAACTTTCGTCAGTAGAGCTCGCAGATTATATTTTTGTTGCTGATACCATAAAAGACACACAAATATCCCAACGTCTTGTGGATCAAATCAAAAAATTTCAAAATTATGATACTCTTCTGGACTATCTTAACAGGATACAAAGTTCCCTTTCCCAAGTAAGACATCATTGTGAACAAAATAGAATATATGAATAGAATCCTTACAGCTCCAAATCCCCTGCCTCCACATATAATTATATATAGAAAACTATCATCATTAGCACTTTTTTGTGTTTTTTGTTTTTTCACCATTGACCAGAGCTATTATCTGGCACTCGTCATAATTTTGTTTCTCTAAGGCACTTCTTACAATAGGTTTCAGTTCCATTTATAAATTACATATACATAGGCACTTTCTAATTCACCTATAAGAACTTTATAAATGAGCCCCTATGCAATTTAACGCAATTGATGGCCCTTTACATAGCATAATAACATTTAACACTTGGATGGTAATTGGTATTATTCCGTGTAGTGTGTGTATGACCCAAATGCTTTATTGCTGAAGTATCGTTTAGCGAGCGCGCTCTCTCACTCCCCAGTTATAAAGTAGGTGACGCTTATGTGCCATTGTTTAGGGAATATTCCCCGATCTGGCCAAAGTGAATATAAAGAGCAATCAGATAAAGTATTACATATGAGGAGTTGAGTAAGGAATATAACACACGCTCAAATTTTTCGGGAGTAAGGCATTGGTAATACAACACACTATATTTGGTTACGCAATCCATACTGCATGTTACAATTCCTTTCTTTCGCTGCAGCCACGCCAACCAGTACGTGTGAGGCGGGATATTGGCGAGCAGTCGTATGAACCTCTGAACAACACTCAACCCACCAGCTTTCAATCTGGGGTAAGTGGATCTTTTTTATTTATTTATTTCTATTAACAGGGCATATTTAGTTAATGCTATTTTAGGGGTCCTTAGGAAAGTTCCGAACCGGGACTAAAAGTTGACCAGGCTTAATTTTGACACACTGTTTAGTGATGATCCAAAATGGAACAATAATGGAAAGCTTTTAATTCTGAAAAATACCCTGAGTGCCACCAAACTTTTTTGATTTTGTATATCACCGTATACACATATAACAGTCAGATCTGAGCACCCGGCATATGAAACTTGAAAGCAAAAGTGCAAGGACTTTGTTACTATATAACGTGTTTACTCAAATCTAATATGCACCTTTTTTGGGAAAATAACGTTTCCAAAATTTGAATGTGCAATAGATTCAATGGCGCATTACATTCAGAGCAAAACTAGAAATTTTCCAGCAAATTTCATTTCGGTGAGTTCACACTGGCGAACTAAGACTGGTGAATTAAAAGGGATGAATTTAAACAGGGGAATTGAAACAGATGAATTAAAACTGGTGTATTAAAACTGGTGTATTACAATGGGTGAATTAAAACTGGTAAATTAAAACTGGTGAATTCAAACAGATGAAACAGAAGTCACATTTTTCCTGAAAGAGGTCTTAAGAAAGAATAGACTTAACATGTATTACTAAAATTGAAATTCCATCAAAGTTACGATGGTATATGGCAATAAACATTTTAATTGTAGCACAATGTTGTATAGTAGTATCTTCTTGTATAAATGTGCATTACATTCACCAGCAAAAACATTTTTGAGCTTCCAGGTTTCAAAAATTGAGGTGCGCATTAGATGGCGCATTAGATTAGAGTAAATACGGTATATATATACTCAATGGATCTGCAAAACAATTCCTTGTCTAGGTGCCAATCTCCAGACAAAAATGCTAAATAAAAAGAAAGAGTGTACTCACTGGACTTCTTCATAAATGTGCTGCTCGAGATAAAAGTCCAGGATAGGACTGAAACGTTGATCTTGATTTGTGTTTCCAAAGGGTCTGCTTCATTAAAAGCAGCATCACATTTATGAAGATTTCCTGTTAGTGATCTCTTTTTTTTTTTTACACTGCATTAAAAATAAAAAAAATAAAAACACACACAAAAAAAACTTGAGATGCAAAAATGTCCACTGTAATTTTGCTGTGGGAAAAATATCTAAAAAAAATTATATAATAGGAAATGTCAGTTATGGTAAAATAACACAAAAAAACTGCATGAACAAACAATATAATAAACTGAGTAATATGAGGCAAGAAAAGTAATAAATAATATAATAAAAAGAAAAAATATAATAAAAAGAAAAAAATTAAAAGAAATTAAGGAAAAATGTAAACCATGTTACATTTAAGCAATTTTAAATTACTCTGAGCCAATTATGATTTGATAAATCTTTTCTTTTTCTTTTTTTTTTAATTGTTGTAACAGTTTTATGCTACATACACACAGCATTGCTAAATTTCCTAGATGTATTTGTTAGTACTACAAAAATGATCCCATTTAAATTCTCATTCCGAAATATGTTATCCGATTGTTGAAAGATTTTCTCGGTCCAATTAAATATTTCACATCTAGTCTATTCTTTTCATTACTTTTATTTTTTAGATTGCAGACCTATCATCAAATGTTTACTCACGTAATCAGCAAGGACCACTGACAAAGCTGAGCATCAGCATTCTACAGAAGATTGTGACTAATGTGCTCATAGATCTCAACCAAGAATGGAGTTTACTGGACATGCAAAAATGGATCCAAGTTTTTGACATTCTGATTACACAGTTATATAGTGCACTCACTGAAATGCACTTTTCACAACTGCCGCTCAATATTTCTTGCACTGACTACCAATTAATGTGAGTAAAATATAGTAGTATATATGTATATATGATTTTCTCACCCCTTTTGGGTGCTATATATATTCCTCATTATTGAGTCCTCTGCCAGAGGCCTGAAGTCTGAGGGTTCTGCGCAGTATCTTATCTGTTCCTAGAAGCGATTTTAGATGTTCCATCTGGAATCTGTTAAAGTTACTGTGCTCCTATCACAACTGGGACTACTACTGGCTTCACTTTTCATATCCTCTCTAACTCCCCTTTCAGTACTTGGTATTTATCCGTCTTCTCATATTCGTTCTTCTTGATGTTATAGTCACTTATAGTCATATATATATATATCTCAATATATATATATACAAAATACATGTTTGTCTCACCAAACTACCAATTATGGTCTTGATTCAATATTTTTGGATTTCAAATAAATTGGATACATTTTTTAAATGATTTAATATTTTGAAAAATATGTTAATATTTAGATATTTAGATTTTTTTATATATTATATATTTTTATACATATCATATATTTTCTGATATTTTCTGGAAAAATAATACATTGTTTATCCAAAAAATATTAAATCTTTTGAAAGGCTTTGCGAATTATATCTAATATTAATATTCTTAAGACTCATTTTTTTTTCTTTAACTTGCAAAATAATATTATGTTTTATTTTGCTTTGTATCTGACTATATCAATGAAATGGTAAACTGAAATTATTGCATTATTTATTTTGGTTGAAAACCACAGAATAAAGAGGCTGAGCAACATCTACCCCATTCTTGATGATGCTGAAATTAAGAGTGTTTACACATACATTAAGTCATTTTTGACACAACAAAAGAATAACTCAGGTAACACACTAGAAATACAAATTGAAATTAATTTTACTGCAGAAAATATTAGAGCAAATAATTCTTTTTGCATTAATGTCAGAAATGTTATTATCAAAGAAGTGAAATTAATCAGTGTTTATAAATTGAAATCTAGCACAAATTAGTCTGCTATGTTTGATTGGAACTTAGAGAAGGATTTTTAAAAAAAAAATATATATTTTTTTTTATTACAGATGAGTAAAGGAAGATACAGCTTAAGAATTAATTTTACAAAACAAAAATAGAGTAGATGAGTAAACAATATAAGCAGACAGAGAAGAAATGTTAACCTCTTTAAAGTGACCCTACCACTACTATTTTCTTTTCATAAATTAGTTAAAAACAACATTGCCAACAAATTATTATAGTGTTCATCTAACTAATTTCCAATTACTATTTAAAAATCTGAACTTTTATCTGTGTGGGCATTGCCATCTTGGAATTGTGTTATGAGTACGAACAGTTGCAGGGAGCATGTGATATAAACTGGCAAATCGCTGTTAGAATGAAAAGATACTTTGAACTCTCTAATGGTTCCCACCATGTTCATCAAAATGTTATTGTTACCTAAAATTATTTGATTCTAAAATATAAAAAAAAAAAAGTAGTGAGACAAAATTAACATGAGCTGCAGTGTAGGCAGTTTTTAAAATCCCATAAAATTATGCGCCTATAACTTTGAATGAATAACTTTATTTTCTTATAGTTTTTTTGGTTCAAAACTTACAGGTACATAGTAAGGTTAACTTAAACAAATGCTATCTTAATTGATTACTGATCTGAACTTAAAATTAATACAGTGAATCATACAAATAAGTAGGAATGCGGAGAATAGGAGTAACACACAAAATACAAATACATTTTAAAAACGCAAATAAAATTAGAGACTAGAGATCGTGGTCAGTGGTATCTAATAAAAACACAAACTCTATACAGTGTGATCTGTAAATAGTGAGAATTGGCACGCAATATAATGAGGAGAACTCGCTGGAGAATTAGTAATAGCAGGCACATTATCCTAAGTCAAATATGAAGTGGGAAGTCTTCAAAGTAAAGAAGCCTTCTTACACTTGAAAGGCAAAGAAAGACCAAAAAAATTGTGCAGATGGAAGTAAAAACTAATTCCACCACATTTCTGTACACATAAACATCATCCTATATATTGTGTAAATAACAGAATTTTGTAAAAAAACAAAACAAAACAAAAACAGAATTCATCTTTCTGTATTTTCATAAAATAGATGTATTTTATATAATCTAAGTCAACGCCACTTCTGTTTTATTCATTAGGTAATTAATTGATTCCTCTACATTGATGATTGATGTGTCTACTACAACGTTAATATACTTTACTTTCACCACAACTAATAAATAAACAATAATAAACAGAAATCAGGATATCTGTACCGTTGTGTTTATGAGTGCTATCTACGTAGAATACATTTAATGCAAATTAATATTACTTTAAAATCCAATCATGCTTTATTTTAGTAGAAAAAAAGATCTGGCATATTGAATTATGTTTATGAAAATTGATAGCATTGTCCCAAAGAGCAAAAAAAAAATGTCTTAAAAAATATCTAAAATAATATTTTGCTATTTAGGGTCTGCGTGTGCAAATGATGTTAACAATACCACGGAGTGGATCAGTAGAAATTTCGGTAACTTCTCTACAAGTGCTTCTATTTCTGATTTCATGGAACTGTATCCAGATCTCGATATTGTAAGTACGCTTATGAGAAATTTCTCATCATCAAACCAGATTCAGTTCACTTTCAAATAACAATGAATTGTTCCATTCTCTTCCAGGGGGCTCTTCTTGGTCTTTTAAATCCAGATGATGTGGCTAAACTCCTAATAAACCCAGATAATCTTTTGAATAGAACATTCCTCATCGATATCCTGAGTCTTATCCAATATGAAGAGATATCACTATATGTAACTGCAATCACAACAGCTGCATCGAAGGTGACTACGTATATAAATATGGTTATTAGAAGGTTGAAAAGCTTACAGTTCACCTATCCTCAATAAAAACGCCCAGTACTTCTTTATAGGATGAATATTTTATTGTGATGACTATAATGCTAGCTAAATCATGGTTTATAGAAATTACTTGAAAAGAGAGACTCCAGCTGCATGGTGGCCTGTAAATCCTAGTTTAGCTCACCATAACAAGGCCATTCTTGTAGGTGCTTCTGCTAAGTGGTTTCCCAGTTTATGTATCCCAGAATTTTGAAAGATTATAGTTTCATCAGACACTCAAACAACAGAGAAGTCACAGCTTTGCAAAATCATAATTTATATGCTAAATGATTTACGTTGCCTTCTTTTTTACAGACATTAACAGTGTGATTAAAGATTATAAATATGATGTGTAATAATTCTCCTGTGTCCATCTTCATAATTAGGCTCACCTGGCAGAATCCGAGATCACCATGGTGGAGGAAATCTTTCTGGAGTCTGTTCTCCTTAAAATAAATGCCAACTTCTCAGAGTACAAGGCCGAAGACTGGAGGAACTTGTTCCAACAGTATTTATTATTACTGCTTCCAAGCTTCAACCAAACTCTTCTTCATCTTCTACCAACTGACATTCCCTGCTCTTCATACCAAGAAATGTATGTGTCAAGTATCACGAGGGAAACTTGAGCAAGACAAAAGGCTGGCTAGCTGTCCGATACAGTATTAATTGACACAGTTATATGACATTCCCCCATAAACACCAATAATTCTGATACCCGTTATACTGTAGCACAGATACATTTTAAAGGCAATGCAGGTAATGCATAAATCGAAGGGGGTAGAGTACGGTTAGCATTTAGCTCTGAGGGCAATACATGAACTGGCTAGAACATGGTTGAAATTTAACACTGTAGGCCTTTTGAATTTGAATGTAACAGTCTAGAAGTTATTTTTTTTTTTCAAACGTTGATATCTGCTTGTGTCATTTTAGTGTAAAGGGATTTAGCATTGCATATGAATCCCTTTCCAGTCAAACCAAAGATGACGTCTTCCAGAATTATATAAAGAAATATTTATCTGGGCATTCTCAGTCCACAGGTACGCTCCTTGTGTATTGTTTAGTATTCATTATTCATCATTTTTTTTTTATATTAAGGATGAATAAACTGATAAATTTGCTAAGGGGTTTCTTCCATAAATACAGAATGGTGTCTTGTCACTAAACTGGGAATTGTCATGACTTCAGAAATAATTAATTAAGAAAAAAAGGAGGGTTGCACTCAATCACAAAAATTAACACAGGGTGCACTGAGCATGGGTCAGCAAACCCCATACAATCTACATAAATGAAAAAAATCTCAGGAACTCACTGTGATATGTTCAAGGCAGTTTTTATTGAATCTGCAACGTTTCGACCTGTACCTAAGTCTTTATCAAGTATGATAAAGAGTTGGGTAAAGGTCTGCAACGTTGCAGATCCAATAAAAAATGCCTTGAAGATATCACAGTGAGTGCCTGAGATTTTTTCATTCAGAAACAATTAATAATATTTATGGGAAAAAAACAAAGCTGGGAAAAGAATATTACATCACAAATTTCATCCAATGTGTCAATTTCACATACATCATAAATTCACCGAATAAGCACATCATATTATAAAGATTAACCTCTAATTAAGCATTACCAAAAACTGTTACCAAATAATTTTTATAAAGATTAACCTCTAATTAAGCATTACCAAAAACTGTTACCAAATTATTCATTTTGCCATATTACACAAATTGTATCATGATTTATGCTTGCATCATTTCAGTATATCATGATACAAGATATCCTATAGATATCTTTAAATATATCCTCTGAAGAGGATATCCATTCTTCCTATACTTTTTAACTTAGATTAGTCTGTTTGGCATTTTTTTTATTTCAGTGACATACTTGCCTTATAAAATGTCATTATTAACAGTAATATATAAAGAAAAAAAGTCACTTGCGCCTTTAAATCATCTGTCCGTAATAATTTCTCCCCAAAAAATACCCTTTGTTTTCTTTATTTTTAAGTTATCGTTATTCTTTACTTGCATCTTATAACTGGAATCTTTCGTGTAACCCAAAATGATTTAGATAAATGATGGAAAACCTAAATAAACAATGTTTGCTCATTAATTTTAGGCACTGCTTGTGATGCCAGTGATTACGCAACATGGTTAGAGTTAAACATTGGGATGTTTTTCAACCAAACATCCATACAAGATCTCATTACTTTTAACGAGAACATAGCAACAGTGAGTATTTACATCTCAGAATACAACAAATATATCTACTTAAATGAAGAGGAGAGTATCCTAAAAATGACAACAATATATAAGCACATTTGTATTTGAGCATTATGGCTACTTACTTTAAGCGCAGATAGATGATCTAATTCCACCGTAAAGACTTTTGAGAACGTGTTCTAGAAATCTGTCTTGATCTCTATATTGCTTTGAGTGACATTAGAACCCTCCGTAACTCACTGCCTCACCGACTGAATGCATTAATGGTGGTTAGTTCTTGGAAGCAGATCAAAGCGACTATGATTCAAAGGGTTGGGAATAGAGAAATGTAATTCTCTCCAAGCTAAAAATCATTACTGTAGCCTAAAGGAAGAGAAGTGGAACACATTGTTATGATGGCATACATATCGCTCCTAAAGGGATTAAACTGTTTCAACACATTTTTGTTTGGTGGTGGTGTTATAAAAAACAAAATAACAATCAAGCTACCAAGTTGCTGCTGAATATCAAATTTTTTTTGCAGATTTTTAAAAAGTTTCATTATAAACGGAGGTAGAAATTTAAATGGTGACATTTATCTTGTCAAAATCTTTCCTGATTCAACAGCCACAAATATACTTCAAGAGATAACCCTCAAAGGATTCTATGCAATTTACATTATGTAAAATATTTGATTAAAAAAAAGCAACTTCACGTGTTTTCTGTTATTGCTCAGCCTTCTCGAAAAGATTTGGTCTCCCTGTCTCAGAAATATGGAGGTCAATGTCAAGACTCAAAGTTGAGTTGGTCTCAGAAGAAACTATTACAGAATAATTTCTAATAGAACTACAAAAATTTATTCTACTGCAATCTGTAGAACTACTCCCAAATTAAACTGCTCAGTTTGTATTGGTACTGTATATTATGTATAGGTGTAAGTAAGGTTCTCTGATCATTGCCATGTGTTCTATTTTTGTGGTCTTCAGGTGGAAAACCTGGCGCTAATCAGTGCTGCTGATCTGGCTGACATTACATTTTTGGCAGAGTCGTTACAAAACACAACCTTGAGAGACATTCTTGTGGATCAGATCAACAAATTTGAAGACTGTTTAGCTGTGTTGCAATATCTTCTCAGGATACAGAGCATTATTTGTCAAGTAAGAAATATTTGAAGCTTGTAATATTAAAAAAAGACAAGAGAAACATAAGAAGTTGGAGTTTTCAGTTTCTACTACTTTATTTGCTAACATGAAGACCAATTATTTTGTTGGATACGTCCATTAAAATATGACCTTAATAATTAGCCTGAGTATGCACAAGTCAACATAATGAATGGATATATTTGCTGCAATTAAATATATTATGGACAAAGTGGTTTATCTGAACTTTAACGAGCTGACCCATAATTCATCGTTCCTAACTGATTTTTGAGATGCAGCTCAACAGAGATGGGAAAAAGTAGTTTTGAAATACATTCAGGATAAAAATAGAATGTGTTTCTAACATAGAACATTGATTATAATATGATTAACAAAGTATTTAACCAAGGGACGCAGTTTGTTTTTTTGCTAGTTTCCAAATATGTTCTGTGGCCAAAATATACTATATAAAATTATATCAATATATAAAAAAAGTCAAAATGGTATGAGGCACTACCAGTGGATTCTCACTGGATTACTATTGCCTGCAATTTTTTTTATGTATTTCAGTTAAATTATTCTTTTAAAGAAATTAATTTTGAAATCAAATGTTTTCTAGAAGGTGGAAAGTTATTCCAACAACTCTTCGTGTGATGAACACCAAAACCGGACTCAACTCTCTGTTGAAACACAAGAGAAGATCATTGACAATATATTTGGATTACTGAGCAAAAAATGGAGTTGCCTGAATGGGTCGATTTGGCAGCAGATTCTTAAGATTATCCTTAAATATTTCTCAGTTCTTCCAAATGCCTCTCAGCTTTCTCAACTTCCTCTAAATGTATCTTGCGCAGATTACCAAGCCATGTAAGTAATGTCAATGCTTTCACAAAAAGAGAAATGTGTGTGAACTGATCTCAACGTGTCCTTTCAACTTTTTTATCATCAACAGAATCCAAGATCTGAACAGTGTGTATACGAGGCTCAACAAATCAGAAATTTATTCCATATATACCTACTGCAAATCATTCCTTAGCACTCAGGTTACATTAACAGGTATTGTCAGGGTTTTAAGACTCCATACCAATGTCCTGGTTCAATAACACATTTCTATATACATTTTTTTTCTACAGTTGTTTATTTTGTTGTTTGTTACTTTCATGGTCATGGTCCTAATTCTCATTGTAAATTTGTATAACATTTATCGGCCAGGTTCAGCATGTAACCCTGACAACAGCAACAGCAAAGAGTGGTTGCAAAGAAATTGGGGATTGTTCTTCAGAAATTCAACAGTAACTGAAGTCACTGATTTAAACCCCAGTCTTGACATAGTAAGAATTTTGTTTATTTTTCTGTAAACATTTTAATAGAAAAATATTAATTAATATAAGAAATACTCTTTCTATATATATAATATGTTTGTTTTGTGTTCATCAGGATGACGTACTGGAAATCTTGACACTGAGTGATGTTGCTATACTTTTAGCAAAACCCAAAGTCCTTAAAAATGCTACTCTGCTAAGAAGTATTTTTGCCATATTAGATGCAGAAAATATTACAGACTATGTGAAAATGATAACAGAGTCTGCAAAAAAGGTATTGTTTCCATGTCGTATATTCACAAAATGACCTATAACTTGCATAGAATCCTTGTCCTCACATTTTTTAATATTACCTTCTACTCGTTTCATATGGGGTGGAGGAAGATGGGGTGTTACTTGTCAAGACAGCCTTAATCTGCATTGTTATTGGGATATTCATTGTAGCAGAGCTCCCAGTACCGCGGCTGGGAACCTCTGCCAGGGGGTTGCTTCCTAGCTGGGACCCGGGGAAACGGATATGTGCCACTAGCTCTCTTAGTCCTTACAAGGTCTTTACCCGCTGCATCCCCTGCAAGCTGGAACAGCAGACACAGGGGTTAAATCTTCCTTCCCTCCAGTAACTAGACAAGACACAGTACTGAAGGTGCAAACACTGACTATCTTGATTTTGAACACACAGCTTTTATGCACAGACCCCCACAGGGGGTCTCCACTCAGTACAACACAATCCCATGCAGGAGGGGGCTGGGTTACAGATAGCCATCTCCCGCTCGGGGAGATACCAACAGCACATACAGGTACACACATTAAAACACATAAACATCTCAAAAGTACAATTCCAATTTCAAAAGGGGTTAATTGGATTGCATGAAATGCCCAATCCCTCTTTTAAGCTTGGACTCCAGAAGAGCTATTCTGTAGGGTGTGTGAAGTCACACTGACATGTGCTGGAAGTCTTTTGATATGGTAATGCTTATAGAATGTTAATTCTAAATAAAGATAGGCATCTGAATGAGCTTTAGATTAACAATTTCAGCTGTGGCAACATAACATTTGCTATGATAGCCCAGGTCACAAATTATTCACATAAGGCAAATTTCGTAATTTTTAACCACAGTGAATTTATAACATAGAACATAGATTATGATACAATTAACAAAGTATTTGCTAGTTTCCAAGTATGTTCCGTGACCAATATCTACTATATAAAATTGTATCTATATATATAAAAAAATCAAAATCTGAAAATATTTTTAAAAACCTGTTTTTCAATTGGTTTGCTGCTTGACTATGTTACAAATCAAGCAAATCTCTATCTACACCTCCTCTCACTGTTCTTAAAATGAATATGGTGCATATATATATAAAAAAATAAATAGGAAACTGTAGAGAACAGATTTATGGGATCTGTAGTCCAGCTATCATGAGTATTTTCGTGTATGAAAAACTTGGAAATTTTATATTTATCGCCATGTGTTTTCATGGGTGCATGCATCCACCAAACCAGTAATAAACTTGTATCCCCAATGACATTACAGAGTAATGAGGGTAGAATACCCAAATCATAGGATGCATTCTGCTAGTTAAAGCATTGTATTTGGCCCTATATCTTAATACTAGAGTTTGCTTAATACCACGACTTAGTGGTATATTTTGGATGCTACCTTTCTACTATCCTTTTTTGTCCACATGTAACATGCATACACAAAGAATACAATGACAACATAGATGGAGCAGCTTATACAATTGTTCTGATTATTTCTTGAAATATCACTCTTAATTCATATCTCAGATTTGTTAACTGTTTTGATATGTCTCACAATACTCTTAAGGCTAGATGTATTTAAATTGTCTCATACCATTTTTGGCACTTGATTGAACTGTGGTCTCTAATACTGTCGTCCCCCCTTAGGTTAATCTTTCAGAGATTGAACTGACAGTAGTGATGATAAACTTACTGGACATAAGCCTTCTCCAGCTCAGCTCCAAATTCGATTTTTTTGTAACAAAAAACTGGACAAACTTGTTCCAGACAGATTTGGTTCTCTTGCTGAATTATTTCAACCAAACTTTTCTTCAACGTCTACCAACTGAAATCTCCTGTTCTTCATACCAGGAAATGTAAGTCGTTCATATGAGACAACAATGTCCGTCTTCATTAGATACAACCATAATAGTCTATTGATCAAATACAGCACAATATTGAAATATGATGTTAGGTGAGAGATTGGGATGTATTCTAATGTTTTATACATGTTTTAACAGAGTGAAAGGATTTAGCCTCGTTTTCACATCTCTTTCAACAAAGACTAAAAAGGATATATTCAATTATTTTATTAAGAACTTTTTGAATAAGCAGAAAGCGTCAACAGGTAAGTCATAGTTTTAACTCCACTGTCTTTTTTAACCTCTTTATTTCTCTTATTGATTAATTATATAGATAACTACTGTTCTTCTTTTACATTTTGTGAAGTTGCAGTGCCATTGTTTACCACGTGACAATGGGAATTATAACATGGCTGTTTTTCATTGCTGTCAGCTAAATCTCTATATAAAGATTGAGTTATAGAAAAAATAAGAGCAATGCAGGTGTGAAAAAAAGCATCAAAGCAGTCTTTCACTCACACACACAGTAGGTTTGAGAGAATTTTGAGAAAGCATAGACACTAGCCCAGAAGTAGGCAACCTTCTACACTCATATCAGACAATGCTCCTACAGCCATAAGGCTGGGAAAGCATCAGGGGAGATGTCCACAACATCTGGAGTGCCAATAGTTGTGAACTCCTGCACTAGACTCATGTCTCCAGTCTTCCAAATGATTCAAAGCCTTCTTTTAAGCAATATACTTTGCTGGACTGCATAGTGATGAAGGAGCGCTCCAAGTCTGATTCTGTGATACCATCTTGAATGAAAGAGAGGCCTGGTGGTAAGATGTCTCGGAGGCTCAATGTCCCAATGGCCTCCAAACAAAAAGAATCCTACATTTATTCCCTGGATATATTTTTTTAATGTCTAATGTCAAATGGTAACTGACCAAAGAAATTGTTCTTTTTTGTCCCTGTATCTTGTCAAAAAACTTACAATAAAGCACACTGATATATTTATCAAGAAACACAGAATAGGCATTCAAAATCCACACTAATAAATGCAAAGTTCTGTGAAACAAACATCGAAGAAAATATAATGTGCATCTTTGGCACACGCTGGTGATGAAATTATAGTGGGGAAGGTTTCAAATGAAAATGGCAATACTCCTATTTATATACACATTAAACAGAATGTTGTTTTTTGAGACCAATGCAAATATAATGTCTATCTCTATCATTTCCTTAGGTTCAACTTGTGTTTCTGGCACAACTAACTTTGAAGAGTGGAGGACATGGAATTTTGGTTTATTTTCTGAATTTGCCACCATTTATAATTTTATTAACTTCTATACAGGGTTTGACGCAGTAAGTAACTCACAAAACCACACATAATTGTCATGCTTTTTACATAGATATATTTGTTTCTCAAGACAAATAATGGTGTTTTGGGAAAAATGAACAAACACTGGATTGTATTTCTTTCTCTCAGGGTGACCTACCACCAAATGATGCAGCTTCCATATTGATTCAAAAAGATGTTCTTTCTAACCATGCTTTGCTGGAGTCATTTTTAAGTGGTATTGAGCCAGCAAATATTACGGAATATGTCAACGCTTTCACTTCTGCAGCAATACAGGTACAGGATACAATAAGTAGGTTTCACCTTACTGGAATCACACATTTACACTTATCAACCACTATATATTTACTTATATAAAAATGTAACAGAGTGTAAAAGATATCCTGGGTGATGTATTACTAAAACAACTGGTTTTCCTTTTAGGCCAATCTTTCAGAGGTCCAAATAACGTTTGTGAAGCAGACACTCCTGAATAGAACTCTTGTGAAACTCAGCTCTTCATTCTCTATTTATGAAACATACAACTGGACAGTCTTGTTCCAGACAGATTTAGTTATTTTGCTGCCGTACTTTAACCAAACTCTTCTTCAGCTTCTGCCAACTGACATATCCTGCTCTTCATACCAAGAAATGTAAGTCTCACCATTTACATTTACCTTGTAAAATAATACCTTTTGTAGATGCATAGACGTGATAATTCATTAATCTAACACGACAATCAGAAAAGTTAAAGTACGATACTTATGGCTTTTATTGTCTTTGGATTTATTTTTTACCAGAGTGAAAGGATTTAGCCTGGTTTTTGCATCGCTTTTGGACCAGACAAAAGAAGATATATTCACTTACTTTATTCAGAGCTACATGACTATCCAGATGTTTAACAAAGGTATTGCATTAAAAAACAAACAAAACAAAATGCATTTAAATGGAATATAAAAACCACTTGACCTATGGGGGACACTGTATGTGGTAACTAAAGATAAAGTCATAAGGGAATGTCTTGGAGCACATACAATGCAGTTTTTAGTAAGAATATCACGATCAAGTATATCAACTAGTTTAATTTCCAAGTATCAAGTTGCTATCGATACAATCACATTCATATTTTCTCATTTTCTCTCTGTCGCCATTGTTTAATTAGGCTCAGCTTGCATTTCCGGCACAACTAATTTTGATCAGTGGAAAACACAAAATTTCGGTGAATTCTTCATCTTTGCCACTATATTTGACTTCATAAACTTCTACCCAGGCTTTGATGCAGTAAGTATCACACAGGACATTAGTCTATATTTAGCAGACATGAGATGTGTTTCAACCTTAACAAAAATAGTTTTGTAAAAACTAGGCAGACATATAAAAAAAAGTATGAAGAATTTAGGAAAGTGCTTTTTTCACTTTAGTAAATTTCTATCAGTTACGTAAAACTATGATCAGCAGAAACATCCAAATAGTTTGATAAGCAGATAAAAGTACATTTTTAGAAAAACATTACATTTATTGACAAGAGGAAAAAAAATTGTGTTTCTATTTCTTTTTTCCAGGGTGATCTCTCACCAAATGATGCAGCCTCCATACTTATCCAAGCAGACTTTCGTTCTAATCAAACCTTGCTGACATCATTTTTAAGTGGAATAAAATCACCAGATATTACAAAATATATCAAAAGTTTCACATCTGCAGCAAAACAGGTACAATGTTACTGGTGTTGTTCCAAAAAAGACAACATTTAAAAAAAAAAACTTGCCACAATTTGGAAACAATCTTTTTTCTCTCCAATATTAACTATATATATATATATATATATATATATATATATATATATATAATAACTGTTACATTCTTGAATATTCTGTTACTCCATAAATTGCATCCAGACATTGTTAAAAATCTGTATAAAACTAGAGAATTCGATTAAACATTGTTCTTACTGTAAAGGAATTTTCATTAGCACTAGGTAAAATCTCCCATATTAGAATCTAAACTGGTTACCTGATCTTTTCTTTTTTGCACAGCCCGATTAAAGAAAATATAATTTATTCTGCCACTTTATATATTTGTGTAATATTGTCATATCCCTCCGATAAACGATTTTTAAAGTAAACAAGTTTATTTTCTAGTCTTTCTTCAAAACTAAAATCTCCCTTTACCCGTATTACATTTGTAGCCTACCTCTCTTTCTAGATCAATGACATTCTTCTTTAAAACAGGTGCCCAAAATTGGGCCACATATTCAAAGCAGAGTCTTTCCATTGGTTTATAAAGAGTCAAGACCATATGTGGTATCCCATAAATGTATATGCCTCTTTATGCATGGCAGTACCTTGCTTGCTTTATCAACTGCTACCTGACATTGCACACTGTTACTTAGTCTTGTGCAACAACAGCTGCAGAAGTTTCAAGATGATGGGAATACCCCAGAATATTGACTGCCAACCCAATGTACCCCTTAACCCTCGACCTGATAAGACATAATTCCCCGTTTAACAACATAAGCTGAAACATAAACAGATTATTGAAACAAATATTGCTTTAAACAGGACAAACACTGTACCCTAAGCTTTTAGGGTGTAAAGACGGCCAATGCAGAGAAAATGGGTGAAGTTATGAATCCACACAGAGATGACATGTCATTTCTGAAACTTATACACACAGAAAATAACTTGTTTCACCCCCCCCCCCCAAAAAAAAGATATAACCTTGACATGATTAGTTAACAAGGCCCAAAACCACTTCCAGTTTTCAATCAACGGCAGGAGCCATGCAAAATTTGTTTTCCTAAATTTTCATTAGTCTTCACACAGCTCAACCTGACCTATAGTTCAACCTCCACAAGTATATTGCTCATAATTATTTCCAACTATGTCGTATTATTTTATTTAGCTCAATGCCATTTAGTGTTTAATTGCTGTGTACCTTTCTCATCTCAAAATGCATTACATTGCATTTCTCTACATTAAAATGTGTCTGATACTTCCCTGCTCATCTGCTAATTTGTCCACATTTCTACGTAACACAATAATGTCATACTCACACTGAATAAGCTTATCTAGTTTAGAGTAATCTCTAAACACATGACTGCCAAATTAATGCTTCTGAAAGCTGATGAAGACTAACAATCATGATATATAACTAACAATAATTAACTTACTCCAAATTGTAATACAATCAATATTTAGACATAAACTATCATCAAAATACATTTATTTTGCATTCTTTTCCAATCTTTTAGAAATTCAAATAACAGTGAAGGAATTTATTTTAGAGAAATCTCTTGTAAAAATAAATTCTTTATTCATTTTATTTATGTAGCTCAATCATTAAACTATAATGATATTTATAGTTTATACTTTAAAAGATATCCAGGCAGCATCTTTTATTAAAAAACTTTATCTTTGCAGGCCAATCTTTCAGAAGTTCAAATAACATCAGTGAAGGAAACGCTGTTGGAGTTAACCCTGGTGAAACTCAATTCTTCATTCACTACATTTGAAACACAAAATTGGACAATCTTGTTCCAAACAGATTTGGTTATCTTGCTTCCCTATTTTACTCCAACTTTACTGAAAATTCTACCAACTGACATCTCCTGCTCTTCATACCAGGAAATGTAAGTGTTACCTTTCTTGTGGCCTTTAACAAAACTGCCCTCTATAAGTGCAAAAACAATAGCATGTATTCATCCTGCACTGCAACCATCAAACATTAATTGGTAGAAAGTCATCTAAAAACATGAATCATCATCTTTACTTTTGTTTTTTCATTTTATCTTAACAGCATTAAAGGATTTAATGCCGCTTTTACATCACTTTCGAAACAGACAAAAGAGGATATTTTCAACATCTTCATTATAGGCTACCTAACCGAAGCAAAATCATCCACAGGTATGTCAAGAAATCTCTTACAGCCAAAATGAAGTAGAAAGAAAAGATATCTTAGCCAAAGATGTCACAAATCTTTCTTCCATTCCAGCCCGACTTGCGCCAAGCTCTTTCCATCTAGATATTTATTGTGTCAAAATATGTCACTGACAACAACTTGAGTCCTTCTAAATGTGGAGGTATTTATGGGATAATAATAGTAACAGTGAGAATTGCCCACTAATTCAATTCTCAGATCCCAAAGAACGTTTATCGTGTTAAGTGAGAAGTATATCATATAAATAATATTAAAATTTTATTATAAAAATAGATTTTATTTTTAATAACAAATTAATTAATAATAACATGTAACATGCATGACAATAATCAATGAATATCCAGTATAAAATGGTATGCAATACAAAGGAATGGCTATATACGTTTCAATGGCTTAAACAGCATTATCTGTCAAGACTTTGACGATTTATGACTATCTTTCCTTAACACAGAGAGAAAGCGAAACTTTTCACAGCAGCGAAGGGCCATAAAACCCTGGCTAACAGTTAGAATAACCCTTTCAATGCTGGCTAGATCTCCTAGGTAGTTAAGATCTATTCTTATGTAATTTTAAATAAAATAACATTTAAACCAGTTCATTAGTCATTTCCTGGAACCATCCAATAAGAGAATCTACCATATTTTATAAGCAGAGTTTGTTTTTAATTTGTCTAAAAGATATCTTATCTTAATTTAGAGCAAATCAATACACCTGGATAAAAACAACGGTATGCTAACACGTGATAATATCACATCAATATATAATTATTCTTAATTCCACCTGCAGAATGGAATGTTTATAACTATATATTCTTTAGTTAACTAAGATTTCTTAATATGGAAATCTGACCGTGCTTTATCCAGTCATATATAATGCTATTAATACATTTTAATTAATTTAATTAATTAAATGAAACCAGTATAATTACCAGTTGAGTAGATATTTCATCCGATTGGTAGTCTCAGGAACTTATTTGGATGTCTCTCTGCATGGAGTTATGGTGAAAGGTGGTGTTGGTTAAAAAGCCAGTGAAATTCTAAGTGTTAGAGTTTTAAGAGTAGAGTTTTAGTCTCAGATGTTGTCCGAGTTGGAGTCCCCAAACTTCCAATTCCTCCTCTCTCTTTTTCCTTCTCCTTTGCATTTCCTATCTTCCCTTTGTCTTAACTTTTAAAGGGCCAGACTCTCTGTACGTCATCAGTTGATAGCCCAATAGAAGCACTAGAGGTGTGGTTATCTTCCAGATCACAATTTAGTTATTTGGTCTATAGCGGGCAGTCTTGTCCCACTAAACATACCTATCCAGGAAAGAGTTAACTTTTCTGGTTGGCTATTTTGACGTCATTTTGCGTTATCTTTATAGTGCCATAATTTAAAATTTCAAAGGGTTTCTTTAAGTTTTGTCCAGACTATGTGTCTGGCAAATCTGCTATAATTTCTGATATGGCAGATCATGAACTAAGTTTACCCTTTTCCATACAATGGTACCTTATATATATATAGACAGTAAAATTAAATTATTTAATCTTCTCTGTCACAAATGTCTGGGTTTAGATTTGATTATATTCCAGTAGCATTAGACAGTCTGTCCAACCCCCGTTTCTGCTTATCACTTGTTTATACTATGCATTCCTTTAGCTCTGGGAAAGTGGTTAGTTTACAGATAGAAATCTTGTGTCTTTTTGTTAACTTGAAAATAACAAAATGGAGTCTGGTCTGTTCAAAGTGACTCAGAATATACACTTTTAATTTCTATCATAGCACAAAATGTCTGCCGATATAAATACTCTGACATAAACCAATCTTGATCATATCTCCCCTGAACTCACCAATTGCACTTGTAGATTCTCTCTTTAGGGTGACCTTGCCTAGTTCACTAATCAGTCAAAAGTTATCATCTTAAGATATCTTACCGTGATATCAATTTGTTTCATTCACTTTGATGAATTGTTCTTGTACTTCCAGATAAAAATCAATGAACTACATTACAGATAGTCACCAATCAGTAAAACAAACTTTTTGGTGAAAATGATCAATAAAACATTTCCCACGTTTTACCAGTTGGGTTGTGCCTCTCTCTTACTCACCAGATACACTTCATAGCATAAAACTTTGGTGTTAAAATGCTCCGATTGTTGTTTTTCCTCCCTATGCCACTCGGCTAAATTGGTGGCAAATTAACCTGTTAGTGAAATGACAACAGAATAATTTTGGGAGATTCTGTTGTTGGAAATTGTTGGCATTTAGTCTTTCCTATCTTATCTTAAAAGTTTGAAAATATGTTCTCCCTCTTTATTTCATTGATTAGGTTCAGCTTGTGTTTCTGGAAGCATGTCTTATGAGGCGTGGATATCATTGACTTTTGGGGACTTTTACTACCTTGCGTCCATCGATGTCTTGACACATTTCAACGCACATTTTGTTCCTGTAAGTAACTAATAAGACAACAGTCCTTACACTCTTCTAGGTTTGACAAAACAATAGATTTTTTTTCCGATATTTCTTTCTTTGATAAAATCAATACAAACTGGAATATTTTGTTTGCATTCTCAGGAAGATCTGCCTGTCAATGTAACTGCCAGCTTATTGGTCCAAGAAGATGTCTTCACTAACCAAACTTTGGTGACCTCAATTTTAAGTGGAGTACAACTAACAAGTATCACTGAATTTGTAAACATCTTCACGTCTTCAGCAATACAGGTACGGGGCTAGAAAAAATAGCCGCTATTTAACTTGTAGTAAACAATTAAACAATACTATGCAACCATAAACTCATTCTGCATTTAGCAAACAATAATAAAAATTATTTGAGAGATATCCAGGCAGCATCTTTTATTAAAAAAACTTTATCTTTGCAGGCCAATCTTTCAGAAGTTCAAATAACATCAGTGAAGGAAACGCTGTTGGAGTTAACCCTGGTGAAACTCAATTCTTCATTCACTACATTTGAAACACAAAATTGGACAATCTTGTTCCAAACAGATTTGGTTATCTTGCTTCCCTATTTTACTCCAACTTTACTGAAAATTCTACCAACTGACATCTCCTGCTCTTCATACCAGGAAATGTAAGTGTTACCTTTCTTGTGGCCTTTAACAAAACTGCCCTCTATAAGTGCAAAAACAATAGCATGTATTCATCCTGCACTGCAACCATCAAACATTAATTGGTAGAAAGTCATCTAAAAACATGAATCGTCATCTTTACTTTTGTTTTTTCATTTTATCTTAACAGCATTAAAGGATTTAATGCCGTTTTTACATCACTTTCGAAACAGACAAAAGAGGATATTTTCAACATCTTCATTATAGGCTACCTAACCGAAGCAAAATCATCCACAGGTATGTCAAGAAATCTCTTACAGCCAAAATGAAGTAGAAAGAAAAGATATCCTAGCCAAAGATGTCACATATATTTCTTCCATTCCAGCCCGACTTGCGCCAAGCTCTTTCCATCTAGATATTTATTGTGTCAAAATATGTCACTGGCAACAACTTGAGTCCTTCTAAACCAAACTTGATCATATCTCCCCTGAACTCACCAATTGCACTTGTAGATTCTCTCTTTAGGGTGACCTTGCCTAGTTCACTAATCAGTCAAAAGTTATCATCTTAAGATGTCTTACCGTGATATCAATTTGTTTCATTCACTTTGATGAATTGTTCTTGTACTTCCAGATAAAAATCAATGAACTACATTACAGATAGTCACCAATCAGTAAAACAAACTTTTTGGTGAAAATGATCAATAAAAACATTTCCCACGTTTTACCAGTTGGGTTGTGCCTCTCTCTTACTCACCAGATACACTTCATAGCATAAAACTTTGGTGTTAAAATGCTCCGATTGTTGTTTTTCCTCCCTATGCCACTCGGCTAAATTGGTGGCAAATTAACCTGTTAGTGAAATGACAACAGAATAATTTTGGGAGATTCTGTTGTTGGAAATTGTTGGCATTTAGTCTTTCCTATCTTATCTTAAAAGTTTGAAAATATGTTCTCCCTCTTTATTTCATTGATTAGGTTCAGCTTGTGTTTCTGGAAGCATGTCTTATGAGGCGTGGATATCATTGACTTTTGGGGACTTTTACTACCTTGCGTCCATCGATGTCTTGACACATTTCAACGCACATTTTGTTCCTGTAAGTAACTAATAAGACAACAGTCCTTACACTCTTCTAGGTTTGACAAAACAATAGATTTTTTTTCCGATATTTCTTTCTTTGATAAAATCAATACAAACTGGAATATTTTGTTTGCATTCTCAGGAAGATCTGCCTGTCAATGTAACTGCCAGCTTATTGGTCCAAGAAGATGTCTTCACTAACCAAACTTTGGTGACCTCAATTTTAAGTGGAGTACAACTAACAAGTATCACTGAATTTGTAAACATCTTCACGTCTTCAGCAATACAGGTACGGGGCTAGAAAAAATAGCCGCTATTTAACTTGTAGTAAACAATTAAACAATACTATGCAACCATAAACTCATTCTGCATTTAGCAAACAATAATAAAAATTATTTGAGAGATATCCAGGCAGCATCTTTTATTAAAAAAACTTTATCTTTGCAGGCCAATCTTTCAGAAGTTCAAATAACATCAGTGAAGGAAACGCTGTTGGAGTTAACCCTGGTGAAACTCAATTCTTCATTCACTACATTTGAAACACAAAATTGGACAATCTTGTTCCAAACAGATTTGGTTATCTTGCTTCCCTATTTTACTCCAACTTTACTGAAAATTCTACCAACTGACATCTCCTGCTCTTCATACCAGGAAATGTAAGTGTTACCTTTCTTGTGGCCTTTAACAAAACTGCCCTCTATAAGTGCAAAAACAATAGCATGTATTCATCCTGCACTGCAACCATCAAACATTAATTGGTAGAAAGTCATCTAAAAACATGAATCGTCATCTTTACTTTTGTTTTTTCATTTTATCTTAACAGCATTAAAGGATTTAATGCCGTTTTTACATCACTTTCGAAACAGACAAAAGAGGATATTTTCAACATCTTCATTATAGGCTACCTAACCGAAGCAAAATCATCCACAGGTATGTCAAGAAATCTCCTACAGCCAAAATGAAGTAGAAAGAAAAGATATCCTAGCCAAAGATGTCACATATATTTCTTCCATTCCAGCCCGACTTGCGCCAAGCTCTTTCCATCTAGATATTTATTGTGTCAAAATATGTCACTGGCAACAACTTGAGTCCTTCTAAACCAAACTTGATCATATCTCCCCTGAACTCACCAATTGCACTTGTAGATTCTCTCTTTAGGGTGACCTTGCCTAGTTCACTAATCAGTCAAAAGTTATCATCTTAAGATGTCTTACCGTGATATCAATTTGTTTCATTCACTTTGATGAATTGTTCTTGTACTTCCAGATAAAAATCAATGAACTACATTACAGATAGTCACCAATCAGTAAAACAAACTTTTTGGTGAAAATGATCAATAAAACATTTCCCACGTTTTACCAGTTGGGTTGTGCCTCTCTCTTACTCACCAGATACACTTCATAGCATAAAACTTTGGTGTTAAAATGCTCCGATTGTTGTTTTTCCTCCCTATGCCACTCGGCTAAATTGGTGGCAAATTAACCTGTTAGTGAAATGACAACAGAATAATTTTGGGAGATTCTGTTGTTGGAAATTGTTGGCATTTAGTCTTTCCTATCTTATCTTAAAAGTTTGAAAATATGTTCTCCCTCTTTATTTCATTGATTAGGTTCAGCTTGTGTTTCTGGAAGCATGTCTTATGAGGCGTGGATATCATTGACTTTTGGGGACTTTTACTACCTTGCGTCCATCGATGTCTTGACACATTTCAACGCACATTTTGTTCCTGTAAGTAACTAATAAGACAACAGTCCTTACACTCTTCTAGGTTTGACAAAACAATAGATTTTTTTTCCGATATTTCTTTCTTTGATAAAATCAATACAAACTGGAATATTTTGTTTGCATTCTCAGGAAGATCTGCCTGTCAATGTAACTGCCAGCTTATTGGTCCAAGAAGATGTCTTCACTAACCAAACTTTGGTGACCTCAATTTTAAGTGGAGTACAACTAACAAGTATCACTGAATTTGTAAACATCTTCACGTCTTCAGCAATACAGGTACGGGGCTAGAAAAAATAGCCGCTATTTAACTTGTAGTAAACAATTAAACAATACTATGCAACCATAAACTCATTCTGCATTTAGCAAACAATAATAAAAATTATTTGAGAGATATCCAGGCAGCATCTTTTATTAAAAAAACTTTATCTTTGCAGGCCAATCTTTCAGAAGTTCAAATAACATCAGTGAAGGAAACGCTGTTGGAGTTAACCCTGGTGAAACTCAATTCTTCATTCACTACATTTGAAACACAAAATTGGACAATCTTGTTCCAAACAGATTTGGTTATCTTGCTTCCCTATTTTACTCCAACTTTACTGAAAATTCTACCAACTGACATCTCCTGCTCTTCATACCAGGAAATGTAAGTGTTACCTTTCTTGTGGCCTTTAACAAAACTGCCCTCTATAAGTGCAAAAACAATAGCATGTATTCATCCTGCACTGCAACCATCAAACATTAATTGGTAGAAAGTCATCTAAAAACATGAATCGTCATCTTTACTTTTGTTTTTTCATTTTATCTTAACAGCATTAAAGGATTTAATGCCGTTTTTACATCACTTTCGAAACAGACAAAAGAGGATATTTTCAACATCTTCATTATAGGCTACCTAACCGAAGCAAAATCATCCACAGGTATGTCAAGAAATCTCTTACAGCCAAAATGAAGTAGAAAGAAAAGATATCCTAGCCAAAGATGTCACATATATTTCTTCCATTCCAGCCCGACTTGCGCCAAGCTCTTTCCATCTAGATATTTATTGTGTCAAAATATGTCACTGGCAACAACTTGAGTCCTTCTAAACCAAACTTGATCATATCTCCCCTGAACTCACCAATTGCACTTGTAGATTCTCTCTTTAGGGTGACCTTGCCTAGTTCACTAATCAGTCAAAAGTTATCATCTTAAGATGTCTTACCGTGATATCAATTTGTTTCATTCACTTTGATGAATTGTTCTTGTACTTCCAGATAAAAATCAATGAACTACATTACAGATAGTCACCAATCAGTAAAACAAACTTTTTGGTGAAAATGATCAATAAAAACATTTCCCACGTTTTACCAGTTGGGTTGTGCCTCTCTCTTACTCACCAGATACACTTCATAGCATAAAACTTTGGTGTTAAAATGCTCCGATTGTTGTTTTTCCTCCCTATGCCACTCGGCTAAATTGGTGGCAAATTAACCTGTTAGTGAAATGACAACAGAATAATTTTGGGAGATTCTGTTGTTGGAAATTGTTGGCATTTAGTCTTTCCTATCTTATCTTAAAAGTTTGAAAATATGTTCTCCCTCTTTATTTCATTGATTAGGTTCAGCTTGTGTTTCTGGAAGCATGTCTTATGAGGCGTGGATATCATTGACTTTTGGGGACTTTTACTACCTTGCGTCCATCGATGTCTTGACACATTTCAACGCACATTTTGTTCCTGTAAGTAACTAATAAGACAACAGTCCTTACACTCTTCTAGGTTTGACAAAACAATAGATTTTTTTTCCGATATTTCTTTCTTTGATAAAATCAATACAAACTGGAATATTTTGTTTGCATTCTCAGGAAGATCTGCCTGTCAATGTAACTGCCAGCTTATTGGTCCAAGAAGATGTCTTCACTAACCAAACTTTGGTGACCTCAATTTTAAGTGGAGTACAACTAACAAGTATCACTGAATTTGTAAACATCTTCACGTCTTCAGCAATACAGGTACGGGGCTAGAAAAAATAGCCGCTATTTAACTTGTAGTAAACAATTAAACAATACTATGCAACCATAAACTCATTCTGCATTTAGCAAACAATAATAAAAATTATTTGAGAGATATCCAGGCAGCATCTTTTATTAAAAAAACTTTATCTTTGCAGGCCAATCTTTCAGAAGTTCAAATAACATCAGTGAAGGAAACGCTGTTGGAGTTAACCCTGGTGAAACTCAATTCTTCATTCACTACATTTGAAACACAAAATTGGACAATCTTGTTCCAAACAGATTTGGTTATCTTGCTTCCCTATTTTACTCCAACTTTACTGAAAATTCTACCAACTGACATCTCCTGCTCTTCATACCAGGAAATGTAAGTGTTACCTTTCTTGTGGCCTTTAACAAAACTGCCCTCTATAAGTGCAAAAACAATAGCATGTATTCATCCTGCACTGCAACCATCAAACATTAATTGGTAGAAAGTCATCTAAAAACATGAATCGTCATCTTTACTTTTGTTTTTTCATTTTATCTTAACAGCATTAAAGGATTTAATGCCGTTTTTACATCACTTTCGAAACAGACAAAAGAGGATATTTTCAACATCTTCATTATAGGCTACCTAACCGAAGCAAAATCATCCACAGGTATGTCAAGAAATCTCTTACAGCCAAAATGAAGTAGAAAGAAAAGATATCCTAGCCAAAGATGTCACATATATTTCTTCCATTCCAGCCCGACTTGCGCCAAGCTCTTTCCATCTAGATATTTATTGTGTCAAAATATGTCACTGGCAACAACTTGAGTCCTTCTAAACCAAACTTGATCATATCTCCCCTGAACTCACCAATTGCACTTGTAGATTCTCTCTTTAGGGTGACCTTGCCTAGTTCACTAATCAGTCAAAAGTTATCATCTTAAGATGTCTTACCGTGATATCAATTTGTTTCATTCACTTTGATGAATTGTTCTTGTACTTCCAGATAAAAATCAATGAACTACATTACAGATAGTCACCAATCAGTAAAACAAACTTTTTGGTGAAAATGATCAATAAAAACATTTCCCACGTTTTACCAGTTGGGTTGTGCCTCTCTCTTACTCACCAGATACACTTCATAGCATAAAACTTTGGTGTTAAAATGCTCCGATTGTTGTTTTTCCTCCCTATGCCACTCGGCTAAATTGGTGGCAAATTAACCTGTTAGTGAAATGACAACAGAATAATTTTGGGAGATTCTGTTGTTGGAAATTGTTGGCATTTAGTCTTTCCTATCTTATCTTAAAAGTTTGAAAATATGTTCTCCCTCTTTATTTCATTGATTAGGTTCAGCTTGTGTTTCTGGAAGCATGTCTTATGAGGCGTGGATATCATTGACTTTTGGGGACTTTTACTACCTTGCGTCCATCGATGTCTTGACACATTTCAACGCACATTTTGTTCCTGTAAGTAACTAATAAGACAACAGTCCTTACACTCTTCTAGGTTTGACAAAACAATAGATTTTTTTTCCGATATTTCTTTCTTTGATAAAATCAATACAAACTGGAATATTTTGTTTGCATTCTCAGGAAGATCTGCCTGTCAATGTAACTGCCAGCTTATTGGTCCAAGAAGATGTCTTCACTAACCAAACTTTGGTGACCTCAATTTTAAGTGGAGTACAACTAACAAGTATCACTGAATTTGTAAACATCTTCACGTCTTCAGCAATACAGGTACGGGGCTAGAAAAAATAGCCGCTATTTAACTTGTAGTAAACAATTAAACAATACTATGCAACCATAAACTCATTCTGCATTTAGCAAACAATAATAAAAATTATTTGAGAGATATCCAGGCAGCATCTTTTATTAAAAAAACTTTATCTTTGCAGGCCAATCTTTCAGAAGTTCAAATAACATCAGTGAAGGAAACGCTGTTGGAGTTAACCCTGGTGAAACTCAATTCTTCATTCACTACATTTGAAACACAAAATTGGACAATCTTGTTCCAAACAGATTTGGTTATCTTGCTTCCCTATTTTACTCCAACTTTACTGAAAATTCTACCAACTGACATCTCCTGCTCTTCATACCAGGAAATGTAAGTGTTACCTTTCTTGTGGCCTTTAACAAAACTGCCCTCTATAAGTGCAAAAACAATAGCATGTATTCATCCTGCACTGCAACCATCAAACATTAATTGGTAGAAAGTCATCTAAAAACATGAATCGTCATCTTTACTTTTGTTTTTTCATTTTATCTTAACAGCATTAAAGGATTTAATGCCGTTTTTACATCACTTTCGAAACAGACAAAAGAGGATATTTTCAACATCTTCATTATAGGCTACCTAACCGAAGCAAAATCATCCACAGGTATGTCAAGAAATCTCTTACAGCCAAAATGAAGTAGAAAGAAAAGATATCCTAGCCAAAGATGTCACATATATTTCTTCCATTCCAGCCCGACTTGCGCCAAGCTCTTTCCATCTAGATATTTATTGTGTCAAAATATGTCACTGGCAACAACTTGAGTCCTTCTAAACCAAACTTGATCATATCTCCCCTGAACTCACCAATTGCACTTGTAGATTCTCTCTTTAGGGTGACCTTGCCTAGTTCACTAATCAGTCAAAAGTTATCATCTTAAGATGTCTTACCGTGATATCAATTTGTTTCATTCACTTTGATGAATTGTTCTTGTACTTCCAGATAAAAATCAATGAACTACATTACAGATAGTCACCAATCAGTAAAACAAACTTTTTGGTGAAAATGATCAATAAAAACATTTCCCACGTTTTACCAGTTGGGTTGTGCCTCTCTCTTACTCACCAGATACACTTCATAGCATAAAACTTTGGTGTTAAAATGCTCCGATTGTTGTTTTTCCTCCCTATGCCACTCGGCTAAATTGGTGGCAAATTAACCTGTTAGTGAAATGACAACAGAATAATTTTGGGAGATTCTGTTGTTGGAAATTGTTGGCATTTAGTCTTTCCTATCTTATCTTAAAAGTTTGAAAATATGTTCTCCCTCTTTATTTCATTGATTAGGTTCAGCTTGTGTTTCTGGAAGCATGTCTTATGAGGCGTGGATATCATTGACTTTTGGGGACTTTTACTACCTTGCGTCCATCGATGTCTTGACACATTTCAACGCACATTTTGTTCCTGTAAGTAACTAATAAGACAACAGTCCTTACACTCTTCTAGGTTTGACAAAACAATAGATTTTTTTTCCGATATTTCTTTCTTTGATAAAATCAATACAAACTGGAATATTTTGTTTGCATTCTCAGGAAGATCTGCCTGTCAATGTAACTGCCAGCTTATTGGTCCAAGAAGATGTCTTCACTAACCAAACTTTGGTGACCTCAATTTTAAGTGGAGTACAACTAACAAGTATCACTGAATTTGTAAACATCTTCACGTCTTCAGCAATACAGGTACGGGGCTAGAAAAAATAGCCGCTATTTAACTTGTAGTAAACAATTAAACAATACTATGCAACCAGAAACTCTTTCTGCATTTAGCAAACAATAATAAAAATTATTTGAGAGATATCCAGGCAGCCTCTTTTATTAAAAAAACTTTATCTTTGCAGGCCAATCTTTCAGAAGTTCAAATAACATCAGTGAAGGAAACGCTGTTGGAGTTAACTCTGGTGAAACTCAATTCTTCATTCACTACATTTGAAACACAAAATTGGACAATCTTGTTCCAAACAGATTTGGTTATCTTGCTTCCCTATTTTACTCCAACTTTACTGAAAATTCTACCAACTGACATCTCCTGCTCTTCATACCAGGAAATGTAAGTGTTACCTTTCTTGTGGCCTTTAACAAAACTGCCCTCTATAAGTGCAAAAACAATAGCATGTATTCATCCTGCACTGCAACCATCAAACATTAATTGGTAGAAAGTCATCTAAAAACATGAATCGTCATCTTTACTTTTGTTTTTTCATTTTATCTTAACAGCATTAAAGGATTTAATGCCGTTTTTACATCACTTTCGAAACAGACAAAAGAGGATATTTTCAACATCTTCATTATAGGCTACCTAACCGAAGCAAAATCATCCACAGGTATGTCAAGAAATCTCTTACAGCCAAAATGAAGTAGAAAGAAAAGATATCCTAGCCAAAGATGTCACATATATTTCTTCCATTCCAGCCCGACTTGCGCCAAGCTCTTTCCATCTAGATATTTATTGTGTCAAAATATGTCACTGGCAACAACTTGAGTCCTTCTAAACCAAACTTGATCATATCTCCCCTGAACTCACCAATTGCACTTGTAGATTCTCTCTTTAGGGTGACCTTGCCTAGTTCACTAATCAGTCAAAAGTTATCATCTTAAGATGTCTTACCGTGATATCAATTTGTTTCATTCACTTTGATGAATTGTTCTTGTACTTCCAGATAAAAATCAATGAACTACATTACAGATAGTCACCAATCAGTAAAACAAACTTTTTGGTGAAAATGATCAATAAAAACATTTCCCACGTTTTACCAGTTGGGTTGTGCCTCTCTCTTACTCACCAGATACACTTCATAGCATAAAACTTTGGTGTTAAAATGCTCCGATTGTTGTTTTTCCTCCCTATGCCACTCGGCTAAATTGGTGGCAAATTAACCTGTTAGTGAAATGACAACAGAATAATTTTGGGAGATTCTGTTGTTGGAAATTGTTGGCATTTAGTCTTTCCTATCTTATCTTAAAAGTTTGAAAATATGTTCTCCCTCTTTATTTCATTGATTAGGTTCAGCTTGTGTTTCTGGAAGCATGTCTTATGAGGCGTGGATATCATTGACTTTTGGGGACTTTTACTACCTTGCGTCCATCGATGTCTTGACACATTTCAACGCACATTTTGTTCCTGTAAGTAACTAATAAGACAACAGTCCTTACACTCTTCTAGGTTTGACAAAACAATAGATTTTTTTTCCGATATTTCTTTCTTTGATAAAATCAATACAAACTGGAATATTTTGTTTGCATTCTCAGGAAGATCTGCCTGTCAATGTAACTGCCAGCTTATTGGTCCAAGAAGATGTCTTCACTAACCAAACTTTGGTGACTTCAATTTTAAGTGGAGTACAACTAACAAGTATCACTGAATTTGTAAACATCTTCACGTCTTCAGCAATACAGGTACGGGGCTAGAAAAAATAGCCGCTATTTAACTTGTAGTAAACAATTAAACAATACTATGCAACCAGAAACTCTTTCTGCATTTAGCAAACAATAATAAAAATTATTTGAGAGATATCCAGGCAGCCTCTTTTATTAAAAAAACTTTATCTTTGCAGGCCAATCTTTCAGAAGTTCAAATAACATCAGTGAAGGAAACGCTGTTGGAGTTAACTCTGGTGAAACTCAATTCTTCATTCACTACATTTGAAACACAAAATTGGACAATCTTGTTCCAAACAGATTTGGTTATCTTGCTTCCCTATTTTACTCCAACTTTACTGAAAATTCTACCAACTGACATCTCCTGCTCTTCATACCAGGAAATGTAAGTGTTACCTTTCTTGTGGCCTTTAACAAAACTGCCCTCTATAAGTGCAAAAACAATAGCATGTATTCATCCTGCACTGCAACCATCAAACATTAATTGGTAGAAAGTCATCTAAAAACATGAATCGTCATCTTTACTTTTGTTTTTTCATTTTATCTTAACAGCATTAAAGGATTTAATGCCGCTTTTACATCACTTTCGAAACAGACAAAAGAGGATATTTTCAACATCTACATTATAGGCTACCTAACCGAAGCAAAATCATCCACAGGTATGTCAACAAATCTCTTACAGCCAAAATGAAGTAGAAAGAAAAGATATCTTAGCCAAAGATGTCACATATCTTTCTTCCATTCCAGCCCGACTTACGCCAAGCTCTTTCCATCTAGATATTTATTGTGTCAAAATATGTCACTGACAACAACTTGAGTCCTTCTAAACCAAACTTGATCATATCTCCCCTGAACTCACCAATTGCACTTGTAGATTCTCTCTTTAGGGTGACCTTACCTAGTTCACTAATCAGTCAAAACTTATCATCTTAAGATGTCTTACCATGATATCAATTTGTTTCATTCAGTTTGATTACTTTTTCTTGTACTTCCAGATAAAAATCAATGAACTACATTACACATAGTCACCAATCAGTAAAACAAACTTTTTGGTGAAAATGATCAATAAAAACATTTCCCACATTTTACCAGTTGGGTTTTGCCTCTCTCTTACTCACCAGATACACTTCTAAGCATAAAACTGTGGTGTAAAAATGCTCTGATTGTTGTTTTTCCTCCCTATGCCACTCGGCTAAATTGGTGGCAAATTAACCTGTTACTGAAATGAAAACCCTATATTTTTGGAAGATTCTGTTGTTGGAAATTGTTAGCATTTAGTCTTTCTTATCTTATCTTAAAAGTTTGAAAAGATGTTCTCCCTCTTTATTTCATTGATTAGGTTCAGCTTGTGTTTCTGGAAGCATGTCTTATGAGGAGTGGATATCATTGACTTTTGGGGACTTTTACTACCTTGCGTCCATCGATGTCTTGACACAATTCAACGCACATTTTGTTCCTGTAAGTAACTAATAAGACAACAGTCCTTACACTCTTCTAGGTTTGACAAAACAATAGATTTTTTTTCTCGATATTTCTTTCTTTAATAAAATCAATACAAACTGGAATATTTTGTTTGCATTCTCAGGAAGATCTGCCTGTCAATGTAACTGCCAACTTATTGGTCCAAGAAGATGTCTTCACTAACCAAACTTTGGTGACTTCAATTTTAAGTGGAGTACAACTAACAAGTATCACTGAATTTGTAAACATCTTCACGTCTTCAGCAATACAGGTACGGGGCTAGAACGAATAGCCGCTATTTAACTTGTAGTAAACAATTAATCAATTCTATGCAACCAGAAACTCTTTCTGCAATTAGCAAACAATAATAAAAATTATTTGAGAGATATCCAGGCAGCCTCTTTTATTTAAAAAAAACTTTATCTTTGCAGGCCAATCTTTCAGAAGTTCAAATAACATCAGTGAAGGAAACGCTGTTGGAGTTAACTCTGGTGAAACTCAATTCTTCATTCACTACGTTTGAAACACAAAATTGGACAATCTTGTTCCAAACAGATTTGGTTATCTTGCTTCCCTATTTTACTCCAACTTTACTGAAAATTCTACCAACTGACATCTCCTGCTCTTCATACCAGGAAATGTAAGTGTTACCTTTCTTGTGGCCTTTAACAAAACTGCCCTCTATAAGTGCAAAAACAATAGCATGTATTCATCCTGCACTGCAACCATCAAACATTAATTGGTAGAAAGTCATCTAAAAACATGAATCGTCATCTTTACTTTTGTTTTTTCATTTTATCTTAACAGCATTAAAGGATTTAATGCCGCTTTTACATCACTTTCGAAACAGACAAAAGAGGATATTTTCAACATCTACATTATAGGCTACCTAACCGAAGCAAAATCATCCACAGGTATGTCAACAAATCTCTTACAGCCAAAATGAAGTAGAAAGAAAAGATATCTTAGCCAAAGATGTCACATATCTTTCTTCCATTCCAGCCCGACTTACGCCAAGCTCTTTCCATCTAGATATTTATTGTGTCAAAATATGTCACTGACAACAACTTGAGTCCTTCTAAACCAAACTTGATCATATCTCCCCTGAACTCACCAATTGCACTTGTAGATTCTCTCTTTAGGGTGACCTTACCTAGTTCACTAATCAGTCAAAACTTATCATCTTAAGATGTCTTACCATGATATCAATTTGTTTCATTCAGTTTGATTACTTTTTCTTGTACTTCCAGATAAAAATCAATGAACTACATTACACATAGTCACCAATCAGTAAAACAAACTTTTTGGTGAAAATGATCAATAAAAACATTTCCCACATTTTACCAGTTGGGTTTTGCCTCTCTCTTACTCAACAGATACACTTCTAAGCATAAAACTGTGGTGTAAAAATGCTCTGATTGTTGTTTTTCCTCCCTATGCCACTCGGCTAAATTGGTGGCAAATTAACCTGTTACTGAAATGAAAACCCTATATTTTTGGAAGATTCTGTTGTTGGAAATTGTTAGCATTTAGTCTTTCTTATCTTATCTTAAAAGTTTGAAAAGATGTTCTCCCTCTTTATTTCATTGATTAGGTTCAGCTTGTGTTTCTGGAAGCATGTCTTATGAGGAGTGGATATCATTGACTTTTGGGGACTTTTACTACCTTGCGTCCATCGATGTCTTGACACAATTCAACGCACATTTTGTTCCTGTAAGTAACTAATAAGACAACAGTCCTTACACTCTTCTAGGTTTGACAAAACAATAGATTTTTTTTCTCGATATTTCTTTCTTTAATAAAATCAATACAAACTGGAATATTTTGTTTGCATTCTCAGGAAGATCTGCCTGTCAATGTAACTGCCAACTTATTGGTCCAAGAAGATGTCTTCACTAACCAAACTTTGGTGACTTCAATTTTAAGTGGAGTACAACTAACAAGTATCACTGAATTTGTAAACATCTTCACGTCTTCAGCAATACAGGTACGGGGCTAGAACGAATAGCCGCTATTTAACTTGTAGTAAACAATTAATCAATTCTATGCAACCAGAAACTCTTTCTGCAATTAGCAAACAATAATAAAAATTATTTGAGAGATATCCAGGCAGCCTCTTTTATTAAAAAAAAAACTTTATCTTTGCAGGCCAATCTTTCAGAAGTTCAAATAACATCAGTGAAGGAAACGCTGTTGGAGTTAACTCTGGTGAAACTCAATTCTTCATTCACTACGTTTGAAACACAAAATTGGACAATCTTGTTCCAAACAGATTTGGTTATCTTGCTTCCCTATTTTACTCCAACTTTACTGAAAATTCTACCAACTGACATCTCCTGCTCTTCATACCAGGAAATGTAAGTGTTACCTTTCTTGTGGCCTTTAACAAAACTGCCCTCTATAAGTGCAAAAACAATAGCATGTATTCATCCTGCACTGCAACCATCAAACATTAATTGGTAGAAAGTCATCTAAAAACATGAATCGTCATCTTTACTTTTGTTTTTTCATTTTATCTTAACAGCATTAAAGGATTTAATGCCGCTTTTACATCACTTTCGAAACAGACAAAAGAGGATATTTTCAACATCTACATTATAGGCTACCTAACCGAAGCAAAATCATCCACAGGTATGTCAACAAATCTCTTACAGCCAAAATGAAGTAGAAAGAAAAGATATCTTAGCCAAAGATGTCACATATCTTTCTTCCATTCCAGCCCGACTTACGCCAAGCTCTTTCCATCTAGATATTTATTGTGTCAAAATATGTCACTGACAACAACTTGAGTCCTTCTAAACCAAACTTGATCATATCTCCCCTGAACTCACCAATTGCACTTGTAGATTCTCTCTTTAGGGTGACCTTACCTAGTTCACTAATCAGTCAAAACTTATCATCTTAAGATGTCTTACCATGATATCAATTTGTTTCATTCAGTTTGATTACTTTTTCTTGTACTTCCAGATAAAAATCAATGAACTACATTACACATAGTCACCAATCAGTAAAACAAACTTTTTGGTGAAAATGATCAATAAAAACATTTCCCACATTTTACCAGTTGGGTTTTGCCTCTCTCTTACTCACCAGATACACTTCTAAGCATAAAACTGTGGTGTAAAAATGCTCTGATTGTTGTTTTTCCTCCCTATGCCACTCGGCTAAATTGGTGGCAAATTAACCTGTTACTGAAATGAAAACCCTATATTTTTGGAAGATTCTGTTGTTGGAAATTGTTAGCATTTAGTCTTTCTTATCTTATCTTAAAAGTTTGAAAAGATGTTCTCCCTCTTTATTTCATTGATTAGGTTCAGCTTGTGTTTCTGGAAGCATGTCTTATGAGGAGTGGATATCATTGACTTTTGGGGACTTTTACTACCTTGCGTCCATCGATGTCTTGACACAATTCAACGCACATTTTGTTCCTGTAAGTAACTAATAAGACAACAGTCCTTACACTCTTCTAGGTTTGACAAAACAATAGATTTTTTTTCTCGATATTTCTTTCTTTAATAAAATCAATACAAACTGGAATATTTTGTTTGCATTCTCAGGAAGATCTGCCTGTCAATGTAACTGCCAACTTATTGGTCCAAGAAGATGTCTTCACTAACCAAACTTTGGTGACTTCAATTTTAAGTGGAGTACAACTAACAAGTATCACTGAATTTGTAAACATCTTCACGTCTTCAGCAATACAGGTACGGGGCTAGAACGAATAGCCGCTATTTAACTTGTAGTAAACAATTAATCAATTCTATGCAACCAGAAACTCTTTCTGCAATTAGCAAACAATAATAAAAATTATTTGAGAGATATCCAGGCAGCCTCTTTTATTAAAAAAAAAACTTTATCTTTGCAGGCCAATCTTTCAGAAGTTCAAATAACATCAGTGAAGGAAACGCTGTTGGAGTTAACTCTGGTGAAACTCAATTCTTCATTCACTACGTTTGAAACACAAAATTGGACAATCTTGTTCCAAACAGATTTGGTTATCTTGCTTCCCTATTTTACTCCAACTTTACTGAAAATTCTACCAACTGACATCTCCTGTTCTTCATACCAGGAAATGTAAGTGTTACCATTCTTGTGATAAAAATGTCTGATTAAACTAAAAATATAATATTAACGTTGGGGTTGCAATGTTTTTATATGTTTCATTGTTTTATTTTAACAGAGTGAAAGGATTCAGCCAGTCTTTTACGTCACTTTCACCCCAAACAAAAGAGGATATATTCAATGACTTAATTAAGAGATATATGACTGAGCATGCATTTACAGGTATGTGACTTTTTTATTTTCGTAGTAAAGAGCATTGCAATTAAAATTTTCACTGTGTACTATAATATACAGTAATAATGTAGTGACTGTTAATAAATGTACACATCATGCCCTAATATGTATACAATGCAACTTATTTTTTAAAAGGTATATTTTTGGTTGTTTAAAACTAATATTTAATTCCACGTATCTAAACATATTTTCATCCAGTTTTCATTATTTTTTTTAGACTCTGTTTGCGCTTCTGGTACAACCAACTTCTATGAGTGGAAAATAGTGAATTTCCATGATTTTTTTATTTTTGCCACCGTTTATAATTTTCTGGACTTTTATCCTGGATTTGACGCAGTAAGTATCTCACATAAGACCTGTGGGAACTCTTGGGAATTATAAACAGGAATTTGATATATGTTTGATTATTAATATTCCTTAAAGCATTTGGAAAAGGAAACATAGATTATGTTGCTTTTTTTCTTAGAGTGACCTGTCACCAAACGATGCAGCTTCAATATTGATACAAGAAGATGTCCTCACTAACCAAACTTTCTTGGCATCATTTTTAAGTGGCATTAAACCAGAACAGCTTACAGCTTATGTCAATGCCTTCACATCTGCAGCCTCACAGGTACAGGACAGACTAAATGGCCTTTAATTATTATCTATTTATCAATTCCATGATAACAATAACTTTCATCTCCGTATTAAAATAGGTCAAACATTGCCTACTTGATAGCATAAATTATTAAAGTGATGTTTTTTTTTCCTTCGTAGGCCAATCTTTCAGACATTCAGATACGATTGGTAAAGTCAACCCTATTGGATATAAATCTTTTGAATCTGAGTTCCTCTTTCTCCACTTATAATAATCAAAACTGGGCAGTCCTGTTCCAGACAGATTTGGTTCTCTTGCTTCCATACTTTAACCAAACTCTTCTTCAGCTTTTGCCAACTGACATCTCCTGCAATTCATACCAGGAAATGTAAGTCTTACCTTTCACATGTTAAAACAAAGTTTGTTTTTTTAATTACAAAACACATCAACTAATCAAAGGAACACTATAGTTTTAGGTACTCAAACCTGTATTCTAAATACTATAGTGTCTTTGATCCTACACTAATTCAAGTCCCCCCTCGTGTGCAATAAAATCTAAAATAATTAAAGGTTTACTCATATTTTCCAGTGCCGAGGCTTTTTGGTTCTGGTTACCTCTCTGCCTCCCGCAATATCAAAGAGGAAGCATGGCCACCTCCAGCTTTAGTCAGTCTAATTCTCCTCATGGAGCACCCCACAATAATTCAAACTTCCTCATAGGAAAGCATTGAATCAATACTTTCCTTTGGCTCTTTCACATCATGTGTCTGAGTTTTACTAAGTCAATGCAGTGAAAACACTTATACGGACTTTTATGTTGACAGCCACTATCGGTGGACTTAACCCTGCAATGTAAACAGTATCTAAAAAAACTGCACGTACTTGACATTGTAGAGTTGAAAAGTAGGGACAATGCACCCAGGCACTTCCTTGAGATGAGGTGGTCTGGGTAACTATAATCTTGTTTTAATCTATTGCAACACCCGCCAATAGTAAAATTATGTTTTTGTTTTTTTCAACAGAGTAAAAGGGTTTAGCCAGGTTTTTACATTCCTTTCAACCCAGACAAAAGAAGATATATTCAGTTACTTCATTAAAACCTACATGACTGAGCATGCATCTACAGGTATGTGATTTGTTAATTTCCACTTTCAAAAGAGCCATAATGCCTATAATATATAGTAATGATAGTCAATAAATGCAAACATACTGGCTTTAACTTTACATATGATCTCACTTATTGGTTAAAATTCATATGTTGTTGTAGTCTGACTCTCATTCTTAATAGAGTTATCAACATGTTTTCTATCAATTTCCATTTTTCCATTAGGCTCTACTTGTGTTTCTGGTACAACTAACTTCTATGAGTGGAAGACACAGAATTTTGGTGAATTTTTCGTCTTTGCCACCATTTATAACCTTGTAGACTTCTATCCTGGGTTTGATGCAGTAAGTATCTCACATAAGTCAAGAGGACATTCGTAATTTTTCTAAAGAGGAATTTTATATATGTATATTGCTTGTGACATGTTACAGTGTTGAATCTAAACAAACCTAAACTATATAAATGTTTCTTAGGGTGATCTGTCACCAAATGATGCAGCTGCCATATTGATCCAAGAAGATGCTCTCGCTAACCAAACTTTCTTGGCATCATTTTTAAGTGGAATACAACCAGAGAGTATTACAGAATATGTAAACGCCTTCACATCTACAGCTACAAAGGTATACGACACACTACACGGGTATCGCCTAATATCTATTTAAAAATGTCATGAGAATTGCAATATCTAGGATGCATCCATTATTAGAAAAGTATATTTTTCTTTTCCTAGGTTAATCTTTCAGAAGTTCAGATAATATTGGTGAAATCGACCCTACTGGATAGAACTCTTGTGAACTTGACTTCCTCTTTCTCCACTTATGACACACAAAACTGGACAGTCTTATTCCAGACAGATCTGGTTCTCTTGCTTCCGTACTTCAACCAAACTCTTCTTCAGCTTCTGCCAATGAATATCTCCTGCACTTCATACCAGGAAATGTAAGTCTTACCATACAAATCTCTATTCCTAACACTATAGTGTCCCTGTCCCTACTCCTTTTCTGGTCCACCCTGGGAGCATTAACATTTTAAAAAATTAAAGATTTACTCATCTTTTTTCTGTGCTGAGACTCCCTCAGCGATGCTTACCTCTCTACCTCCTCCTGCCATGGTCAATCCAATTCTCCTCATAGAGGAGAATTGGGGGCCTAATGCTCCTGTGCGGTAAGCGCCCTATGCACATTGAAACTTCCTTATAGGCAGGCATTGAATTAAGGTTTTCCTTTGGGACTTTCTCATCATGTGACCAAGTTTTACTTGGTCCATACAGCGGAAACACCTATAGTAACTGTCATATTGCAGCCACAAGAAGTGGATCTAACCCTGCAATGTAAGCAGTTTCTAAAACACTCAAGTGCTTTACATTGCAGGGTTGAAAAACAGGGACAATGCACCTAGACCACTTACTTAAGATGAAGTGGTCTGGGTGACTATAGTGTTCTTTTAATATATAACACCCTTCATGGGTAACATTTTGTTTTTGGGTTTTTTCAACAGAGTAAAAGGATTTAGCCAGGTTTTTACATTACTTTCAACCAAGACAAAAGAAGATATATTCAATGACTTCATTAAGACCTACATGACTGAGCATCCATCTACAGGTATGTGATTTGTTAATTTCCACTTTCAAAAGAGCCATAATGCCTATAATATATAGTAATGATAGTCAATAAATGCAAACATACTGGCTTTAACTTTACATATAATCTAACTTATTGGTTAAAATTCATATGTTGTTGTAGTCTGACTCTCTTTCTTAATAGAGTTATCAACATGTTTTCTTTCAATTAACATTATTTCCATTAGGCTCTACTTGTGTTTCTGGTACAACAAACTTCTACGAGTGGAAAACATTTAATTTCCGTGAATTTTTCATCTTTGCCACCATTTATAACCTTGTAGACTTCTATCCTGGGTTTGATGCAGTAAGTATCCCACATAAGTCGAGAGTGCATTCTTGATTTTTCTAAAGAGGAATTTTATATATGTATATTGCTTGTGACATGTCACAGTGTTTAATCCAAACAAGCCTAAACTATATAAATGTTTCTTAGGGTGATCTGTCACCAAATGATGCAGCTGCCATATTGATCCAAGAAGATGCTCTCGCTAACCAAACTTTCTTGGCATCATTTTTAAGTGGAATACAACCAGAGAGTATTACTGAATATGTAAATGCATTCACGTCAGCAGCTACAAAGGTATACGACACACTACATGGGTATCGCCTAATATCTATTTAAAAATTTCATAAAAACCACAACATTGAGGAAGCATCCATTATTAAATTTTTTTTATATTTTTCGTCCTAGGTTAATCTTTCAGATGTTCAGATAACATTGGTAAGATCAACACTACTGGAAGGAACTCTTGTGAAATTGACTTCCTCTTTCTCCACCTATGAAACACAAAACTGGACAGTCTTGTTCCAGACAGATTTGGTTCTCTTGCTTCCGTACTTCAACCAAACGCTTCTTCAGCTTTTGCCAATGAACATCTCCTGCACTTCATACCAGGAAATGTAAGTCTTACCATCTACATCAGCTTTGAAAATTATGTTTTCTATAAATGCTAAAACCTTATAATTCACTAATCCAATTAAAGTGCTGTAAAGTGAAATAAAAGAGATGTATTGTAATCATAATATATGTTTTGTTTTTTGATGTTTCAACAGAGTGAAAGGATTTAATGATGTTTTTACTTTACTTTCAAACAAGACAAAGGATGATATATTTAATTACTTCATTATAAGCTACCTGACTAATCAGAATTCTTCTCTAGGTATGTTATCTAATTACTTACAGCCAAAACAATATTGAAAGAAAAGAATACTTGGTTATTGGAATCACTGATGAATAGTCTCATCAAACCATGAGTTGTCCCATATTATTTCCATCTAGATAAATGTTGTGTTAAAATATTTAACTTTATTATAACTCCATTAATTAAAATTGTAGAATCTCTAATTAACTGACTAGTTTAAGAGTCAGTCCACGTGATCTACTTAATTTGGCTCAACTTGATGATAATCTCTATCTATGGCTCCATTTTATAAGCTTTCCTAGTGATTCAGAATAACTTATCTACAGAAGCCACCAATAAAGTCTATGGGATTTTTTTGTAAATAAATCATTTGGAATGTTTCTCTAACAGTGTTGAATCCTTTGGAGAGCTTTTTTTTAAAATATATTCTTTATTTTTGTTGTGCATAGTTTACACATCAGCCTGTTTGGCCACAACAGCTGTAACATGTATTATAACTTCAGGCTTTATCATGACAGTTGAGAAATCAGCACATTTTAAAATGAGATTAAACAGAGCTAGTAAGCAGGATATTGTAGTATAGGTACTGCGGGGCGATTTATGAGGCTGTAGAGTATGTGTGTCAGAGGCTCGGAAACTGAGTGGTCGATTGACCCTGGTGTGCTGGAACCGAGCCCTTATGAATCGTGTATGGGTTGTAGGTGATGAAGTCATGTGCCTCTGTGTGTAGTTAAGGTAGAGCGTAAAGCCATGTTGGTAGCTCCGCTATGTAGTTGTTAGTGGAGGGTGAATGCATGGCACTCGTTATGGTCAGCGTGGTGTTTGGATAGTGTGATTTGATTTGCGTCCAAATGCATATGTGTACAGCTCCTCCATGGTGTGCATATTATGGGTACATATGATGGGAGCTGGGGGAGGTGGATATTAAAAATGGAGCCAGCGTGTCCAGGGAAATTCCAGGTCTTGGCCATGTTTGGCCGCAGTATGTGGTCGGTTTACGACTTTGTGTATTGTTTTGAACGTTTGTCACATAACCAATATTTAACTGAGGGCTAAGCCCAACACAGAAAGTAGAAACATATAGAGAATGTATAGGCTTATGAGTCAGGTGGTCTCCCTCCCAGGTACTCCACGCAAAGTGGTGGATGAATGGGACAATGGTAGCTGAGTCCCAGGTTGTAGAGGGGGTGGGGCTGGGAGGCTCAGGGCCACCAGAACATTGTCCATCTCAGCGATGTCCGCCACCCTATTTTCTGTGTCTTGGTGCTGAATGAGGAGTACATGCGTAGGTCCCCAGCGGTACTTCACTCCCTTAGCTGCCAACATTGTTTTTAGCGGACGGAAGGATTTCCTCAAGAGCAGAGTATTGCGGAAGAGGTCAGAGTAGAACGACAGTTCCATGTCTTCAAACCTATAGGGGTTTTTCCCTCTGGTGGCCTCTGGTTTCTCTAAAAGCTAGATGCTGATTTGGCCTTTGTTTTTTCAGTCAGAGGGTCAACTGAGAGTTCTCGGTGCACAGAATATGCACAGACCAAACATTAGCCAGCCTGAAACACTCATTCCCACTCCCTAGACTTGGTAATGAAAGTTGCTGTAGGTGGAGTTACAACTCAGATAGTGACATAAAATATCTAAGTATTTGCACTTACAGGGTCCTTGCACCATGACCACTTTCAAAAGCTAAGTAGTAATGGTGCTTGGAGTATTCTTTTAATTTTAGTTACGAGAAAAATACATCTAGAAACGTAATTGTCCGTGGAACTCAGATAAAGTTATAAGTACAGATTTTTGTTGATTTTTAAAAAATATTCTTTACTGACTAACTTTATAAAATAATGAATTTAGAACCTGGAAAAAAGGTCAAAAGGGAATCATACCTTTGTTCAATACCTCTGGCAAACTACAGAGCCGAATTATAGAGCATTACATTTCAGATTTCAAATTTAATTACTTTAAAATATAATTTAAAAGTATTGATTTGCTGGGTCTGTATCTGATTTTGGGGCATTTTTATCAAGTTGCAAATTCATGTTATTCCATAAATTATTCCATTTAGAAATGTAGACACCTCTGGTTTCTAAAATTGTGTATCATAGGATCATTTCTTCACAAATGCTTTGTGTGTTTGTTTGTTTGTTTGTTTGTTTGTGTGTGTGTATGTGTGTGTTTGTTTGTTTGCAGATTGCATTTGGTTTGCTGAAAAGAAATGCAAATCCTATTAGAAAAAAAAATAGTGCGTAGGCGCTTCACTGAAATTATGTCAGCTTTGTATATAGTCAAACTATACAATAAGTTGTGTAACCGGTACCCTAGTGCTTCCCTTATGCACCAGATATTAGTAGTAAAATTTAAAGAGACAAATACCAGTATATACACCTCCCCAATGTGATCACAACAAAAATGGATAATATTACCAATATGAAACTTGCTTGTACTACAAACAGCGTAGAGCTTGATTGAGATATAGACTAAAACAAGAAAAATATACAAAACAGCATAGTGTGAACTGTATAATAACTGATAAATAATAAATGAATATATGACTCCCACTCACATTCTCCAGAGCTGTACCAGGCTCTGTAAATCAGGCTCAGGGGTGCCAAATACTGGCTAACGATCCAGGTGATTCAGGCAGATGAGACTCCAAGTATAAGTGCAAAATATATTTATTATTAAAAAAAATATATATAATAATTATGCACTACAGGGCACTATGGGGGTGGAACCCAATACAGAAATTAATATAACAAAATTGGAATTCCACTTACCCCTATTTGTATAGTAGCCCAGAGTGTAGAAATACACATGAAATCACAAATAACAGGTATAAAAAATAAGAGCAGACGCGTTTTGGCTAGCAGCCTTCTTCCAGTGCATTTCTCCATGCCCTGTTGAGTCTTCTTATACAGGGCCTATCTTTGCCATTCACCTGGATTCAATTTCATACCGGCGTCGCGTCACTTCCGGTTTTGCGCGTGACAGCGCGTCCGTTTTTCGGCCAGTTGGAACGCACATTGAAACACGGCGTTCAGGATATGGGTTACTCCTTAATGTTGTAATTGAGCCCTCATAGCAACCATACACTCCATATTTACAGGAAGTCATAACATAATAATGAAATAAAAAAATTGAAAATATAATTAATCAATATAAAAATTGTAAATAGACATATGTATACACAAATACAAATCAAACTATCATTAGTCTCTCTGTGAATAGAGAGAAACTTAAAGATGTATAAAAAATATATATTTACAGAAAGCCATTAGTACACATATATTTAAACACAGCAATGTGTAACCACAGAAGAATCCCCATATATGGGGAACAATTAGACAGAAAGCAAGTTGAGCCTCCAGTGACTTAATAAGCAAGTAAATTCAATGAATACTATAGAAAATCTATATGTCTAAAAAAGAGAAAAAATCTAAATAAATAAATAAAAATCTAATAATAAAATAAATTCTATAATAAATGAATAAACTCAAAATCTAAATTAAATCCATTCGGGGACAAGGTATTCACATCGAAGATCCACTTGCCCTCTATCTTAGCCAGCTCCTTAATATTATTGAAAAATTATTGAATTTTTAAAAAATAACAACATATGACAACAAAGAAGGATCACCGCCATGTATTTCAGTGAAGTGTGCGGATACACTATGTTTCATATAACCCCTCTGGTATTCCCCACATGTTCCGCAACTCTGGTTTTAAAAGCTCTCGTGGTCATTCCAATGTACTGCAGACCACATGGGCACCAGAGGAGGTATATGACATTAGTGGAATTACAGGTTAAAACCTGATGGATTTTAAACGTACGGTTAGTAGAATAAGAGGTAAATTCTGTCTGGTTTTTTTTGCTAAATAAGGTTTTCTTACAGCCAGGCAGGATTTGCAGGGATAGAAACCCTTTTCTAGACCCAAAAAGTTTTTTACTCCCACTTTATGTTTGATAAAACTAGTGGTTAGATGTTGCTTTCAATTTTTTGGCCCTCTACAGATAATGCGTGGTGTATCACCAATAATTTCTTTCAGATTAGGATCTGATTTAAGGATACGCCAATGTCTGTTAATAAAGTGCTTAATTTGCTTGGCATCTTCGCTATAATTTAAAATGATTGGTACTTGGTCAGCACACTTCCTCTCCTCACTAGATGTCTTTTTATTCAAAATCTTACTTCGATCCATCTTTTTACTAGAATTAATACATCTATCCAATTCCTTGATGTAATTTTTCTCTATAAGCCTATCCCTCAAACAGAGTGCTATTAGTGTACTGTGCTCAGCTACAGGAGTATTCTACCTGTACATTTGACAAGTTCTTGTTTAGTTATCAAATTGGAATTCTGAATTTAAGACCTCCCTTTTTATCAACCTTAGAATATTTATACAAGGTCAACGTAGTTTGATTTTCTCTGTGCAGTAGTATGGGATTGCACAGCAGGATTAGGGTTTTAAGTTACAGTTAGTATCCACCTTATAGGGACACTCCCATCCCCAATACGTGTTATTTTAATAATTAGGTGGCCATCGATAGCTGCGAGCATTAGTGGATACTCTCAGCCTATCAGCGACTGCCTAGCTAACCATTCCTCATACTGCAGTGCTCTAGAGGAATGAAAGCCAGAAGGTATAAGTGACAGGTTCCGGAGGCCCAAGGTCAAGGTAAAACCATTGCCAAACTGTTTAAACATGGAAAGGTAAGTGCCATGAAAAAAACTGGGTTAAGATGATGCTATGGGGATGAGAGTGTGTCTTTATAGGTGATATGAACTGCAATGCTTTGCAGATGACAAGCGCAAAGAAAGTCAAGACATCATAGAGGCTTTGAAACATAATTCTATAGCACTTGTTCGCTTGGTAACAATTTAACTTGTTTATAAAATCTGCAGAAACATCACTAATGTATTGATCTACCTTTTCCTTTCCGTCCTGTAGGCTCAGCTTGTGTCTCCAGTACAGTTTCATATGAAGAGTGGATAACAGTGAATTTTTGGGCATTTTACTACTTTGCATTCACCTATGATTATGAGAAACTTTATCCAGGTTTTGTTCCCGTAAGTAAAGCAGAAAATATTAGTAAATACATTTAAAAACAATGTTTCAGGAATTTCTTTATAAAATCAAATTAATAAAAAAACATTAAAACGTTGGTTTTTTTTCTCCACTCAGATTGATCTACCTCCAATTGTGACAGCAAATCTGTTGGTCCAAGAATCTGTTCTTACAAACCACACGTTGTTGATGTCTATCTTAAGTGGAATACAACCAGAAAATATTACTGACTACGTCAACGCCTTCACGTTTGTAGCAGGAAAGGTACACGATATAGATAAAAGATGCTTTATCTATTTCACATTAGTCTTTTTGAAGTTGAAGGGAAACCTTTACTTCCCCAAGATTTGTAATATTCTGCTTATTTATTTCTTATATTTCACAAAGATGGGTTTTCAAGGTCTGAAAAATAAAACCAAATGTAGGACTCAACACCGTTTTATTCTGGACCTGATCACCTGATCATCTCCATCTTTGCTCCCTGTCAGTTATTGTTATAAGCTCAGTCATCTTTGCTCAGACATTTTCTGCAAAATGTGCCCTGGTTGTGCCTGATTTGGATGGTTAGTTATTTGAGAAATATTTAATATATATATATATATATATATTTTTTTTTTTATTTTTTTTAAATGGAGCTTCACAAGGAAAGATTGTTAACACAAGTTATAGATTTAAAAAAAAAAAATTTTACTTAATCTTGTTATTTACAAAAAAGTAACGGTTTCCCTTCAACAACAACTGGCTTCATTCATGTGTATTGAACATAACAATGAGAGGTCAAAGGATTGACATGAACCAAATTATTAATAAAATAACATTTTCCTAATTTCAGGCAAATCTTTCAGAGATCCAAATTACCTCAGTGAAGGAGAATCTATTGAATACAACTCTTACGAAACTCAGTTCCTCTTTCTCCACTTATCAAGCACAAAACTGGACAGTCTTGTTCCAGACAGATTTGGTTCTCTTGCTTCCATACTTCAGTCCAACTCTTCTTCAACGTCTGCCAACTGACATCTCCTGCGATTCATACCAGGAAATGTAAGTGTCAACTTTTCTATGCAGCAAGTCATCTTTAATTGAAAAACATCATCACAATCTGTTGATATAACGCCCTACAGGGGCAAAGTGATATAAATTAACATATTGAAATGTTTAAAATCTGTTTTATTTGTTTTGTTTTCTTCTACTCAGAATGAAAGGTTTTAGCCGTGTTTTCACATTACTTTCAACACAGACAAAAAAGGATATATTCAATTACTACATTGAGCATTACATGACTGAGCATACATCGACAGGTATGTGATTCAAGGATTTATACTTTAAAGTAAAATGTAAATCAAGCCTCCAGTATACAATTCAACTTATTTAAAAATTATGTTTGTTATTAGCCTATTACTCATTATCTTTTCTTGAGAAGAGAAAACATATATTCTCTTTTTTTTTCCAATTATTTTCATTAGATTCAACTTGTGTTTCTGGCACAACTAACTTCGATGAGTGGAAGACACTGAATTTCCGTGAATTTTCTGTCTATGCCACCGTTTATAACTATATGAACTTCTATCCTGGGTTCAGTGCTGTAAGTAACCCTTAAAAAAGTATAGATTACTCTTAATCTTGTTTTATTGTTAAGACAAATTTGGTGTATATATTTTCATTGAGATACCTGAGAGTAGTTGAGAAAAAAAAGCAAATTGAAACATTATTTCTTATTCTCAGGGTGATCTGTTACCAAATGATGCAGCCTCGGAATTAACCCAAGAAAATGTTCTCTCCAACCAAACTTTCTTGGCATCATTTTTAAGTGGAATAAGACCAGCAGATATTACAGAATATGTCAACGCCTTCACATCTGCAGCCACAAAGGTACAAGACAAACTAAATGAGCTATACCAGAACTCTGGACAACAATTTCATATTACCAGCAATTATCTCTACGTGCACTAAAACATAACAAACAAAAACTGCCTAAATAATATTTCGGAAGCATATTTAATGAAAATGTTTGTTCTCTTTCTTTATAGGCCAGTCTATCACAAACTCAAATTACATTAGTAAAGGGAAAACTGCTGGATCAAACTATTGTGAAACTCAGTTCCTCTTTCTCCACTTATCAAACACAAAACTGGACAGTCTTATTCCAGACAGATTTGGTTCTCTTGCTTCCGTACTTCAACCAAACTCTTCTTCAGCTTCTGCCAACTGACATCTCCTGCTCTTCATACCAAGAAATGTAGGTCTCACCATTCACCTGACAAAATGTTTTTAGATCCAAAAGCATCTCAACGGATGAATCCATTGCAACAAAAGACAAGTATAAAGTGATATAAAGTAATGTGTTCCAATAATTATATGTGTGTTTTTTTTTTAACAGATTGAAAGGATTTAGTCTTGTTTTTACATCACTTTCAAACCAGACAGAAGCGACTATATTTAGTGACTTCATTAAGCGCTACATGACTGAACATACATCTACAGGTATGTAAGATTTTTACTTTCATATATTAAAATAAAATGTAAAACAAGTCTACCCTGTATGATCACAATGATATATGGTAATAATCATTAAATGCATGAATACTTGACTTGTGCACAAATCTGCTTAAGGTGGGTCAAACAAATCAAATAATTTTTATTCCTCACCTGAATAAACAGATCCATATGAGATTTACTTGTGGAGTCTTAGTCAATGAACTAGACTTCACAGGTAAATTCCAAACTATTAATGTGTTCAGGCAGAGATTAAAAGGAATTTAATTCGTTCGACTCACTTGAAAAAAGTTTGTGCACAAGTCTGGTAGATATTCGTCTTAGTATGGATACAATACAACTCATTGTTTAAATATCATATTCAGTATTGGTTAAGTACTCCATGTTCTGTACAGATGCTTACTTCTTTTGATAACAGTTCACACCTAATTTTTATTTTTTTTATTTCCCTTGTTTTCTTTTGTTTTTATTTATTAGACTCGACTTGTGTTTCTGGCACAAATAATTTTGAAGAATGGAAAACACTTAACTTCCGTGAATTTTCCATCTTTGCCACAATTTATAACTTTGTGGACTTCTATCCTGGGTTCAACGCAGTAAGTATCCAGTACAAGGCTAGAGGATATTTTTGAAGTTCTAGAATATTTGTGCATGTTTATTTTTCTTGAGGCATGTGACAATGTTTGGGAAAAACAAGCAAATCTAAATTACATTTCTTTATCTCAGGGTGATCTAACACCAAATGATGCGGCCTCTGTTTTAACCCAAGAAGATGTTATCTCCAACCAAACTTTCTTGGCATCATTTTTAAGTGGAATAAGACCAGCAGATATTACAGAATATGTCAACGCCTTCACATCTGCAGCCACAAAGGTACAAGACAAACTAAAAGAGCTTCATCGGAACTCTGGTCAACAATTTCATATAACCAGCAACTATCTCTATGTGCACTAAAACGTAACAAAATACAAAAACTGCCTAAATAATATTTCGGAAGCATATTTAATGAAAATTTTTGTTCTCTTTCTTTATAGGCCAGTCTATCAAAGACTCAAATTGCATTAGTAAAGGGAACACTGTTGGATCAAACTATTGTGAAACTCAGTTCCTCTTTCTCCACTTATCAAACACAAAACTGGACAGTCTTATTCCAGACAGATTTGGTTCTCTTGCTTCCATACTTCAACCAAACTCTTCTTCAGCTTCTGCCATCTGACATCTCCTGCTCTTCATACCAAGAAATGTAAGTCTCACTATTCACCTGACAAAATGTTTTTAGATCCAAAAGCATCTCAACGGATGAATCCATTGCAACAAAAGACAAGGATAAAGTGATATAAAGTAATGTGTTCCAATAATTATATGTGTGTTTTTTTTTTAACAGATTGAAAGGATTTAGTCTTGTTTTTACATCACTTTCAAACCAGACAGAGGAGACTATATTTAGTGACTTCATTAAGCGCTACATGACTGAACATACATCTACAGGTATGTAAGATTTGGAATTTCATATATGAAAATTAAATGTTAAACAAGTCTACCCTGTTTGATCACAATGATATACGGTAATAATCATTAAATACATGAATACTTGACTTGTGCACAACTCTGCTTAAGGTGGGTCAAACAAATCAAATTATTTTTATTCCTCACCTGAATAAACAGATCCATATGCGTATGGCAGTAGACTGTGTGGTAAAAACCAACACCAGTCAGAAGGTGGAGCGCTGAGGAGATGTGTGTGAATAACTCACCTCCCCCCTCTCCTTCTTGGGTGTATTATAACCTAGAAGTGGGGATTTAAAATAGAATTACAATAGTGAAATACTGTTAGATAATAATTAAGTGATGTGAAGGCGGATAGAACCACTCACTTGGTACTGAGCCTCAACAGGACAGGCTCAGATCACTTGGTCAGGCGTGTTTTGGTAGGTAACACAAACCAAACAATGGTTGACAAACTTGTGGATCCTTTAAAAACAGAAGAAGCCAAGCATAGTGTAGTATGCAGGTGAATGGTGGTTGAAGTATATAGAACTGCTCACCTGATTCAGAGCCTATAGCTCTGGCTCTGAGTATAATGGTATAAGTACCACTAGGGGGTACCAAAACCCTGTAGATGAGGTCAGGGACACTACTTGCGTCCAGATGGAAAGTATAAAAATAAAATTTATTAATTCTATACAAAGTAAACAATGGTTAAAATAAAAAGTACAATCCTCCTGGACGTCCGAGACGAGTTTCGCCGGTGGGCTTCATCAATCGATGTGTGTTCCTGTGTTTCCGTTCTTTTATGTCCAAGAGAGGGCTCTATAATTGCGGATTGATCGTGGCTGTGTTCCGCTTTCGTCTTCATTCAGTGCGGTCGCTTTTTTCATATCCATATATGGGTAAATCAGTGGTCGCCATATTGGTTGAGGGCAAAGCAGTCTATATATGTACATACACAATATCGTTTCTCATATAGGGAAATGATTAAAAAACAAAGACAAACCGTGGGAAGATATGATTAATACCAAATTGGATGGCAATAATATCAACAATTTAAATAATTACAACATGGTTTTAATTTTACAATGTGACACCATTTGAAAAGTTGTTGTTCTGGTTAACATATATATTTAGAAAAAAGAACAATATTGTGACTTATAGTATATGTTTTAATGATTGTAATTTATATCAACATTAAATTCTTTTTGGGCCAATAAATTAGATTGATGTTATTTATATAATATGCCCAATTGTTCATTAAGCTAATAAATAGGACCCTTTATAAATACAGATAAGGATAAATTAATTTTAACAGAGTTAATGGTATTATAGTTTCTCTATATTTAGTCTACATTCTATATACAACAATAGAATTATTAATTGCATATTTAGATATTTAAAGTGACAGATTATTGGTATGATTTACCTAATTTAAGTATGAGATATAAAGAACTCTCATACTAAAGGTAAATATATAAATATATATTTTGTGTGGCTTTTTATTTTTTCATTAATTCATATGAGATTTACTTGTGGAGTAAATCTGGCCAAAATTGGCGTTTTTTGAATTTTTCACACACAAACAAATACTAACGCTAACTTTGGCCAGTGTTTGTGACCAAATGGCTACTAAAAAAGACTGGACATACCCCATTTGCAATACCTTGGGTTGTCTACTATTGGAAATGGTATGCTATTATGGGTGTAAATTTCATTCCTAGGCTACTATACAGTCCCAAATGCAACTTAACCAATCTGGCAAATTTCAATTTCAATTGTAGCGTGCTAAATTTGACCCTGTAACTTCCCAAAACTCCATAAAACCTGTACATAGGGGGTACTGTTTTACACGTGAGACTTTGCTGAATACAAATATTTGTATTTTATTGCAGTAAAAGCAAACAGTATTATGACATTGACAGTTAAAATGTCATGTAGAACTAAAAAAATTTTTAAAAAATCTTATTTTCTCCCATTTTTTCATATTAAATTATGTTTCATGGCTAAATATTTGATATTAAATGAAAGCCCTGTTTCCCCTGAATAAAATGATATATAATAAGGGTGGGTGCATTTAATATGAAAGAGGTGAATTACGGTTGGACAGAAATTGAGGCGCAAATGCCAGGTTTTGTTTACATTTTGTTTTGTTCACAACGTGTACATTTGGCTCAGTCCTTAAGGGGTTAATTTGTATTCTGGCGATCAGTCAAGGCTATACTATGGTTTATTGTGACAGTATGTTCTATATCTCTTAAGAGGGACTCTATAATATTACAAGGACATTACCAAGGGGGGCCACAGCAGCAGAGGAACATGTTAGTGTTAGGAATACATTTTTGTATTCCTAACACTAAAGTGTTCATTTAAATGGTTCTGACCATTTTTTGCAAATAATTTAATTACCGTATATACTCGAGTATAAGACGAGTTTTCCTGCACAATTTTTGTGCTGAAAAACCCCCACTCGCCTTGTACTCGAGTGAGTGTCTGTATTATGGCAACTTATATTGCCATAATACAGACCAGGACCGCCAGGTTCATTACAAGCCTGGCGGTCCTGGTGGGGGCTGGCAGAGAGCTGTTACTTACCTTCCTGCAGCTCCTGTCAGCTCCCTTCTCTCTCCTGCGTTCCGGTCAGCTCCCTTCTCCTCCAGTGTAAGTCTCGCGAGAGCCGCGCGGTAAGAGCTTTGCCACGGGTTACCGTGGCAACACTCCGTGCGGCAGTCACACCGCAAGACTTACACTGGAGGAGAAGGGAGCTGACCGGAATGCAGGAGAGAGAAGGGAGCTGACAGGAGCTGCAGGAAGGTAACAGCTCTCTGCCAGCCCCCCTCCTACACAGCCAATGCCACTGGACCACCAGGGAATGAGAGCCCCCCTCCCTGGCCAGCTAACAAGCAGAGGGGGGGACGAAAATAAATAAATAAAAATGTAAATAATAATATAATAAAAATATTAATACTATTAAAATAAAATTCATACACACACTGCATTCATACACACACACTGCATTATATGCACACACACGGCATTCATACACACACACACACTGCATTCATACACACACACTACACACACTGCATTCATACACACACACACACTCTGCATTATACACACACACACTGCATTCATTATATACACAAAATAAATATTCAATGTATGTAATTTTTGGGGGGAGATATAATTTTATTTAGAAATTTACCAGTAGCTGCTGCATTTCCCACCCGAGTCTTATAGTCGAGTCAATACGTTTTCAAAGTTTTGGGGGGTAAAATTAGGGGTTTTGACTTATATTCGGGTCGACTTATACTCGAGTATATACGGTATGCACTTTTTTAAACACCCTGATATGCCAAAAGGTGGACATTGATCCATTCCATGTCTGTCAGTGTAGTTTCTCCTCCGTACTTGGTGAGTTGGTTATTATCAGACAGCATATGTTTATGTCCATGTTCATGTAACAAGGGCTGTCGGAGTTGAAGAAAATATATAGCAATATGTCAATTGGGTTGTTTTTTAATGTTCCAACCTGAAATTCTGAGGTTAAAATATCTAAATTGGAAAAAAATCCAGTCTCTCTCCTGTTTGGCTTAGTCAAGGCTATAGAATAATTTCTGGAGAATGTTATCTTGCAGTTCCTCCAACATACCTTTCAGATTGCGGGCTCTATATAGCAATCAAATTCACCAGTATTTTTGCAGTGCTTGCTAAGGACTATGTACTGTCATCTATCATGTCTATGGGAGCACAGTATTGGCACGCAGGGTTAAGTAGTTAGCAAGTTTCCACATGTACTGAGCTCTTTAAATTTATCATGCAGTAGTACTCTCTTAACCAGGGGTGCCCAAAAGGTAGATCCCCAGATGTTTTAAAACTACAACTTCCATGATGCTTTGTCATTCTAAAGACATGCAAGGGTATGCATAGCATCTTGGGAGTTGTAGTTCTGCAACATCTGGGGATCTACCTATCACTGCAAAGTTTTGATAATTACCACGTCACAGCAATATTCACAACATGCCTACGCTGTCAGTTCAGCTAAATTTTTACTACAATTCACAGTTTAGTAAATATATCATACAGTTATTCACTAAACTGTGAATTGTAGATAACTCGATTGAAATGGCAAAATTCTCCAAATCAGATATAGTCACAACTGAACATTTGCTTAAATTTTTAAATCTGGATTTAATTCTCCAAAATTTGACGTCAATAACTCTGCTATGTTTGTTCTGACATAAGTGATTCTCTTGTTCTGATGTAAAACTCCTGAATTATATTTTATTTTGTTAACAGGTTCTATATTCATGGAATGCTACACTAACGATGACGGTCTGCAAAATTTCATTACAAACTATTTTATGAACTTTTCCACCTTGATAAGTGCCGATGAGCTATTATTACTAATCCCGTCCAGTCAGCTCACACAGGTGAGTCTGTTTTATTCTGCTATGGCTCATATGCAATAGCAGAGTATTAAATATATACACAGTTAAAGCAAGGAGTTTCCTGGAGACATGCTCATGCCATTATACAGAACACTGGTGAGACCTCACTTGGAGTATTGTAAGCAGTACTGGAGACCGTATCTCCAGAAGGATATTGATACTTTAGAGAGCGCTCAGAGAAGGGCTACTAAACTGGTTTATGGATTGCAGGATATAACATACCATGGAAGGTTAAAGGAACTGAACATGTATAGCTTGGAGGAAAGACGAGACAGGGGGGATATGATAGAAACATTTAAATACATAAAGGGAATCAACACAGTAAAGGAGGAGACTATATTTAAAAGAAGAAAAACTACCACAACAAGAGGACACAGTCTTAAATTAGAGGGGCAAAGGTTTAAAAATAATATCAGGAAGTATTACTTTACTGAGAGGGTAGTGGATGCATTGAATAACCTTCCAGCTGAAGTGGTAGAGGTTAACACAGTAAAGGAGTTAAGGCATAAGTGGGATAGGCATAAGGCTATCCTAGATATACGATATGGCTTGGGACTAATGAGAGTATTTAGAAAATTCGGCAGACTAGATGGTCCGAATGGTTCTTATCTGCCGTCACATTCTATGTTTCTATGTTTCTATGAACTTTTTTGGTATTTGTACCAGAAAACAAAAGGAGCTAGGCAAGGTGAGAAGAGTACAGATTACATAAAGGGGCAGGATTTCTGAAAACATCTAACATCTGAAAGTTGGGTAATATTGCATGCTTCCGCAGCTCACATTATTTGGTAGTTCAGTGTCACCCAGTCAACCACTCATGGCTGTCAGTGTCACTCAAATCACAGAGAAAGATTGCCAGGGTTGAACTCAGCTCTTCAACATATGCAGCCAGATTATCATCCAGCATGGTTATCATTATACCACCAAAGTCATTAACCAAAATAAACATTATACCGCAGAGTACACCAGCCAAATAATCCATTAGAACATCCACCCCACCAACAAGTAGCCATTGTGCCATTTGCTACACCAACCAATGGAGCCATGATACCATCCACCATGCCAACCATGGTAGCCATAATACCAAGCAACACACTAAAAATGCTAGCCATCACACCATCAAACAAACCGACGAATTAGCCATCATATGATCTATCACATTAAGCAAGGTTGCCATCACAGCACCCCCATATCAACCATGTTAGCCATCATATCTTCCATTACACCTCTGATAAAGCCATCATACCATCCAGCACAACAACCAAGTTAGCCATCATACCATACAGCACACAAACCAAGTTAGTCATTGTATCATCTAGTACACCCACCAAGTTAGTCATTGTATCACCTAGTACACCCACCAAGTTAGTCATTGTATCACCTAGTACACCAACCAAGTTAGGAATCATACCATACAGCACACCAACCAAATTAGTCATTGTATCATCTAGTACACCCACCAAGTTAGTCATTGTATCATCTAGTACACCAACCAAGTTAGGAATCATACCATACAGCACACCAACCAAGTTAGTCATTGTATCATCTAGTACACCAACCAAGTTAGTCATCGTATCACCTAGTACACCAACCAAGTTAGGAATCATACCATACAGCACACCAACCAAGTTAGTCATTGTATCATCTAGTACACCCACCAAGTTAGTCATTGTATCATCTATTACACCAACCAAGTTAGGAATTATACCATACAGCACACCAACCAAATTAGTCATTGTATCATCTAGTACACCCACCAAGTTAGTCATTGTATCATCTAGTACACCGACCAAGTTAGTCATTGTATCACCTAGTACACCAACCAAGTTAGGAATCATACCATACAGCACACCAACCAAACTAGTCATTGTATCATCTAGTACACCCACCAAGTTAGTCATTGTATCATCTATTACACCAACCAAGTTAGTCATTGTATCACCTAGTACACCAACCAAGTTAGGACTCATACCATACAGCACACCAACCACGTTAGTCATTTTATCATCCAGGACATCAACCAAGTTAGTTATCCTACCATCCTGGACACCCAACCAAGTTAGTTATCCTACCATCCTGGACACCCAACCAAGTTAGTTATCCTACCATCCTGGACACCCAACCAAGTTAGTTATTCTACCATCCTGGATGTCCAACCAAGTTAGTTATCCTACCATCCTGGACACCCAACCAACTTAGTTGTCGTACCATCCACACTGAATATTACAACAGGTACACACTATTTTTATTATACCAGTTATGTGAATATGGACAAAAAAATATTTTTTTCATTTACATGTTACTACCTGTGTTACTACCTGTGTTGATCTTCTTTCTAGACTGCACTTAAAATCAAAGACGATTTGTCCATGCAAAAACCAGTTCAAAGACGTGTAAATTGTATATATGTCCCCTTGTTTCCTAGGTATTAAATACGTTGAGCCCTCAGGATCTTTTGCACTATCTCACAGATGGAATGGGTGCAAACAGCACTGTATGGAAAATAATGCTGTCACATTATACGAATATTACTGAACTGGCACGATTCATGGACATTCTGGTAGACGTAAGTGAACACTAGCAAATGAAAAATTATAGGTAGCTAATTGTGCTCAATATGCAAGAAGGTACAGAAAGCAAAAGGTCTGACTTGGCCAGGAAAATCCAAATGTATTATTTTTAATATTACTCAAAAAAATGTATAAATAAATATATACATATACATTAATGTTGCATTTACATAAACAAAAATCTACATACAAATTTCAACATTCACCAATATATGTGTATAATGTGCATCTCAACAGAAATTGATTTACAGAAGAACTGTGAGTAAAGATTAATAAGGCATAGTTAGTAACCTTTTTTGTTGTATCTAGGGAGCAGCCATTATGTTTTTCCAGCAGACGACAGAAAACACAGTAGTTTGTATTTGCCTACTTTTTCCTTCATGACAAATAGGGAGATATATAAACAAAAAATTGCGAGCTGAAATTCTTATTCTGGTCATTTTTGTTCCTGGAACCGCAGAGATATAGCCACTTGCTGGAGCAAACTAAATAGATGGCTGTGTTACTTAATTAACACTGTGCCTTCATGTGCCCTGTAAATTAATTTTAAAGTATTAGATATATTGGCATCCACCCTGGATGGATTGAGTATACACTGTGCTTTGTTCTTTCTCCCCAGATGAAATTTAGCCAAGACATTGCTGAGGCTGTATTTGACGCAGTTTGGCCAACTTTCCTCACTTACCTGCCTCTAAGTGAATCTGAATTGGACATTTGGCTCAATAAGCGTTTTGCTAATTACCTACCTCTCATAACTGGGGCCCAACTGAATGTCCCAGGTGTGATGGAAGCAAATTGTTCCTTCTACCGTAACCTGTAAGTCTCTGTGTATTTTTTCATTATTATTTCTTTGTTTTTTTACAATTAGCATAAAGATTAAATGGGATATTTTGGTTCTTATTTTGTTTTGTGTGTTACCCCAATTACTGAAATCTTTGTTACATGTTTATAGATTTGTTTAAACAATTGACTTCATTTTTTTGTGTTTCTTTTTCCAGAGTTAAGACCTTGTCTATATATTTTAATAATTACACCACCAGCACTCAGCAAGACATCTATGGCATCTTTAAGCTGTATCTGGAGAACTCAAGTAAGTCATTATGATTATAACATCCAGACAAACATTTTCATCTATATATGTGAAGTCCACAAATCAATGTTTCAGAATTTCTGGTATCTTCTCCAGAGAGTCCAGACAGGAGCTTTAGTCTACACTCCTTACTGACTTAGATTGAGGACTCTTCCCTAATGTTTTTCAAAGTAAAAAAAAATGTTATTCTGGGATTCTACACTGGTCTTGGTAGAGGTGGGCACTCAATTATAAAATAGACATATCATGTGAAGGTCATATGACATTGTCTGAACATTTCTACTTCAATTAATGAAAATGTTGTCAATTTGCTCACCTATTGCATTCATTTGTTCACTTGTTCGTTGCTAGATGTACTCTTCATTCAGAGGGACACTCTAAGGGTTGAAGTGACGTCCCTAGATACATTATGTCAAAAATGCAGAAAATATGAAAACAAATTTTAAAAAAGTAAAAGATTCTCATCTTTCTTAAGTTTCTGTTACTTTTGATAAATCATGGCTAGCAAAAACAGCAGGGAGACTGTTCTTAAACAAGGAAGATGTTCCACCAGTCAGGAGCCTCTTATTCTGGTCTACGGGGATTTTCTTAAACTATAAACGCATGGTGTTATTGTACGTAAAGTGACCATTGAATATACTCACAAAGTCACCAAACTTGGAACGTTCACATTTTTGAAGAACATAGTAGATAAGTTAAATATATCTATGGGTTCTGCTTTAAAAAAAATAATATTTGTTTTCACTTTGTATTTACATCATATGTCAGACTGTTTTGGCACAGTAAGGGCATAGGATGTTAATTATTTTATCTACCATGATAGACAGCATGCCTCAGAGTAAGGTCACTTGCACAAGTGCAGCATTCATCGAAGCGCAAATCACAAAGTCAAAGCCTTAAAATAAACTTCCTATGTGTACTATATATTTGTTATATCATATATATTTTGTTTTTCAGACCAAAAACCTGCATGTTATAACTCTTCCTCCAGTGTTGCCAATTCCTGGATTTTCCTAAACCTTGGAAACTACTTGACTTATTCCAGTCCTCAGGATCTAGTATCATTTACAAACAATGTGGAACTGGTAACTATCTTGTATTCACTCTGGGAGATCTCGTAATATCTCATAATTCTTTTCACATTTTCGAGTTCAATAAAGTGTTTTTGTGAAAATGAACTTAGTAGCATGACCTATAACCTGGCAGCAGGGTGCCACATGGTTTTATTTTCATGTGACCACTTGCACATCAGAAAACGTTTTATCATGTCTACCTTCTCTAATAGATTTTCAGAAACTTATCACACACACATGACATGTCTTTTATTTAAAACATAATATTCCCAGGATGCAACTCTACTCTTCTCGAAAATGGTTGCTCAGTTTATAACATCTGTAGTTGGATGTAGGAAAAGGGACATGTCACCATTTCACATATTACCTCAATAGATTATTGAAAACAATGTCAGGTGAAATAAAACAGTACAATAAAAAAAAAATCTCACATACTGTGAAACTATGAAAAACATTTTAACACAAAAGACAGCCTCCATGTTATGATAATTTTCTTAATGATAACACTTTAAACATAATCGCCGTGTTGAATGTGGGCTAGCAACATTTAAAAAGTGCATCTTTGAACTAAAGCAGAATTAATATTTACAAAAAATGATATTAAGTGTATGACTATCTTTTTTACAGATATCTGTAATAAAAAGGTTAAATCAATTTTACCCTTTGGTAACAGAGTAATAATGTAATTTTGTGTTCAACAGCTTAAAAACTTTTCAGTGGATTCAAAAACCCTTGACTTGATAGGCACGCTGACCCTACCACAAAGTCTGAAGGAGTACTTTTCATATTTAATATCAGCAAAAAATCCATCTATCCCTCTGTCAAGGTATGTTCTTTGTTTTCTGTGATTAAAAGTGTTTTTGTGCTGGGCCTCAAGCCAGTTGGATTGGTAGCCTATTTATGTGTAAAAATGTAAACATTTCCGTATACATGATTTGTGAGGAAGGGTGATTTGCTATTATGTCTATAAATTAAGCTACCTCTGAAGGAACTGGTCAAAAGGACATTATAGTGCTTGGGGAAGGACTGGCGATTCGAATGCTGCCTCTCATAGCAGAATGTTTGTGTGTATAATATAAATATATACATTCTCTTTTAACATTTCTTTTAACTTTTTTTGTTTTTACTATTCACAGCATTCCTCAAAACATTCTATGCTACATTGTTGGTAACTTAAGTATCAGCACGATGAGTCAAAGTGAGGCCTTGAAAATTGTGGACATTCTAAAGCAGTGTGGAAGTACAGCCAATGTCACAGTGGGCAGCAATGTACGTATTTTCATCTTGTTAACGAGGAAGGTTTGCTACTAAAAACCTATAAAAATCCTTTATTAGCCTGTCTGTACATTTTACATTCCATCAGTAGCACCACAATTCTGGTCTTGGCCTGGCGTTTTGTGGGCCCAAGGTAACCTTTATGATAACAGGGCCCCTCAACTATTTACTGTCTTCCTCAGCAATGTGTTAATTTCTCCTTCTAAATAACCTTTATTGTTTCCCCTTTCAGCTTTTGCCTTCTATCTGCATTTACAAAGAATGTTTGTACAATACAGAACAATAGTAACAACAGAAAGATAATTGTATCATAGCAAAAAGCACAAATATCATGAAGCAACCGAAAAATGAATAAATGTCATCTCTATTCTCTATTAGCCTTTTTTACCCTCTGGCCCCATCCTTTTCCCTCTACTTTATTTTATCTTCTTTATCCTTACCACCTCTGTTTTTTTGTATTTTTCAATGTCCGCTTCCCCTTATATTTTACCAATTTTTCCCACAATCTTTTTTCTTCCTAACCTCATTGCATTGGAAGAACAGAGAGCAATAATTCATATCCGAAATCCCAAACCTTTTTCACACCATTAAAAAAAATCTTCATACATTTGCCTAGAGAGTTTTTTTAAGGATTTGGGGAGGGACAAAGTGGTGTTAAAAATATTAGCTATGTGGCCATTTATGCCGTACCAAATAAGGTCAGTGTATACACAATATAGTTTTTTTTTATTTGTTTAAAGATACCTTGAGAGTGTATGTACGTACTCATTATTATTTATGATATAATGCAGACCTGTGTGTTTGCCATCATAAAAACATTATAGTCGAACTGCAACTTATCATGTGTACCCATTTCACAGGTAGTGGAATCCATCGTCACATCGGTGACTACAATTACGGCAGACGTTCTTCAGACTCTGGGTCCCCTGGCGGTTGGACTGCCCCCTTCAGTGATTGTAGAGAAGGCCACTGGGACATCTTTACTGAATAATTTACAAACATTGTCTCAGATTGAAACTTGGAGTGTCACCCAAGCATCTATCATAGTCACAAAAATAACAGAAACCAATTTTAAGGTAAAATATTTTTGTAGAGAAAGGTGCTGTAATGCCCTATTTTTTTCTGAGTTTGAGAGTATCCTCTATATCCAGAGTTTGCTGCCTATATTTTGTCAGTTGTTCTTCCAGCATTTATCCCTTCCTGTGTTTTTTAAAGGTGCTAAACAGGTCTGGTAAGTGTCAGCTAAATGGTAGGAAGTTCAAGTAAAGGCTAGCAAAGAGGGCTTACATTATAAGCCTCTGAGACACACCGGGTTATTCACTTAAGTGAGAATTCAAACAGAACTTCAAATTCAGTGACAACGTAGCCAATCTGGAAGCATAACTGACTAATAGAATGTTTCCATTTAAACTATTCCTACCTTAAATTCACTTTGAATTCTCCCTGGAGTGAATAACCTTGACAGATAATAACTATGAGAATATCTGGGTTAAGTGGGGGGCTGTTTAGACCTTTGCATTATGTGCCTGGCTCTACCAAAAAACAAGATAACTGAATTCATCCATCATGTTTGTGACTCTATAATAACCATTATAATAACATTTATGGAGCTGTTTACATTCATGTAACTTCATAAATAGGGAATGTTTGTGTTAATGAATGTAAACCTAGTGAAGTCATTCCCCCGTTCATTCAAACATTTTCAGATTTAATAATTCTAACGATTTCCACTTATGGGGCATGAAACAAGGCTGAAATGTTTTTTGTTTACACATTGTTCATATATTTTTATTCTACACACCTTTGAAGTGTGATTAACTATTTTACGTATAATAAATGTTGTTAATGGCGCTCGCAATTCCTGTATTACATTATTGTCATCCCACAGCAGGTTGGAGAGAAGACTCCCTAACCCATTCTAAACAACATTGAACCTAGCGGTCATATGTTGTACTGCGAGTAAAATAATATTAATTACCACATCTAAAATCCAGAGGGGGTTATCTAACTCAGTGTTTCCCAACCCAGTCCTCAAGGCACACCTACCAGTCCAGGATTTAGGGATTACCCAGTTGTGTCTAAGGTGTTTTTTTTCTTCTTTGTAAAAACACCTTAGACACTGGGTAATCCCTAAATCCTGGACTGGTAGGTGTGCCTTGAGGACTGGGTTGGGAAACACTGATCTAACTCACCAACTTTTCTTGACAGCCCTGGGGCTAAGTAGCCCCCCTACTTAGCCCCAGGGCTGTCAAGAAAAGTTGGTGAGTTAGATAACCCCCTCTGGAAAACACATTTCCTAAATGCTATGTGAATATGTTTTTTTGTCTTTGCAGATTAATGTGAGCAGTGTGGCATCACTTGGAAGTCTGGTGGTTGGTCTGAGCCCCTACGCTATGGATAATCTCAACAACAGCGATTTTATCACTTTGGCTAAAACTGATTCTTTTACTGCTCAAATTGAACGAGCGCCAAAAGCACTGCAACAGAGATTTGTGCAAAAGGTACTTACCATTACTGTCACAGATACGCCTCAAACGAGGAGATGCAGTGGATATAAAGGCCCTATGCACTCATCCCCCCATTTATGCTGTCTCTAACAGGGATGATAGTGGTAGAATAACGCTGTCTTATTATTGACAAGGCACCAGGATATGACATCATATGTTATAGATCACGAGATAATTCTTAGCTCTGTTCCACTAGCCCACCAACGAATGAACAGAAAGCAGCCTTATCTTAAGTAAGATAGCATATACATATCATTAAACGCTGATACAGCAGGAAAGTCTTGATTTGGCACTTCTATTCCACCACTCCAGGTTTTTTTCACTGGCACCCAACTTTAGGAACAAGAAAACCCCAAAAATGTCTAAGGCCGCGCTATCTCATCCGACCGAGATAACATACTTGCATACTTGGTAGGAAATCTGCATAGGCTAATAAGCATATATTAATACTATGAATTGTAAATAAATTCACATGTAGACATAAAAAATGAGCTTATAATGAAAAAGGAGCAGGGCCTGTGGGTCTTATAAATCTGGAAACAAATTTATCTTGTATCCAATGAGTATGAAACTTCATAATTTGAGTGATGTCCTCTGTTTTTTTTTTTTTCTTAGGTTATCAAGGCCGCACACACCACAACAGAAAGCATTTTCCAGCTGGTCCCTCCAGACCTGGGGAGTCAGATTCCTGTATCAAACCTGTCTAGTTCCATTACTATCCAGCAAATAAACCAGATGCATTGGTCAATCAACCAGGTATTTTATTAACCTTGAATCCTAGAAAGGAACCTGAAGAGTTAAAAATGCATAGGCACCTGTTATATAAAGTAATGTAGGATATTTCCACTTGAACACAGGTGAACAAATCAACTATGACCTGGGTTATTCAATAAACAAGTACCTCTCAAGAATTGGGTACTTGCAAATTAGAAACAATTTGTTTTTCTAACATGTGCTATAAAATTCGCAATTTTCAGGTCACGTCCTGACAATTTTATAATTTAGTGACTATACCTGATTTTAACTGATGGTTTTACAAACGTGTCCTGAAGACTACTCTGAGCAAATATTGGTTGAAATATTTAGCCACTAGTCCAGTACATTTAATGTGAGTAGTGTGTAATATGGGGTTGTGGATATTTTTTTAAAGTCATAAATGAATATATTTAGGGAAACTGCACATTTGCCATGTACACAATATGGAAGTTTTAGTAAAGTGAAGAACGTGTGTGCAGGTGCATTTCAAGCATAATTCCATGTGCCTTAGAGCCCTAAATATTCTCTGCACAAACAAACTACTTTCTGATGGAATTCTGGTTATTTTATTCTCATAGAATGTATCAGTAAAGTAGTATTCCTTTATAGGATGTCCAAACTCAAGTGACCTTTAAAAAACTTGGTTCACTCTAAAACATCACCTGTTCCCTTTGAGCACCTAATAAATTAACTCGTATAGTAAGAGATTGCCACTGTTTGTTTTCTGCTATATAACATATGGTTGAGCTGTGGGACCTGAGCCCCCTTTCTCGGCACACTCTCTTTAATATTTTTGTTACATATCGTAATATAAATTGTCCACCTATTTCAGGCTCAGATCCTTTTCCCGACAGTGATGACTTTAACCAATAACTACTCCAGGTAAGTCTTTGGTATTTGCTTCTTGCTAACATTGTGAAAGTGGGGTCCAGCATTGTGACAGTCCTGAAATTTACTAAATTTACTTGTTGAATAATCTTGCGATAATTTTCTTCTTTATAATATAAACTAACCCATGTATTAATTCTATCCAGTTCGTCATTTTAAGTCTGTAATGTCTGCTTGATTTGTGTTTACTTTTTGTTTTTGTTGTTAATTCTTTTCTCCTAAAATATTGTACAGTTATATAATCCACTTGTATATTTTGATGCTTTTTGTCTTGCCTCTTGTTTGCACGTTCGTCTTTTGTATTATTATTCCAAAAAATCAATAAAACCAACTAATGCCAGCTGTGAGGCATGGCAAATCGTTTAAAACATTAAACTGTCTTGATCAGTCAATTGCCCATGTCAATCATGTCATTCCCTCTCCAGTAACCTATTTCTTCCTATAAACTGTAAGAAAAAAGGAAATCTGCTTTATCAATGTGATATATTTAATCTGCATGCATGCACAGTGACATTATCACTCACGGACACACTCCTAGTTAAAGCCCCTCCCCCAAGGAACACAAAATCTATACATTCACACTTCTGTAGATACAAGTATGCATTTCAGTTTATAATGGGTTTTATGAAAAGACTCTCTACTGCAACACATTATGCAGTGTAGTTTTAGAAGTGGAGATGCAATTAAATTGGTGTTTCTTGATGATTCCGCAATGATCGTCAGTATTGAAAAGTGTGAAAAGTTATAACTATCACCTGACATATAATTATCTTTTGTCTTAGTCTTACCAACAATATCCTGCAAGGTTTTACCTGTGGAGCTGTAGGTGGATTAAAGGATTTGCAGTTTCAAGACCTCATCAAAGTCATGAAAGGGGTTTCAGTAAGCACCGGCCAGGTAAGTGATTGTCATGTCTTGAGTTAGAAGCCCGACTATCCATCTATCATCCTCTCCCATAAGTCAAAAGCAAGGCGTGCATGATTAAAGGGTGCATCACAGCATTGTCTTAACAAATTGTAAGTGGTGAGGTGATGAATTGCAAGAGGAACAATTGTTCCAGTGTGATAGGAGAAGAGCTCACGCTGGCTGTCCATGGCTTCCTAGGAGTGTATTTTAACTGTTTACCGATGTATGTCATAATTGGAGAAGTAGAAGAAACAGCTGTTACTTCTCAAAGCTATCATGTCCTAATCTTTACGATCACCATCTAGGCAGTGTTGTATGGCTGATATCTTCTAGTCAGATCAGGGAAACCTGTTTCTTTGTGATCTGAGCAGAACATGCCCCAACAATGATCAGACGTTGAGACTTTCCACCACTTGGCTGCCTACCAGTTTCTAAACTCAAATTTCCGTATGGATATATTCTTACTGTTAGACGTTTTATTGAGCAGTAAGGAAATAAGAGGTTCTGTTGTAGAATTTTTCGAAACATAACATTCCACTTACAGCATGTTTGGTTTTTTTTTATTTTTTTTCATAGCTAAGCTGCATTGCTCAGCGACTGACAAGAATTGGGGCTCCTGCAGATTTGGCAAATTATCCAGTTGATGTCCTGCTGTTTATTGGGTAATCTTACTATAAATCAATGTTGTTGCCATATATCACTCCTAAGTATACACTGGGGATACCTTTAAAATGTTGATGTAATGCAGTTAAACATGGGGGAGGGGTGTGAGTTTCTAATGATTAATGCCAATATGACTTCTTGATCTCATAGTAGTCAAAAATAGGCTATAGTTATAACCTCTTTGGGGACCAAATTGAGATAACAGAAATTTAAAAAGGGGTTTAAGAAGTTAAGTGGATCCATTGTAGTTTTAATATAAAATTAAAATTAATTAACAAAATATGATTAACTATGGGTGCTCAAACCATCCGTTGTTCTCATAACTCAAAGTATGTACGTTTTTGTTGACCTCAAAATGACCCAGTCATTAATCAAGTTACACATCAAGGGAGGTCAATAAACATTCTGATGACCTCAAAGACACATCTTTGATTTTAAATAGACGCTACATTTACACAATTACTTGAAATTTTGACATATTTCTTTTTAATAAAAATTAAATAAAGAAAAGAACAATAATGCTAAAGAACAAAAACAAAACACATTTTAAAGGGGAACTGTCTAGAATACGTTTTTGTTTCTAATAACAAAAATTTATATTTTTGTGTTTTACATATGTAAATATACACATTTGGGGTATAAACACATTCAGGGTTTACTCTACTATTTTATATGTAACAGATATATTGTACATACAAGGTCTGATATATAAGAATACATTATGGAGACATCTTTTATAAAATAAGCATTCATTCATTTTATGTTTTTCTTTCCTTAAATGTTTTAGTTCCAGCACCTACACAAACAAAACAATTTGTGTGGACTATTTCAAACTGATTGGGGGGTCCAATATTAACCTCTTACCTGTGACCTCACCGGTGCGGTCCTCTCTGCTCAGCAATGCCATGGGATGTTTGGTAAGCAATACCCAAAGGATTTTCTACTTACTGGGGTAAATTCACAAACATGTGGAGCTGATATGTTGTTGATGTGGATCATTCATTTCACGTTGATTCTCCACTCAGTTGGCCCTTGGAGCATGTACCTCAATACAGTCAAGGCCCAGAGTTTGATGCTAGATGGGCACTTTGAATGTATTAAAGCAGGATAGCAAACCTAGGAGGAGAAGGAGAACTGCTCCAGAACTTTGCACATACACACCAAAATATCTGCTTATCTGGGTAAAAAGGGAAAGGAGCTCTTCTTTTCTCTGTCCAATAGCTCTGTACACTCTTTCATAGCTACATTATATCTTGGAGGAGAGAAAGTGTTAAGGGGGAAGAGGAAGAAGGGATCTGTGCCTTTTAAGGCTGAGATCTCGGTGATTTAATTTTGGATTTTGAGCCCAGAAGTCATAGGATCTCTGGTGGCCTGTGCTACTGTACAGATGTTATTGAGAATTTAAACAAACTTCAGCACGTAACAAAATGACTCTTGAAGCAAAGGGACTTGTGTCCCTCTGATTAAATAGTTATCCATATGTTACTGTTATGTTTTGCCTTTTGTAAACATTGTCTGTTTGTGATATATTTTATCCTTATGCAGATTGCTTTTTATCTTTTTTATGTTGTTCATTTTTTTGTTATGCTTTCATTCTACAGAATATCAACAACTCTAAACTCACCAAGGAAAACTTACAGATTTTGGGTGCTGTGTCCTGTGACCTAACAGATTCAGCTATTAACGCTGCAGATAGTTATATACTAAAAGAGCTCCAGGTGTGCTCCTCATTCACAGACGCACAAAAAGCAGCAATTAACAACAAACTTATTGCTGTATACGGGTATGTATATAATCTTAAACTTACATGTACCCAGACAAAAGAAATAGCATTGGGTAATGCACTCACAAATAATTCACACAAATTGAGAAGACCCAGAATATAAAAACTGGCTTGTGTGAGCCTGGGTGATCATAAAGCTGCTAGTAGCATTGTAGCAGGACTGTCCGCTGTGGTCCTAGTGAGAAGATCTAATTACATGGAGAAGGTAGATTTTGAGTTGCTGTTGAAAAAGACACATGATCCGTAGTCTGCATGTGTTTGGGGATTCATTGGCAATTCAACAGAAAGTAGAGGGCTACATTGTGAAGGTAGAGGGCTACATTGTGTCTATTCCAGATGTAAAGAGTACTTCATAGGAGAATATTTTATGGGGTCAGCCTTTTTTCTACACTAACCAATATAGTCTAGAACATTGGTGCCTAAACCTGTCCTCGTAGACCACCGACAATCCAGGAATTATGTATTTCCCTTGTTTATTCCAATGGAGATACTGACAGAACCAGAACTGTTGGTGCGCCATGAGGACTGGTTTGGGAACCACTTGTCTGGAATACAACTCCTGTTATCTTCAAGTTGTCTGGTGCTTATGCATGATGGTGATGGTGCATGTCATTTTGAACCACATGTAAAAAAAAATAATAAAACCACATGAATAAAAAAAATGTTATATGGACACTGCATTGTGTTCTTCAAAAGCATGTCTATTAATTTTTACATTCTAACACGTCTAACTCACATTGTTGTCTTATTTCAGATCTCCGAACACTTGGACGCTCTCCACTCTCCAAAATATTGGAAATCTTTCTAGTATTCTAAGTGTCAACACACTTCTTCAGATCTCCACGGTAATACAATGTCACTAATATTTATGCAATAAAACATGGAGTTTAGTATTTTTATGTTATAGCACAGGTGTAATTAATTTTTCTTTTAAATCAATACTCGGGAAGAGATTTCCTTAAATTCCTATCAACTGTACTCAAAGCAGATCTGTCACCTGAAATTAAAAATAACGATAATGACAAGAGCACAAAAAATATATATGTAATATATTAAGATTTTTAAAATAATCAGATGTTGCCGAAAAAGGTCCCATTGTGAACAGTTTCCTATTTTATTTTTGTATTTTTTTCATTAAAATGACCCCCAACTGGGCCACTATATGCCAGCTAGATATTTATTTGAATTCAAAACTTTCGATTATACCTGGCAACAATGTATTGAACTCACACAACATATCCACTTAAAGACATTTAAATAATAGATTTAATTTAAAACTGGTAGCTTTGAAGCAGAGCTATGGCTATTTTTGGACAGAATCTAGGCCAACTCCTATTTTTTGTTTTCCATTTTATAATAAAACAAGTTGCAAGTGCTTTTTTGTTTTTATAAGTTATTGAAAAAGGAGGCCAATGTGAGAATGAAGGGTCTCTCTTGATCAGAAAAACATATGAAAGAATGCTGGAAAATGGTTTAACACAGAATGGAGGGACAGTTCTCCCTCCATCTCAATGAGATGAAATTGTTATAGCGCCTACAGTGTCCTTTTCGCAAGAAAAATGCTGTTGTCAGTTTTGATGTAGTACAAGACCAAGGATTTGAGCAACATTTTGTATTCTAACCTACAATCTGAGAGTCCCAATCGGTGCAGACACCTCTAAAATGAAAACGCTAATTAAGGAACATCGTGTTCTGAACAATTTTACCAACAGGTGAAAAATATTTATTTAGAATACCCATGATTAGTAGGTCATGTCTGCTTATGCAGGAGCAAAACATTATCTTAAAAGGGAGCTGTCACCTACCAGGGTGTGGAATATGTAACAGATCTAAGTAAAAACCTACTTACGTCTGTCCAACAAACTGAGTATGGGTGCCGCCATCTTGAATATCATGGCGATTTCTTGACTGCACTATTTTGCTTTTTTCGATTGTATTATTAGTGACTTTGAATAGATTACGTGATGAAGATACGTACTGACCAGCTGACAGAAGAGAGTTAAGATGTTTACTGACCTGAGATTACAGTTACAATCACATGGCTTCCCTGGACCCATGTTACCATTTTGTATGAAGTATTTAAATGCTGCATGATAGATTTAAAAAAAATTTAAAAAAATACAACGTATCAAGGCATTTGCTTTGGAGTTTGTCTTTGATTGAAATGAACTTTTCCTGAGATACATATGAATTCATTGAGTAGGGCCCTCAACCCCTCTGTTCCTGTGCGTCCATTTGTCTGGTTACAATTACATGTCTGTTAGTCCACCCATTGTACAGCGTTACAGAATTTGCTGGCACTATATAAATAATAAATTAATAATAATATTAATTCTACATGCTGAAGGGCAGCATTTTTTATTGGGGATTTGGCAAATCTATAACTGGTATATTTAACAGGAGTAAAATATATATTAGCCATAACATGACTTGCTTACTACTACTAGCTCTATTTTGTGAGTCTGTTGTTTCTGATGTCTTTTTTTGTGGCTGTTTCAAAGGCCTTGAAGATAAAGTTTTTCCCAGGCTTCCTCGGTCAGATCAAAACTCAGTCCGTGACATCATTTTCATACGTCATAAGCCAGCTGAAGGCAGCTCAGACTAGCAGTCGAGACCTACGTAAGTAAACGCAGAGGACTTTTATAAAGTAAAACTAAATTGATTTAAGATTATTATCAGAATAACATTAAATACCCTCCATTGGCCCACTCTCAACTCTGAATACTCTAAAGGGCATGTCTTGGCAATGCACCTGCTCACCAGGATGGCCTGGCTTGTTGAGAGTGAGTGTGGTTAATCTTGTGCTCACGCTGTACCTTTCCTGAATCTCTCTAAAACTACATGGCAAAGTAAGCCTGTTGGGTGGATAGGAGGAGTGGGTATTGTGACTTGAGAGGTCTGAGGTTACTTTCCATCAGCAGAATGCTTTTTTAGAGATATTTTCTTCTATATGTCTAAATATGTTTATTAACTCATCTTACATGGTCAACCAAGCCATGAGCATTCTGCATTTAACAGTGATGGCTAACTTTGGAAACCCACGATGTTTACGAGTAACTTTTCTAATCATACATAGTTAGCCTATACGGGTAAATATTGTTCATAATTGTGACACAGCACCCAATTCAAAGACCACCCTGAGTGCCATAGTGGGTCCGTGTCAGAGGCTCTTCCTTTGTTGGTCTGTTAGTGAAGTACCGCCTTCGAGCAGCAGTACGAGGGAGTGGAGGTGGCAGGAATATGATTTAAAGTCATATTCCGTCTCTCTCTCCAATCACCTTGCATGTTGCTAACCCAGAGATCAATCAGAGGCACATGTAGAGTCCCTGCCATGGTCCTACTTGACCACGTTATAATCAAGCTAGGTGGGAGGTATCTGATGGCATTGAGGTAGACAAAAGCTTCAGACTGGTGCAAAAGTCACCAGAGCTGTCTTGTCCTCCTTGGTCCCAGTTGCTTACATCCACATGTTATGAGGGTTAAACTGACATTGACAGGGTTGTTTGCAAAAGTGAGAACTGTTGTTATTTCAAATTGAATTTATATTTTAAGTTCAAAGCAGCCAAACTGGAGAAATTTACCAAGTCAACTAGAATTCATAATTCCAGTTCGGCTACTTTGGTCTTAACCATGTCAAAACTAACTGGAGATCTACACTCACACTCACATGACCAGTTTGTGTAAAAATATTTATGAAGAAGGTTGTTTTTAATTTGTAATCTGACTTTTTTTTTTTGTCTAAATACAGCCACCTGCACCAATCTTACTACAGACATAATAGCGACACAAAAAGAATACCTTGCTGTCAGCTATACTAGCAGTGAACTGCAGACTTGTTTGAGCACCAGTGTGATGAATGATAACTTGGACAAACTCGGAGCTGTGTCCTTTAATAATGACCAACTTCTAGTCCTGAAGGGCAAGGTCGATGAGGTGAGGACACAGGGATAATCCTGGATTGCTCTGTCGATAAACCTCTATTTAGTCATTATTTTTCAACATAATTTATCAGAAGCTTCAATATTGAGGATTATTTGCATACCACCAAAATAATCTGAACACATAATTTGTTCCCAATATTTCCAATACTACTGGACAATACAAATCCACATAAACATGATCTCCACCATGTCAGTAAAACGTCACATTAAAATGTCGAAAAAAGTAGTTGCTTTCATAGAAACATAGAATGTGACGGCAGATAAGAGCCATTCGGCCAATCTAGCCTGCCCAATTTTCTAAATACTTTCATTATTCCCTGGCCTAATCTTTTTGCTTTTAATTTAGCAAATTCACTTTTCCCAAGAAGTCCCTATTTAGAAAATAAACCCCTGGCACACCAGCACCACAGTCAGCAACTTATGGCGCATTGGTCAAAACTGTCACTTGTAACAGGCAAAGCCTACTGATTCCTGTTTAGTAAATACATTGAGTATCTGATGCATTAATACAGTAACCAATAGAATCATAATGTGTGTGAGCTTTTTGGAGTAAAATCACATTAAGATTTATTTTAAATAATGACTGAACATAGCTGCAGTTGAAATGGAAATGTGGATTTTTTTTTTAACTTGGCTATTTGGACTAAAAGTTTGACTGCAAAAGAACCGTAATACTGAATAGTGAAAAATATTTTTTATAGACTATACATATATAGTTTTTTTTTTATGTGAATGTAAAACATGCACTGGTAGATTAACATTATGTCTTTTTTCTGTGTCTTTGCCCTTAGCTGTTCCCCAACGGAATTCCAGAAGACTTTCTTCCACTGCTAGGTAACGTTGCAACAGTGTACAGCGCAAAGAATGTTGAACAATGGAACATAACTCAATTGAAAATACTGGAATTACTGTTAACAAGTGCATCGTGGGAAAGTAATAACGTAACGGTAAGTGTAGAAAGTATAGGATCCCAAATATGTAAAAACATTAAGGATCAGTTTAGGTACCATAACAACTGTAGTTGTAGTGATTATGATGCCAGGAGTGCCCTAGCTCCTATACACGGTAAGAAGTCAAACCATTTTTGACTTCTTCTGGGCACCTCCAGTCCGGCCTCCACTTTTGAGATTGCCAAGTTCTAATCACATAAGTGATGTCAGTTCTATCTGTGATTGGATGGAATACATTGGTTGGAAGTGCCAACTGGTGATCTCAGCCAATGAATACTATACAAATAGAGATGAAATTGATATATCGAACGTAGAAGGGGAAATTATGGTTTAAATATATCAGAAGACGAGACTGGACTGGAGGTGCCTGGTAACCAGATAAGTATTAAACCATTCAAGAACCATCATGGTTGAAGTGGGCAGAGTGTGTACCGTATAGTTTTAACTAGTTCCACATATTTTCCACTCTAATATGATTTTAAAGACTATCATTGGTTCATAATTGGTAAAAGGTCATTGAGTCATCTATAAATGTACCATACAATCCCCAAGAAATGATTGTATTGATATGCATGGGTAGCTGGCTGTAATAACCTTCAGAGACTTTGTTACAATTACTTGTTCTGGAAATTTCAGGTCAATGCCTTGGTAATGCAGTATCTACAAAAATCCAACACCAGTGTTGATGGCACCACCCTCACAATCATAGCACCCTATATCTGCTATCTGAATGGGACCATCATTGAGGGAATTAGCCGTGAAGCCATAACGTAAGCTATATCTATATAAATGCACACCACCACTTTCATCTCAGCACCTGCTTCTCTCCCAATATATTATCACAGCATCCATTTCACCCCTTTTCTTGCATCTTACTACCCACTTCTAGACACTTCATTTTACTTAGTACCAATTGACCCCCTCCTTCTATCTTTGCATCTATCCATTGTGTACCCATTCTATCTCAGCAACTACCCATTGTATACCCATTCTATCTTTGCAACTACCCATTGTACACCACGTCTATCTCAGCAACTACTCATTGTACACCACTTCTATCTCAGCAACTATCCAGTGTACACCCATTCTATCTTGGCAATTACCCATTGTACACCACTTCTACCAGAATTTGTTTGGGTGCAGTAAAACCCCATTTCATTATTTTAGCCATACCCCTTATTGACGACCCAAGTTTATATTCCTACAAAAGATAGGGTGACCAATAATTCCTTACCTTGAGACATTTACATTACAGGTTGTGTAAAAGGAGATTTAAAGAGAATCCAATTAATTTTAAGCATTGATTTTTAGGACGAGCACTGCATCACTTAATACAGCTACCTGTTCTCAGAGCAATAAGAATCTCCTGTTTGACAAGATGAAATTGGCCTACCAATCATTTGAAAGTTCACGAGCTGCATACTATCTGCTATTGCTGCCTGGAATAGGTGAGATAGAATGTCTAAAAATTACATAATTTCTAAATTCCTGGAGTCGTGGTTCATAGATGTTGTTGGCCAAAAAAGTGGCTCTCCTCGACATTGCCCATACAAGTACTTGTACTATCCTTTCAGACTTCCCAACAGAGAATTGAGTTCATCAGCCTCATACTGTATAGACTTTAGAAAAGAGAATCTTACTATACTTTTAGAGCACTGTTGTATAGGAACATATTAGACATGCTCAACAAAGGGAGTACCACGACTGGTGGAATCACTTCCTGGTTTGGACAGTAGTTTTAGCAGATGCAATGCCTTAGAATTTACAACAAAAATTAACATATTTAATTTTTTATTTTCAGTTTTATTTTCAATGTATTGTTTTGTATATGTTTTTTGTCTATAAAACGTGCTTTTATTAAGAAAGATGTCTGACTAAAATAATGGTACACTTTCAGGGGGTGCAAGGACTGCTGACCTGATCCAGTTATCTACAGATTCTCCAGAAATGAGTATAAGTGTATTTGCAGGACTGAATCCCACTGAAGTCCAGGTAAATTAAACTTACTATAATAGATTTAAATTTGTATAAATCTAATATGTTATACTAAAATGTAGCTCTATTTTATTGTTTATTTTTCCCCCAACATATGATCATGTTATATTTATTTATTTTACAGTTTGACTGTAAAATAGTTGTATGACCGAACATCATGATATGCTTGTTATGGTCCCTTTTGGAAGATCGCCTAAAGTCCAATCAGAATATTAATTAGCAAACAAAACATAAATGATCCTTTTTTCTTTCAACTCACTATATATAACTTGACTGCTAGCTGAACTCAGCCATCAATCAAGATGCATCACAGATTAAGAAAATTCTGTAACAATGAAATGTAGCCCATGATTGTAAATCAATATATCATTAAAAATGTATAAATTGCAAGTAGGTTTCTGTAGACGTATTTTCTAGATTGTACCTTAAATTGGATATTAAGCATTACCTGTAGAAGATACATAATCTGATTTTACAAATGTTCACCCACGCAGAGGAGAACAATTTTTTTTTTTTTTTTTATTTGCAATGATGTGAGTTTAAAGTTCAAATGTCATATTATTGGTCCATTTCATTTGGCCACACTTAAAATAGTAAACGTTCTCAGAAAATGGTCAAGGTTCTTGAAAAATACATGCATCAAACTATTCTCTCATCACGCCTCTTTCTTTTTATTCTAAATCTTACACAGAATCTAAATGTCAGCACTATAAAAAGCCTGCTTGGACCGAACTTGGCCGAACTAAACACCATATCCAGTGGACCTGTCATGGCGGCTTGGATTGCTGCACATACGCAGAGTGAGGTTAATTCTTTGGGGCTCTCAGCTTCAGCAGGATTACCAGATCCTACACCAAGTGGCTTCATAGTTATCAACATGGGTAAGTAGAATCCTCACATCTTCCACGATGAGTCTTCAAACCAGAGATGAGATTCTTTTTGATAACTTAAAGATGTCAGTTACAGTTTGAAGACCTATTCACATGCTTTTTTTAAGAAGACTATACAGTCTCAGATGATAGATGGGCAACCAGATAGAAAGGACTGAAGGTCCATATAGATAGAGTATGGACGTCTGGTGGCTGCCAAGATACGTACTAGCTGCTCTACCTTACAAAGGTGTCTCTTCTTGAACATACTTTGTGTGAAAACTCATAGTCTAGTACAGGGGTATGCAACCCTCGGCACTCCAGATGTTGTGGAAGTGCCGAAGATTGCCTACCCCTGTTCTACGATGTTGTGATTAAGCTGTAATTAGGACTCTGTAGATGTACATGTAAATCATCCAGTAAACAGTCACTCCTCTAATACTATTTTCCAAGAAAATACAAAATACCATCTCCCAACTTATCACAGCAATATTCCATATTCCAGAATTAGTCTCCCCCAGCTCTTACCTCAGATGTTTTCTTTAAACTTTCCCTAAAGCCCCTCTACCGTTGTCTCTTTTACAGTGTTAATTTTGGCAACCACATTTTTTGAGATTTAGTTGACTAAAACAAAAACAATTCAGATGACTAATATAGGACTAAAACTAAATGGCATTTTTGTTAAAAGACTATGACTAAAACTAAATTGAAATTTGAAGCCAAAATTATCACTGCACAGAGGGGCTGTGTAAGGGGCAAAAGAGACAGAACTGGGCTTGGGAAAGAGAGACACCTAGAGGGGCTGGGATGACACAAAGAGACACAGATGGACTGGGGAAGGGGCAAAAGAGACAGAGGCTTTAACTAAACCTATTGGATTTTAGGCATGTCGACTAAAATCTCCTTTAGATTTAGTCAAAGAGAATCTACTATAGATTGAGTTGACTAAAACAATTCAGATGACTAAAACTAAAATGCCTTTTTAGTCAAAAGACTATGACTAAAACTAAATTAAAATTTGCTGCCAAAATTAACACTGCTCTTTAATCATGTCTCTCTCCCTATGACCCTTGAGTTTTTTTGTACTCTGTCTGTTTCTTAGATGGTGCAAAGGTTAACAAACATGATAAAGTTTAGAGGTGCACCTTAAAACCAGCATAATAAGTTCGCTGACGGGTAGTGTAACATGTTTCCCTCGAAATATTGTAAAACATGGCTGGCTAATTAAAAACAAATGTAGCACAACATACAATAAAGTTCACTTTTCCTATGCTTATGTACCAAATTATCTTAAATGTGTTTTTTTCTGCACTCTTTCAGTGACATCGGGGGCCACCAATCGACATTTTGCCTCTCTTCTCCTGTCATTTGCGATGGCTGCTATAATTCACATCACTACCTCTCTCTAGTGTCTACAGGCCCTGTGCGACATCACTCAGTGGAATTAAGCTCAAATTCAGAAACACTATCTGATATATCTAAGACTGTCGATAACTTCAAAGGGAAAAAAATTATAAAAAATATACTATGACATTATCTGCAAATGTGGCTTCACAGAAGTCTATGAGCAAGCTGGTATATACAGCAACAGGGAATTTGTTTAAATGTCCTTCAATTTGCCTTTCCCCCAGTTATTATTTAATAAGCCATACACTTTAAAAAAGAACATCCATTACTTGTATCACCTCTAAGCGGGCCCCGTTATGAAAGTTACAAATTGTTGATTTAATTTAAAGTTCATCTTCGAATTCCAACTGAAAGGTGTGTAATTCTTTTAAATAAAGTGTTCTTGACTTACTGGGCTTCTCACAAAAAACTTATACCCAGAGTAGAAACTCCCCATTGGTTATTTGGAACTAAATGTCAGATGAGCTAACATTCTATTAAAGTGGTATGCACTTCATTTCCATCAGCACTTTACGAGTTAATGTAAAAGACGTCAGCTCACCAATTAAAAACAATTACAATTATTATTATTATTACCCTGCTTCTATCTGACATTTTAATATCAGCTAATATAAGCCTTGATTTACTATTTCTGGATAAACATAAAAAAAAAAAATCATATATATTTTAAAAATTTTTAAAAAGATATCAATATATCAAAATATTACAATACTAACATATTTTGCTAAATAGTAAATCATATTAAAAGTTTATTCATTTGAAAAGCTTCAAATGTTGAATCGATGTGATAGAGATTTCCTGTATATCGATAAGCTCACTGTCACAAGTAGAAACAATTTTGTAAGTGCAGATAAACTACCCAAAAAAATGAAGGTTTCTGCAATGATTTACTTTTAAGAAATGGTTCATTTCTATTTGAGTTATCACATAGACATAGCCTATACATAAATATGAAGATATGAAGGATAAATAAAAAAAAAGTTTATTACAGCAATCTTATAGCAAATGAAGGGGCCACTAATTAGAATATAACAATGCTGATTTCGCGCAGGCTACGAACATCAGCACTGACTAGGTTAATTTAAAAGGGTTACTTATCCACATGTATTGCCTCGATCCAAACAGGGGCCAAGAATATTTACCTGTAATATGTAATCTCCTTTAAAAACTATGCGATATTTGCACCAAACGTTTAATCTGCTTTTATATCAAAATTAAATTGTGTTGATTAAAAAATATATTTCTATTTATTTAAACCTTATATAGGTACTACTGTATATATTAACCTGTACAATAAACAATAAACATTGAATAATTTACTCTTAAAGGCACACTCCGTTGCCCAAATACAAGATTACCACTGCCAGCTCTATAATAAAATTGTATACAAAGGTTAAATAACAGTATGCCAAGATCATATTTTATTTAAAAAAAAAAAGATATCTGATATGTTATGAAAATAGCATAATATGTTTACATGGCCTGATTTTTCTATAAGAAACATATATTTTTAAATAATAAAATAATTTTTATAGTATCCACTTTTTTGTGACAATTGTGACTATGACGTGATTAATACAAATATATATTTTATATATCCTTGTATAATAAAAAGTGTTTCTACTAAATTATTAGATGATCCATTGTGGTGACATAATCTATCACAAATACTTTATGTAAATGATTAAATTAATAAAATTGCATTTCAAAATATAAGGGTCTGTCATTTAATTCTTTCACTATGTTACCCATGGTTAATGATTTGTAGCTCTCGGCATGCTGTGTCTTGATGAACCATCGTACACTGATAATAAATAATCCTAAAGTATTCTGCTACAACTCAGTGTGATTATAACTCCCTAACTAAAGAAAATACATGGGTCAGCATGCCCTATACTCACACCATACATGTGTAACATGCCTTTCTAACGCTAAATTAACCCTTCATTACTGCACAGTGCAGCATAATGCAGCTCTCAGGGACAGCGGGGATGTAAAACATACAAATACCTTGCTGGCAGTCTGTAGAATCCATAAATACCCTTATTAAATAGAAAGGCGTTATTGTTAAAACCATCCCTAGTGCACAAGAGTCATTGAAAAGGGAAATTATAAACACCATAACCACTTCATCTCATTGTTATGGTGCCTATATTTCTCGTTTATTTCCTATTTAACAGACAATGACGGTCCCAGGTGCCTTTAGAACCATCTTCTCACTGAAGGTATGGCTAAGGCAGAGTGTAATTCTGAATTACCATATCATACCTTTCAAGTGTCCCTCTTTTGGAGTCCCATAGACCGCATTAAAAGGAAACTTCAGTGCCAGGGAAACAAACTCGTCCAGACCACTCCAATGGGCAGAAGGGGTCTAGGTGCCTACAGTGTCCCTTTAAATTCACACACACACACAAAATCACTGGTTAGGATATATACCCCATGAAAACATGCATGCATGTTTTCTTTGGTGTTATGTCTAGCAACAGCTTGCAAAACCTGCAGATCTATTGTCTGCTGCCTTTGCAAGCCCTCTTACCCCGCCCAGACTTTCTGTGGCTGTCCAATCACAGACTTCCCAATGCAGCTCAATGAGAAGTATTTGCAAGACAGGTGCTCTGGGTCATTGCTGCCTCTTGATTTTAGCTCCACTGAGTTAACGAGACAAGGAAGTAACAGGACCTGTTGTCTGATTGACAGCCAGGGTGGGTGTAACAGGTTATTTTATAAAAGTGACAATTTCTATTGAAATCTGCACTTTTTGTAAAATAAAAAAAAAGACACACTCTTCGCACATAAAACACTTCAGCAAGCTAAAGTATTTTAGGGGTCTAGAGCTTCCCTTTAACAATGAACCCATTAAGTAGCCTTTATTCCACCCTTGACTGCAGGAAAGGAGTAGTAAAATAATGGTTTTGAGTCCAACATATGGAGCCTGACCTGTAGCTTGGAATATAATATATAAATCACTCTAGGAGTCCCCAAGCACTTAAGCCCAACAATTGGAGGACCATTAAAAAAAAAGGAAACCGCATCATTGGTGGCATGTCTGTCTGTAAAAGGGAGGTGGATGTCATCCCAGCGTACATGCATGCCACACTACCATGTATGAGTGCTGATGAAAAGCTTCTGTCAGGGTCGGATTAACAAAGGGGCTGATGGAGCTGCAGCTCCAGGCCCATTACCATAGAATAGGCCCATTGATTAAAAAAAAAAACTACTCTCCACATGCTCTTCCTTAAGTATGGAAACTTAAGAGGGATGTAGGGGAATAAGACCTGTGGCTGACAATGAAATTAGTTAAGGTAAAGCTGACTTTGCGCACTATGCAAAGGCTCTTGCTGCTTTAATCTCTCTAACACTGTGGCATATTCCCTTTCTTCTACACCTTTTCTCTGTCCCAGACTGTATACCATGAGCTTCTGTCTGCTAGTAAGGCGGTTAGGAGAGGATTGGACCAGCGAGTGCTAGGGTACAGTCCATAGAAAGTGTGGAGCGAGTGCATCATTAGACGCATTTATGCCATGCTCAGGTTGCTTGACATGCGCACAGTCGTTTCTCTGACATGGGCGCTAACCTTACTCTGAACCCCATTAAAACACTGACACAGATTTTACTGTTGGAAATATTAGTCCACAGCTTTATTAATTGTTAATTAAGATATAACAAATTAGGGTCATTGGCAACAAATCTTTTATTAAAACCAACATCCCCCCCATACATAACATACCCCTGCCAATGACCCCACACCAATAATAACAATAAATAACACTATATAAATAACAGCTAACACATAACCTGGCCGTCCAAACGTTCCCATTTGCACTGGATTAAATTGTAGGGGTGTACCGAGACACCCCTACACTCCCAGGTTCGGAACCACCGATGAGCTCGAACCTACAAACAAAGTGTAACACTACCTAGTCTACACTAAACCTAACCATGCCCACTTCCTACTCCATCTACCCCCCGATTTTAACCTGGCCATTCCCCGCCGCTGTGAAGGAAACAGGTAAACACCCAACTATCAATAAATGGGAGGGTGGGAGGGAAAACTAACAGGTAAGTTTAGGTTTAGTTAAGATGGCCACTTCATAAAATGGCCGATATATACTCCTAGTAAACCCCGCTCCCAGCTTACCCACTGACAATTAATTTAAAACTGGTTACTATGCCAACCTCCTGGCTCTGTCAAAGCCCATTCCGCTAGCTGTGCTGTTCCATGGGCTACAGACTGCACAGTATGCCCTAGGTTGTTTATCCTGCATGATTGGCAGGCAGCCTGGTGTGCATTCACACCAGGCTGATCATCTAATTTTTTGTGCAGACATGCCCCCATTTTTGGGCATGTTTGTCCCTTTGGGCGGATCTGGTTACGTGATTCACATCAGTGGACCACCTTTTTACCCCGTCCACAGAAATCCTGCTTCACCAGACACTGCTGTTAGGGGGGTATGGATTTACTTGAAAGATGAAAGCGAGAGATTAGCATAGGGTATGTGTTTTCTGATAGCTATATCCTGTGAGTGTCCCTCCAACACCACCTCCACCAGATACATGACCTTTGGGAGGTATAACTGTTTTAGTGTTTTCTGTCGATAAGACTCTGTAATTAGGCCCATCATAACTGTCAGCACCAGGCCCAATGGGCTCTTAATCTGACCCTGGCTTCTGTACACAATTAAAATTATTTATATAGCACCAACATGTTCCACAACTCTGTGCAATATAAAACAAAATTAATATTTAATTCTAATAAAACATTTATGACATACGGAAACAGAAGGTGCCGAGCGACGCTGTCCAAACAAGCTCACAATCTAAAGTACCAACTGAAATGCCTTGTATTTTATCCTGAGTGTAGTGGAAATGCATTTCAAAATACGCTCACGCACTTTGGTGCAGTCCTTCTGACACAGAGTGACTAGCAAAGGTCCTGCACAAATCCAGCATGCTGCATGTTTTAAAAGAACACTACAGAAAACTATACAAACCTGTATTCCTAACACTACAGTGTCCCTCTGCCCCCAGCCTTGCCACAAAGCGTGAGGACGTCCAGCGTCAAACTCCATAAAATAGCAGCAAGCAACTCTAGTGACTTTGTGAATTTCTGGTAGACAGCCACTAGGGGCAGTCTTAGCATTGTAGTTTCTCTGAAACTGCAATGTTTTACGTTGCAAGACTAGGAGGGACAGGGACAGTGCACCCAGACAACTTCAATTATAAAAAAAAAAGGTTTGAGTACCTATAGAGTCCCTTTAAGCTGGAAGAATGATGTAATGGCCCTTAAAGGGACATTATAGTCACCAAAACAAATTTAGCTTAATTAAACCGTTTTAGTGTATAGATTATGCCCCTGCAGTCTTACTGCTCAATTATTTGCCATTTAAGAGTTAAATCACTTTGTTTCTGTTTATGCAGCCCTAGCCACACCTCCCCTGGCTGTGACTGACATCCTGCATGAAAAAAAAAGGTTTAATTTTCAATCAGATGGAACTTACTTTAAAAGTAAGCTCTGTAAATTAAACTCTAATTACATACAGGAGGATCCTGTAGAGCAGTCTTCCCCAAACTCCGGCCCTCCAGATGTTGCTGAACTACACCTCCCATGATTCTCAGCCTATTTCATTCATAGAATCATGGGAGTTGTAGTTCAGCAACATCTGTAGGGTCGGAGTTTGGGGAAGCTTGCTGTAGAGTCTAGCAAGCTATTAAAAGAGCAGGATATAAGAAATTATACATTAAACAGAATTTGCAATAAAGGAAGTATTAACATTAGATGACTCTTTACAGGAAGTGTTTAGGAAGGCTGTGTTAGTCACATGCAGAGAGGAGTGCCTAGGGCTGCATAAACAAAGCGATTTAACTCCTAAATGGCAGATAATTGAGTAATGAGACTGCAGGGGCATAATCTATACACAAAAACTTCTTAATTAAGCTAAAGTTATTTTCTGACTATAGTGTCCCTTTAACTCTTGCATGTACTACAAACACACTACATTTATTATACACACTGCACTCACTACAAATACACTACAATTATTATTCACACTGCACTCACTACAAACACACTACATTTATTATTCATACTCTGCATTCACTAAAAACACACTACATTCATTATACTCACCCTGCACTGCACTATTTTTTTTTTTTTTAAGGGGGTGTGGGGTAGGCGGGAATCTTGGGCGAGTTCCCACACTTTTTTCCCCAGGACTTGACCCCTGGATAGACAGACAGACAGACAGGCAAGCAGGTAGATAGATAAATAGATAGACAGACAGACAGACAGACAGAAGATATATAGATAGATAGATAGATAGATAGATAGATAGATAGATAGAGATAGGTAGATATATAATAGATAGGTGATAGATAGAAAGATAGATAAATAGATGATATATAGATAGACAGACAGATTTCAATAGAAAGATGATAGATAGATAGATAGATAGATAGATAGATAGATAGATAGATAGATGAATTGACCCCCATAGAGTGAGGGGGGGGTGCTAGATGATGTGTGTGTGTGAGTGCTGGATGATGTGTGTGTGTGTGCTGGATGATGTGTGTGTGAGTGCTGAATGATGTGTGTGTGAGTGCTGGATGATGTGTATGTGTGTGTGAGTGCTGGATGATGTGTGTGTGAGTGCTGGATGATGTGTGTGTGTGTGCTGGATGATGTGTGTGTGAGTGCTGGATGATGTGTGTGTGAGTGCTGGATGATGGGGGGGGCATTTTTTTCTTACTTTATGTGTTTATTTATTTTATTCCCCCCTCCCTGCTTCTTACCTTGTCAGGGAGTGGGGAGATCGCCTGGTGGTCCGGTGGAGGGAGCCAGCCGCTGCACAGAGGAGCCATCACACGCTGTGTTCCCTCTCCAGCTCTAACTCTCGCGAGACTCGCCTGTGCGGAGCGTTGCCATGGTAACAGCCGCGGGTCTCGCGAGAGTTATAGCTGGAGAGGGAACACAGCGTGTGCTGGCCCCTGTGTGCAGGTAGCAGGGCAGGTCCTGCAGGACTGCTAACGGGAACAGCGTTACTGCTTTGGAAAAAGTGCAGGAACGCCGTTCCCATGCGTTCCTGCAGGACTCGAGCCCTGTATCTATCCATCTATCTATCTTGCTATATCTGTCTGTCTCAGTGGTGTATCCTGGTTTTGTGCTGCCCTAGGCGCCTCCCCTGAGGTCTAGTGGGGCTGATGCTTGGTTGGTCGGGCAGGCGGCGCTGGCGAGGGAGCACTTTCCTCTGAGCTGTCTGCTCAGCTCCCTTGCACGCCGCAGAGTGATGCCGGTGTAAGGATATGAAATAGTTAACTCTTTTTGTTTTATATGCTTTAAAATAATGTTTGAAATAATTATGCTGACCTTGGCAGATGTATTCTGTAACATGCTTTGAGAGGCCTCCCTTCTACAGGATGTATGACCTCGCTCAACCTCAGGATGTTCCTGTCCCGTCTTTATTCAAATGATTATCTTTTAATGTCAGACAAGTATGTACTATTAACTACAAGGAAACGATAAATCTCGCTGCTTGCGTGTATAAATGCTAGCCCTGAAAATATACTCACTGAGAACTTGTTAAGCACTCTTTCATGTCTGTGTCTTAATTTGCTAATCAAGAACTCCCATCAATTGATGTGGTGACCGGAGAATCGAGAAACGAAGGGAGTTGAGTCCAGAACAGCATTAACCCTTTCAGCCGGGAGCCGGAATATGACGCCAGCGCCGCCTGACCGACCGCAAGGCTAACAAGACATTTGCCCTGGGCATTTGGGGGCATCTTTTTTATTGCCGCCCCCTGGAAAATGCCGCCAAAGGCAAATGCCTTGTTTGCCTTGTGGCTAAAACGTCCCTGGTCTGTCTGTCTATCTGCCTGTCTATCTACCTATCTGTATCTGTCTGTCGATCCATTATTATTACTTTTATTATTAGTATTGGTATTTATATCGCACCAACAATATTATGGAAGGGGGAAATGTAACAATAAAAAGGATAATTACAAAATGATAGAGGAGCATCTATCTGTCTCTTTTAAAATTTATACCACCATTTTATAGCTATAAAAAATGTTTGTTTTTCGAAATAATCATTGAGGAGAAAAAAAAAAAAGATAAAAAAAAGATGATATCTCTTCCACATATAAATGTGCAGTTATATAGAATGGGAGTTATTCACAGTATTAATCAGCAGGTGGCGCTAGCAGCACTCATTTGACGGATCGCTTTGCAGCAGTGTGGCAAGCGTTACTCTTGCTTCACAACAGAAGCTGACATCTGTCGGCTCGCTTTGCGGCAGTGTGGCGGATATGGCTTCTCATTTCAGTGGAGTGCTGCAGCTGACTGATCTGGATGATTTTATAGGACCCTCGCAGGTCAGTGAGTCCTGTGGATTGGTGGGAAAGGGGCAATAAGCAGTCCTGTTACTCAGAGGGTAAACTGGAAGGGGTTTAGGCTGGGCTGCCTGCAATCACATGGCTCTCTGACATCATTACAAGAAAACATGCTGTACATTTAAACCTCAACATCCCTTTAATGTCATTCCCAAGGTTAATTATACATGGACAATTATTTAAAGGGCTCAGAGTGACCACTTCATTAGCTAATCTGTAATAAATGTAGTAAAACTGTTTGCAGGCACATGTATTCTTATACATCTCAAATGGGGTGTTCTATCAAATTTTGTATCCCTGGGTTTGTGTTTTGGCAAACTTTCTCTTTTGCTGTTTTTTGTTTTTGTTTTGTGGTTGTTGTTGTTTTTCTACATACAAGTCAACTGATATAGATAAGTAGTTGCAGAAAAAAATTCAATACTTTTTTTTTTTTATCAGAATGTACTTTATCACAAAAAATGTAAAAACAATAGTTAACAGTAAAAAAAAAAAAACCATAACCTAAAGTGATTTGCACATTATTTATACTCGCAGTTGTATGTCCAGTACTTGACACCACAACATTTTACAAAGTTACAAAAAAGAAAAACTGAGCAAAATGTCCCACAAAGCAAAGTTCTAATATCATCTATTAGTAAGTTATCCGTGTATACACCAGATTATAATAAAATACTCTCTAAATAGGCGACAACAAAACAAAAAAGAAAATTGTAAAATGGAAACAGCCTCTACGTTTAAAATTTTTTTTAAAAAAAATTGTTATTTAATGATTTAGCAAATTTGCCTCGTCAAGGAAGATTTTATCCTATACCCACAGCCATGTCCACGTTCCCCTGCAGCACTGGGAGCTGAGTGTGTCTAGTGAATGATAAGGCTGTGTAAGTTAAAGAGAGTCTGTCCATGCTCATAAAGTGATTGTGTGTGAATTGCAAGTAATTCAAAGGAAATGGCAAATTTTATGCCAAAATAGCTGAATCTCAATTTTTTTTCCAAGGCAGCGATGCATTCATTTTGTCTGTATTGCTCTAAAATGTAAAATTCACTGTGAAATCATGTTGAATTCCTGGCAAATCACATTTTAGTGAATATTCCTGCTAATTGTGAATTTATCAACGTTTATTCCTATATTTTTACTCCGATAAAGGTATGTAAGCCCAACTTATGGAAGGTCGACTGTAAGCAATCTTACAAAATCTATTCATACAAAAAGGAAGGTCAAGGAGTGAGCACACACCTATCACCAACCAATAGAGTGGCACGCTTAAAATATAACACAATAACTGTGTGCAGTAAGCAATATAAATTGTCCCGTCTCTAATATATTTGTATCCTTCCTGTTTTGTGGACGGTAGGACTGTATCAAGCCGATTAAGGTAGAGAAGAAGGCTGGGAGGTCTGCTGCTAAGATCCAGATTGAAGATGATGGAAGCTATTATCAGATCAATCAGGTGAGCTTGTTGCAATGGTTAAATGGTGTATTGACAGGTCAGACAGTGTGAATTCAAGCCAGTCTGCCTTTCAATCCCACAGGCCAGCCTGCTGAGGACAGACCTGCTTCAGTGTTCTCAGCAGTACCATAGTGCCTTTAGCTTAGCACTAGTACATGATACACTCATCCTATGCTTTTTGTAAACCATTCTTTGATGTCCTCAAAATTGGACAGTGGGACAGGATCCAAAAATCAGGATGCTTGGGAGGCATGCATAAGTGGTGCTTTGCGGGCACAGGAGTGGATTCTGGGAATTTTAGTTCAGTTGCTAATGTTCCACTGTAAAACGTTAATAGCTGAACTACAACACCCAGACATTGTGATTCTTATAGTAAAAACAACAAAAAACACTGCAGGTTGGGAGGGAGGTCCCGAAAGTGTGGCTGTATGGAAAAAAACTTATCGATATATATTTTTTTTTAAAGATAAATTTAAAAAATATCTCGTGGTTACATAACGTGAGTACATGGAGGATCTCCTTAACTACTACGACTTGTCATTCTTTTAAGGTTCAGGACTGAATTACAGTGTTTGTATTCAGTGGGCCTGTTGTGGGGTAACTGACTTTAGTTTGTTCACAGGATGGTGCCTCCCAAAAGCTGGAAAAAGCAAAGATTACTCTCAATGACTGCCTGGCGTGCAGTGGCTGCGTGACATCAGCAGAAACGATTTTAATCTCCCAGCAGAGCCACGAGGAGCTCTACAAGATACTGAAACTGAACAAAGTAAATATTGGTGCTGTTCTTTCATATAGTGCCATCTGTGTGCCCCTCAGTTACACGAAAACCAATATCGAGGTGTAACAGGGCAGTAAGGTCGAACTAAATATTGGCTGAAATAGAATATATCTCCACTATTTTCTGCTGTCTGCTTTCTTTTGTTTGGTCTAAATTTTGCCATTTTTATTTGGAAATGTATTTACAAATTTAATTATGGGCCCTGGATTTGCTTTTTTTATTTTTTTATTTTTTTTATTTTTTTTTTGCCTGCTCATCCAGTGGATCCATGAAGTCAATGAATTGGTTAGACTGATCTTAAGATCTATTGCTGTGTATTAAAGGGACAGTCTGCACATCTACAGCAGTTTAGCTTGCTGAAAAGATTTATGAGTGAAGAGTGTGTCCTCCTTTTTCATATTACAAAAAGTGCAGATTTTAACCCCTTAAGGACGGAGCCAAATGTACACGTTGTGAACAAAACAAAATGTAAACAAAACCTGGCATTTGCGCTACATGTCTGTCCAACCGTAATACACCTCTTTCATAGTAAATACACCCACCCTTATTATATATCATTTTATTCAGGGGAAACAGGGCTTTCATTTAATATCAAATATTTAGCTATGAAACATAATTTAATATGAAAAAAATGGGAGAAAATAAGATTATTTTTTTTTAGTTCTACATGACATTTTAACTGTCAATGTCATAATACTGTTTGCTTTTACTGCAATAAAATACACATATTTGTATTCAGCAAAGTCTCACGTGTAAAACAGTACCCCCTATGTACAGGTTTTATGGCGTTTTGGGAAGTTACAGGGTCAAATATAGCACGTTACATTTGAAATTGAAATTCGCCAGATTGGTTACATTGCCTTTGAGACTGTATAGTAGCCCGGGAATGAAATTTACACCCATAATGGCATACCATTTGCAATAGTAGACAACCCAAGGTATTACAAATGGGGTATGTCCAGTCTTTTTTAGTAGCCATTTGGTCACAAACACTGGCCAAAGTTAGCGTTAGTATTTGTGTGTGAAAAATGCAAAAAACGCCAATTTTGGCCAGTGTTTGTGACTAAGTGGCTACTAAAAAAGACTGGACATACCCCGTTTACAATACCTTGGGTTGTCTACTATTGCAAATGGTATGCCATCATAGGGGTAATTTTCATTCTTGGGCTACCATAGGGTCTCAAAGGCAACGTAACCAATCTGGTGAATTTTAATGTGAAAAAAATGAAACATAAGCCTTATATTTGACGCTGTAACTTTTTTCAAAACAGTAAAAAGTATCGCAGCAATAATATCATCTGTGTAAGTGCTGTTTGTGCATGAAAAATGCAAAAAAAGTCACTTTTACTGGCGATATCATCGTTGTAATACATTTTACGGTTTTGAAACACTAATATTTGTGTTCAGCAAAGTCTCCTGAGTAGAACAGTACCCTCCATGTACAGGTTTTATGGTGTCTTGGAAAGTTATAGGGTTAAATATAGTGCTAGCAAATTAAATTCCCTTTACTTTCGGCATGGGTTGTCAGGCAGGTCCCACTAATTGTAATTAATTAAGATACCCAATTATGTAAAATATTACATAAATATATATGTAGAATTAATATGTGTGTGTGTGTGTGTGTGTGTATATATATATATATATATATATATATATATATATATATATATATATATATATAGTTATATATTTATGTATATAGATATAAATATTATTTCATTCTACGTGTATTTTGATATATATATATTATCACAATACAGTTAGAACGAAATAACACACATCTATATATTTAATAATTTTTTTAATTTTATTTTTTAACGTATTTACATTTTTTTTATATTATATATAAATATATAACAATAATTATAATTATATTTATATTACTAGTAAAATACACCTAGACTGTGTGTGTGTATGTATATGTGTGATCTAAGTATATAATTTTTTTATTTTTTTTTACACTTCTAATTTTATTTTATTTCCAGCCAGCAGGGGGACTATCTGTCATTACAGACAGTCCCCCTGCTGGCAATACAGAAGCCAGCTAACCCGGCCATGTGATTGTGAGTTCCTCGCAAGGACCTCACTCTCACATGCCCAGGGGGGCTTTAGGACGTTGGATGTGCCGCGGGAGGCTCCCTGGGAGTCCCCCCAACCGCGATCGCCGGCGTGGGATCGCCAGCGACCAGGTAAGTAAAAAAAAAAAAACGGAGGGCGTACTACTACGCCGGGCGGCGTTTAGAGCCACTTAAAATAGGACGTAATAGTACGCCCTCCGGTCTTAAGGGGTTAATAGAATTATTCATCTTTGCAAATTAACCTGGTAACTCCTCCTTGGCTTTCAATCAGGCAGCTTGTCATGTTACTTCCTGCTTTGGTTAACTGAGTGGAGCTAAACTCAAGAGGCAGCAATTGCCCAGAGCACCTACCATGCAGAGACTTTCATTGAGCTGCACTGGGAAGTCTGTGATTGGACAGCCACAAAAGGTCTGGGCGGGGTTAGAAGGGGAGGGCTTGCAAAGGCTGCAGACAATAGATCTGCAACGTTTGCAAGTTTTTTTTAGATATACCACCAATGACAAAAATGCACAATTAGATGCGTGCAAGTTTCCAGTCAGGGAATATCTAATAAATTGTTTTGTTTTTAAACAAAAAAAGGATATTTGTTTTCTTCTGTTGGAGTGTTCTTTTAATCTGCATGATTTTCCAAGCAGGAAGAAGATTCGTCTCAGCATAAGCTGGTTGTAGTGTCTTTGTCCCCGCAGTCTCGAGCATCTCTGGCGGCAAAATTTAACCTCAGCATCACAGACACAGCCAAAAAACTAACTTCTTTCTTCAAGCAGATAGGTAAGTCCTGTGTACTGAATTAAAGGGCCTCCTGATTTAAAGGGCCTCCTTAACCATGCCTGCATAGACATGTTCATGCAAGAAAAGTTGCTAGGTAATGTGCAGACAAGAAATCCTGTTGTAAAATGTGAATAGAACTGAGTGCAGATGTCACAAGGATGGAAAACATATTTTGACTATATGAATGGTCTTCGTTCATACTATAAACACTGATTGGGTGGCAGTCTGTTTAACGTCTTTTATCCTGCTGATTTTAATGTACTTTAACATATAAGTAAATGTGTGTGAGGGAAGGAAGGGTTGACTGGTGGCAGAGTGAGGGAAGGAGGGGATGACTGGTGGCAGTGAGGGAGGGGGTGACATAGTAAGGGAGGGGGATGCTTAGTGGCAGTGTGTATTATGACATTGACAGTTAAAATGTCATGTAGAACTAAAAAAAAAATCTTATTTTCTCCCATTTTTTTCATATTAAATTATGTTTCATAGCTAAATATATTTGATATTAAATGAAATCCCTGATATTCAAATGCTTTCACTCAACACTCTTGATTTATGCAAAAGTCCAATCCATTTGCTTACCAATCAATTAACTCCATCTAGTGAGGAGTATAGATAATGCAAAGCCGAGTGAATCGCTTATGGCATGCCACCTCACTGCTCCATGGCCTGCGATACTCTCTAAATCCAGTACAAGAGCGCCTTAATGTAAAGCATGGCATGTCTATGACCCTAATCCTTAAAGATTGTGCTTAGATTACCTATTTTTGCTGGACACTTTGTATATCACTCGAGGTCCAGAATGGCCACATTTCTGCTTCCAATACAGCCATATTTCCTGTTCAGCTTCCATCGTTTCATTCCTATTCTGAACGATGTAATATCTGAAGCAGAGGACCTGGCTTTAATTATTTGTAAGATTTGGTACCAATGCACCATGAATCTAAACAAGGGTTTGTTGATGTCTTTTTCTTGTGTGTGTGAGTTTTATCTGATTGTGTCGATTGCAAATTGTTCTTTCAGCTGTGTGTTTTATCTGTTTCTATTCGCAGGAGTGCACCATGTGTTTGACACCACTTTTGCGAGGAACTTCAGCCTACTGGAGAGCCAGCAAGAGTTTATAAAACGCTTCAAAAAACAGAAGGAGGAGAAAACTCTCCCCATGCTGGCCTCCGCCTGCCCAGGTACACAAAACTATTGTCGTTTCCTGAGTGAGGTCCTGTCAGTGGACAATGATAAACTCATAAACTCTTGTCTCTCCTCCTCCAGGATGGATCTGTTATGCTGAGAAGACCCATGGAAGCTTTATAATACCGTACATCAGCAGCGTCAAGTCCCCACAGCAAGTGATGGGATCGCTCGTTAAAAAACACTTTGCACAAGAAATGGTAAAGAGTTCTCAAAGTTATAGTAAATTTTATATATATAATCTTACTTTATGTGTAATAAACACGTTTTTATTTTAGATGCATTTAACTGAAAAATCTAAAAAAAAGTGCTGGAATATATATTCCATAGACTCCTGGTGATTTATGTTATATGTCAAATAATGGAAAATTTAAGACTGGCTAATGCATATATCTATACAGGGCCGGACTGGGAGAAAAATTCAGCCCGGGCATTTTTTTTAGCACAGCGGCCCACTAAGAAGGGGGCGGGGCAGAGAGGGTGTGTTTCGTCATCACCAAAGACAAACACGCCCCCTCTCAAAGTGAGCGTTGGGTCAATGCTCTTCCAGGGCAGAGCTCTGCTAAAGAGCTCTAGCATGAGAAGGAAAAAAAAACCTGTATTTGTTCTGCACAGTGCAAGCAAATTTAATAACATGCTTGCACTGTGTTTCCTTGAAACTTGTCTCTGGTGTCTCTATAAATGGATACCAGGAGACAAAAGGGCAAGAAAAGAGTATTGTGCATGTGTTTGGAGCCTGCTTTGGGATTGTGTGTGTGCAGAGTGAGCTGGTCGTGGTTTGGTATTGTGTAATAAGGTTGGTTTTAGTCGTGTTGTGTTTGTGGTGTAATGCATATGTGGCTAGGAGCTGAAGAGAATGTGTGTATAGGGGATGTAGTAAATGTATGCACACAGGCTATAGTGTGTGTGTGTGTATATAGGTGATGTAGTGTTTGTAGGGGTTGTAGAGAGTGTGCGTTTAGGGGTGTAGCATGTGTTTGTTTACAAGGAATCTAGTGTGTGTGTATCAGGGATCCAAAGTGTGTATGTTAGGAATGTAGTGTGTGTAGGTGGTGCAGTGTGTGTGTGTGTGTATACAGGAGTCTAGTGTGTGTTTGAAGGACCCAGAATGTGTATGAGATCTAGTGAGTGTGTGTATATAGGGATTTAGTGTGTGTATATGATCCATAGTTGGGTAAGGGATATAGTGTGTGTCTGGAATGTAATATGTTTAGCGGTGCAGTATGTGTGTGAGCGGTGCTGTGGTGTGTGTGTGTGTGTGTGTGTGTGTATGTGTGTGTGTATATATATATATTTATATTTGGAAGTATTGTGTGTGTGTGTGTTTAGTGCAGTGTGTTGGGGTTCTGCGTGTATGTGTGAGGGGTGCAGTGGGTGTCTGTGAGGGGTGTAGTGTGTATGTGAAGGGTGCAGTATGTGTGTGTGATGGATGTTGTGTTTGAGGGGTGCTGTGTGTGAAGATGCTGTGTATGTTGTGATTAAGGGTGCTGTATGTGGGTGCTGTGTTAAAGGGTGCAGTGTGTGTGATTTGTGTGTGTGTGTGATGTGTGTGAAAGTGCTGTGCTGTGTGTGAGTGCTGTGTGTGAAAGTGCTGTGTGTGATGTGTGTGAGTGTGCTGTGCTGTGTGTGAGTGCTGTGTGAGAGAGTGCTGTGTGCTGTGTGTGAGAGTGCTGTGTGTGAGAGTGCTGTGTGAGAGAGTGCTGTGTGAGAGAGTGCTGTGTGTGAGAGTGCTGTGTGTGCTGCGAGTGCTGTGTGTGCTGCGAGTGCTGTGTGTGAGAGTGCTGTGTGTGAATGTTAAAAGTGATTGTGTGTTGGGAGGGTAAAAAAAAACAACAACAAAAATGCATTATATCTGCCCCCCCCACCCCCCCCCCTTTACCTTTAGCCTGGGAGGGGTCCGGCACGGTGGTAGCTGGGAGGAGGGGGACCGGCACACTCACATCATCCCTGGTGGTCCAGTGGTGAGTGAACTCTAGCCTATAGGCTAGAATTCAATCTCGCGAGAGAAACCCGGCGGAGCTGCAAGATAGAGCTCCGCCGGGTCCTCTCCCTCCCTCCCCAGCCGCAGGTCTGTTTAAATGGGCCGGTGAGGGAGATCTTTGATCTCCCCACCGGCCCTCCATGGCAAACAGCGGGGCCGGCGATAGGAGAGTGCCGGCCCTGCATAGACCGGCAGGGGAGATCCTGGGACCTCCCCTGCCGGCCTCGGCCACCGCGGCCCACCGGGCATTTGCCCGGTGTGCCCGATGGCCAGTCCGGGCCTGTATCTATATAATGCATTATAACATTGTGAATAAGCCCGAGCTTGTAAGGTCCTATTAATGGGTTTCTCCAACCACCATGACCACTTCTGCTTTTTGACCACCATGACCACTTCTCCAGCATTAAATACCAGTTTTTGTACTATGTCTGATCCCTTTTCATTTTGCTAAATTCAGAATTTAAAACCGAACCAGATCTACCATGTGACAGTGATGCCTTGTTACGACAAGAAGCTGGAGGCTTCAAGACCAGATTTTTATGATTCGGAATACGAGACACGGGATGTTGATTGCGTCATCACAACTGGTGAATGTTTCCTCAGTAATTTACATGTTAATGTTTAGAAGAATTTCATTGTATATAATTTAGTAAATCCTGGTAACGTTCAATAAATAACATAAATATATATATATTTTTTTTTTTTATTAGGGGAAGTGTTGCGGATGCTGGAACAGGAGGGATTGTCTTTATCAGATGTGCTGCCATCTCCTCTCGATACATTGTAAGATTTATTCATTTTATCTATTCCAAACGTAATTTTTTTTTATGTATGTATGTGTGTATGTATATATATATATATATACACACACACACACTCGGGTCCATAAATATTGGGACATCGACACAATTCTAATCTTTTTGGCTCTATACACCACCACAATGGATTTTAAATGAAATGAACAAGATGTGCTTTAACTGCAGACTTTCAGCTTTAATTTGAGGGTATTTACATCCAAATCAGGTGAGCGGTGTAGGAATTACAACAGTTTGTATATGTGCCTCCCACTTTTCAAGGGACCAAAAGTAATGGGACAATTGGCTGCTCAGCTGTTCCTTGGCCAGGTGTGTGTTATTCCCTCATTATCCCATTTACAAGGAGCAGATAAAATGTCCAGAGTTCATTTCAAGTGTGCTATTTGCATTTGGAATCTATTGCTGTCAACTCTCAATATGAGATCCAAAGAGCTGTCACTATCAGTGAAGCAAGCCATCATTAGGGTGAAAAAAGAAAACAAACCCATCAGAGAGCTAGCAAAAACATTAGGTGTGGCCAAATCAACTGTTTGGAACATCCTTAAAAAGAAAGAATGCACCGGTGAGTTCAGCAACACAAAAAGACCCGGAAGACCATGGAAAACAACTGTGGTGGATGACCAAATAATTCTTTCCCTGGTGAAGAAAACACCCTTCACGACAGTTGGCCAGATCAAGAACACTCTCCAGGAGGTAGGTGTATGTGTGCCAAAGTCAACAAGAAAAGACTTCACCAGAGTGAATACAGAGGGTTCACCACAAGATGTAAACCATTGGTGAGCCTCAAAAGCAGGAAGGCCAGATTAGAGTTTGCCAAACAACATCTAAAAAAAAGCCTTCACAGTTCTGGAACAACATCCTACGGACAGATGAGACCAAGATCAACTTGGAGAGGGAAAGGAACTGCTCATGATCCAATGTATACCACCTCATCTGTGAAGCATGGTGGTGGTAGTGTCATGGCATGGGCATGTATGGCTGCCAATGGAACTGGTTCTCTTGTATTTATTGATGATGTGACTGCTGACAAAAGCAGCAGGATGAATTCTGAAGTGTTTCAGTCAATATCTGCTCATATTCAGTCAAATGTTTCAGAACTCATTGGACGGCGCTTCACAGTGGAGATGGACAATGACCCGAAGCATACTGCAAAAGCAACCAAAGAGTTTTTTTAAGGGAAAGAAGTGGAATATTATGCAATGGCCAAGTCAATCACCTGACTTGAATCCGATTGAGCATGCATTTCACTTGATGAAGACAAAACTGAAGGGAAAATGCCCCAAGAACAAGCAGGAACTGAAGACAGCTGCAGTAGAGGCCTGGCAGAGCATCACCAGGGATGAAACACAGCGTCTGGTGATGTTTATGCGTTCCAGACTTCAGGCTGTAATTGACTGCAAAGGATTTGCAACCATGTATTAAAAAGTGAAAGTGTGATTTATGACTGTTAATCTGTCCCATTACTTTTGGTCCCTTAAAGAGTGGGAGGCACATGTACAAACTGTTGTAATTCCTACACCGTTCACCAGATTTGGATATAAATACCCTCAAATAAAGCTGAAAGTCTGCAGTTAAAGCACATCTTGTTCATTTCATTTCAAATCCAGTGTGGTGGTGTGTAGAGCCAAAAAGATTAGAATTGTGTCGATGTCCCAATATTTATGGACCTGACTATATAGTTATGGGCTAACAGAGAATTGTTGGGAATTGACCAGGAAATACAAATTGTAGACCAAATCAACGAGGATAAAAACATTGCTGAATTAGAGAATTTGTGCAAATTTTGGCTATTTTACCAATAAATAAAAAAATAGAGAGAGCAAAAGTGCTAGTGAAAAATAGCAACTGTTTGCAACCCAAATTTGATGATAATCTTGTCTCAAGGGAATATCTGTAGGGGACAGAAAAAGACAGAGATGGAAGAGTGCCAAATTGGAGTTAAGGAAGACTAATGGACCATATAAAAGGAGGCAAAGCTCTGAAAGTTCCTTATAGTCTCTTGAAGAAGACGGTACTTGCAAAAACATGTTTGCACCTTGTCAGGGAGCCTGGCTTATCACATTCTAACATATTATTCATTTGTACCTTACCCTGTATTTTGGCTTGCACTTATAGCCTTTTTTTTTTTTTTACTTTTAATAAATTGGTTGCTGTGTATACTGGTGGATATCCTGTATTCTACACTGAAAGACCACATTGGCCCAAGAAGGGAGGACCAGAAAACGCTATATGCAGAGCCTGGTCACGCTCTATTACGTGTGCGTGAACCAATCTAGCATTCCCTGTGACCTTTTATTATTTACTGTGTTACGCTTTGAGGGCTTGGCTTTTCTGTTCTCTACTGATCCTCTGTTTCAGACATTCCTTTGAAACTAGGTAGCCTCAAATTTGGCTAGTTTATATTTACTATTTTTCACTGGCACGTTTGTGCACTCTTTGTTTATTGGTGACCGTGTGGGAGGAGGAGTTTTGTGTGCTTTTTTTTTTCTTCATTTATGTCTTTTGCTGCATATAAAAGCATCATTCACATTGTTTTACTTAGTTTTTTGTTTTTTTTTTAGGTATTTTAGTCCACGTTTTGCAATTCCCCATTTGTATTCCTGAAACATTATAGAGTTCAGTTTCATATAATTCTATAGGAGTTTGTGAAATAAAGCTCAGAGTTGGTATGGAGTATCAGACATGGTGTGAGGGTTGTTTCTAAATGTTTTTGTGGATATTGTAACTGTGTAAAAAAATTAAGAAAATTATAAAAAAAAATCAGTGTGTGTTGGGAAACCAGCATTGTTTTTTCTTGAAGCATTTCTTTTAGAAATTAGCCAATTTTGAGCAAATTAAAAAATTTATGTTTGCAAATGCTAGATCAACACTATACGTGTAAAGACTAATTCTGGGATAAAGTTCTTAGAAGTGAGTAATTACCATAGAAGCCAATGGATTATTCATGTGGCAGGATGGGGTAATGACACGCTTCCTGTAAACAGACCTAACGGAACCAAACTTAGAAGCTTTAAACCCTCACATGTATGGGGTAAGATCTAAATCGCTCAATGTCATTTTTTTTACAAATGACTTAAAGCTCAATTTTCTTTCTTCAGCACGTACACTATCGTTTCCTCTTTAATTAGTTTGTTTCATTATATTGTAAGCAACCAGTGCACAATGTCTTGTCTTAGTGACAAGTATAGACATCTCTTGTTTTTCGAAGTGCATGTAAGCTGAACTACATGTTGAAAGAACAGGCGCACTCCGAGCTCCAAGATATGTACTTATTGGTTAATGCACTAATCAGTGAGATGACAACCAACATAGTAAATTTTAAATAAATTTAAGGAAATTAAGGAAAAAATAATTATTTTTTAAGATTTTTTTTTTTTTCTTATTAATTTCAGTCTTCTGCAAACTGCGCTTAATTATTTAATGACAAAGGCCCTGTTATTGCTAGACTAGAACTTTGCCTAACCGCTTCATTTAAAGGGAAACGATTAAATAAAAAATGTTCTATTTTTATTAAAATGGACACTATAGGCACTCATACTAGTTAATATCATACGCATTTGTAATCCTAACACTATAGTGTTCTTTTAATAAGCTATCTGATATCTTTGTGACTTCCCAGTCCCCCGTTTGAGTTTTTAAAATTAAGGCTAAATAACCTTTTACTTATATTTTTCAAGTACTGAAACTCAGCCCATGCAACCGCCTCCTCAGTCTCTCGTTTCCTTCTCTCTCCTCTTCGTCTTCTCCAATTAAATTCTTCTCATAGAGAAGCATTGTCGACGAGTAGAGCTTGCACACCAAGTGCCATTCTCTTCCAGTCAAATGCTTCTCAAAAATAAGCATTTAATTCTGTTTTTTTATGAGAAGCATTGAATTTCCAGCGTCCTCATGCAATGTGTGAGGACATTGAACGTCAAGAACAAAGCATGACTTTGATACCCTCATTTAGATTTGACCGTCCCCTTTCCCACAGCAGAAATCACGCAGAGAATTTAAGATTGGTAAACTTTTTGAAACACTATCCCCATTTTTAAAAACAAAAAATTTTTTAGCAAACGATTAGGGATCCTGGAATTTGAATCATATTGGAAATATTTACTATGTCCCTGTGAAAACAAATTGTGGGGAGTTCTGTGTTTCTTTATGCACATGTTCTTGTTTCTGTAAATAATATATGCAAAACCTAATTAAAGAAATAAAAATGGACAGAGTCTGACTCTCACAGTGGAAGCAGCAGGTACTAGAGTTGTCTTTAGCCTTGCAAAGTAAACTTCAATGTTTTACACTGTGGAAAGCAAAATACCAGAGGCACTGCAGCCAGACCACTTTATTGAACTAAAGTGTTCTGGGTACCTGTAGTGTCCCTTAATTGCAGTTATTTTATCTTACACTAACTAGCCATGAGGAAGAACGGTTGACGGTGCGTTGTTTTGTATCTGCACAGGTTCAGCAGTGTGACAGAAGACGAACCACTAGGACACCAAGGTGGAGGATCAGGTGGATACTTGGAGCATATTTTTAAGCATGCTGCACAAGAGCTTTTTGGCATCCAAGTGGATCATATTATGTACAAGCCTTTAAAGTAAGAAGACTTCTTCCGTTTTGTTTAATTGCAACTTTTAGTGTCCAGCAAGGATTTAGCCAATTATAATTATTTGTTTGGAGCTGATGAATACTGTAGCCATTGCTGCCGCCCAGGAGCAGTGGGAGTTTGAGCGCAAGGCTTAGATTTGTGTTTGTAATTATAAAATTATGAATATGTACTATTTCATTTAAGGTCACGTATGCAGCTTAAAACTATTGAAATATTAATCAGTTATTTTTTTTAATTATTATTTTAGATTTGCTTAAAGGGTTTCTCCAACCCTTTTTTCAGTTTTATCAGAATACTGACCAAACAAAAAGTTCAAAGTGTGTTAAAAAAAACTAGGTTTTTACTTCCTTAAATTCTGCAGCGGGCGAAGATTCCAGAGCTGCTCAGGGTCACGTTGACATCCAATCAAAGTCTTCTCCATATGACTTCAAATACACAGTGATGCTCAGTAATCAAATGCAGAAACATTTTTTCCCTATCACCCAATTACATGTTTTACAGAGCCTGTTTTTCTTTAATCTGGATATAACTTTTTGTTTAGGAATAAAGATTTCCAAGAAGTGACGTTGGAGAAGGACGGCCAAGTGGTTTTACAGTTTGCATTAGCTTATGGCTTCCGAAACATTCAGAACCTTGTCCAGAAGCTGAAAAGAGGACGGTGTACCTACCACTATGTGGAGGTTATGGCTTGTCCCTCAGGTATTTTCCAGTTCTCAGAATCATACATTTGTTAAATATAGGCGATACGTCAACAAATTAAAAATACTGGGAAGTGATTGGATAAAATAGTGATTGTGCTTTGTTCGTTGAGAGTCCTAAAGGAATATTTTTGTCCTTTTCAGGTTGTTTGAATGGTGGTGGTCAGATCAAAGCAGGAGGAGAAGCCAGTAAGGACTTGCTGCAGAGAGTGGAGCAGTTGTATGAGTCTGTAAGAACTGAACATCCAGAGAATAGCAGTCAAGTACAGCAACTTTATGAACAATGGCTGGGGGGCAACAAGTCTACCAGGGCAGAGCAGGCTCTCCACACTCAGTACCATGCTGTTGAGAAGATAAACACAGGGCTGAACTTAAAGTGGTGAATGAGAGACACCATGGACTCTAATCTTGCTCGCACCGAGTGGCTTTTCCCCCCAATCGATAATACCAGAGATTTATCAAAAGAGTGAAAGGTGTCCAGATGACCAGCAATATGGGTTTAGAATATCTGTGACCTACCAGAGAGAAACAAAACCAATCTCCAGCAAATAAGGATGCTTGTATCTCTTCTGCACTATTTCATATCATAATATTTATACGTTGGTCTCTTTTTTTTCTGTTCCTTGAATCAGTAAGGTTCCTGATTGGAGAACACCAAAGTGGGATTTTCATTTACTATTTTGGAATCAGTTATACGGTGTGATCTATTTTTAAATGATTCAGCAATACCATAAATCATCTGTGTATTAAAAATCTGTTACTCCATTTGAATTATACTTTCCATTATTTGTTTGTTCAGAGTGTCAGAGGGGTACAAAACACATTGTGACCAACAGGTCTGCCGTAGCGATGGTCACTGTGCTAACTGAATGGGCACAAGATATGCCCACGAGGGATGGGCTGGCAAATACTCCTATGTAGTTCCAGCTTTGGACTAAATGTCTCTCCAGCCAGTAAGCGTCTTTCTGCTTGCAGATGTGTTTAAATAACTGTGTTGCGGGATGGAAACTCTCCCCGCAGCATAATCAAATCGCAGAGGCCTCTTTGACCCACAGCAATATTTAACATTATTACAGGAGAAAGTTGTTTTGTGTTCTCAGACACAAAGGGTGTCTAATGCAAAGCCCTTTCCTCCACGGCTATCGACCAGCACCTACCACAAAGCAGTCCGCCCATGCCCAAAGACCAGTGAAATGTGCAACCAGTACTCCAGCATGTCCTTTTGAAACTTACATTTCAATCGATAACCAGTCTTGGAAAAACTTGAAAAATTATTGGTTAAAAAGTTGTTCTATACACATTGTGTACTTTAATAAAGGCTCTCTTAGGAACAGAGGTTATGCTATTTTATAAAGCAAAGCCCTCTTGACTTCTAAAATACAAAGGATCTAAGCCGGGTGCTTATTTTACATGCAGTGCTTTAAGTTCTTATTCAATAATCTCTGTGAGTGCAAGTCTAGCTAGCTGTGTGCTTCCTGGGCAGCCTCTTTTAATCATTACTAGAGGTCTGTATTCTTTAGGCTTGTCAGAGTAATAGATTCTGTTTGAAAACATGTTCTTTAGCCCATGAATAACGCCTTACTCCAGTTCCAAACTATCTGGACTGAAAGTGACAGTTCCGGCACATACCTCCATATAATGTGTGTCTAGTGCTGAGGACGCACAAGATTTTCCTGTACCAAACTTGGATAAACAAATAATACAGTGAAATCACAATATGTGTGTAAACACCACTTTTCCCCAGACACAGTTGTCTTTCTGTCGTGCAATAATGAGTATTATTAAAATAGCTTGGTAATCCAAAATTACCTTTAAACAAGATATTAGATAGATATTAAACACTGGCCAGGTAGCATTTCTGAAAACAGCCTTTGTAAAATTTAGACTGTTGAAACGGTTGTACTGGTTTTTTTCTTCCTGTCTTGCCTCTGTCTAAGCAGTGTAAGAATAACACCGTGTTGTGGAAGCCATGACAACACAACTGCCTTTGGGCCCAAAGTGGGGTCTTCTAACAGGGAGCAATATGTTATGGAGTCAAATGTCAGGAACACCCTAAACCCAGGTAAAAAGCCTGGTGAATATGAGCCATATTGCAAAAGTTACACAAAAATAGCCAAACCGTGACCAAAGCTTGTTGGAATTTGGCAATTTGCCTTTCAATTCTTCACAAATCACCATTTAGTGAATTGCCCCTTAATGCTTTCAATTAAAATAATTGAATAATTTGTATAATACATTAGTATCTCGTTAATAAGAAATTGTTCAAGTGACAGGAGAGATTCCAATAATGAAGTTAACAAAACATGAATGCAATTCAATACAGAAGAGCAATATTGAAAAGACCCCCACCTTTAAATGTTTTGTACAAGCCCAACACTAGAAGAAGTCACTTTTAGATTATTAATGATGGGGGAAATATGTTTATGTTAACCAATAGAGCCACCTGTGATCACAGCTTCCAGGACAGCAGTAGCTGAGTGAATTAACTTATCATCAATACGGATTTGTACGATTGCTTACATTCCCAATCTTTATGGGGCAAGTTGTTTCCAACTGCGTAGAAGAGCAGTTAAAGGGATTCTACAGTGCCAGAAAAACAAAGCCATTTTCCTGGCACTACAGGTTTCTAAGGTGCCCCTCTCCTGCGGCACTGAAGGGGTTAAAAACACTTCAGTCACTTACCTGAATCCGGCCTGTGTCAGGCTCTGCCCACACTCCTCCCTCATCAACGGGGGAGACCTAGTGGCCGCGCAAATCTAACGCTGAAGGTCCTCATCCGTCCAGCGTCGGATACCAGACCGAACAGGAAGCCCTCTAGAGGCTGTTTGATAGACAGCCACTGTGGGCAGACTTAGAGCTGCAATGTAAACATTGCCGTTTCTATGAACTTCAATGTTTAACATTGCAGCACTAAGTTCAAAAGGGACACTGCACCCAGATCACTCCAATTAGCTAAAGTGGTATTCTACACAGTTTCCGTTTAAAAGATAGAAGGGAGAACCCAATGTACAACGCTACGGAATGTGATGGCGCTATATAAATAATAATAATGGAATAACATATTCAGAGCAAGAAAGATACCTCTTAAACATATTTTCAAACATTATTTTCATTACAGACAAAATGCAAGTGGAAGAGCATTTAAATTTAACTGTAGAAACAGACTTATCGCAAAACTGGAAAAACTGCAGAACTAAAGGATATTCAGCAATTCGATCATATGTGCAAAACAGAAGGCGCTATGATTATCTAGCCAGTGTCAGACGAAATCTGTGCTCAAATGCATGCAGGTAAGTGTTTCCCTTTGTTCTGTACTTGTTAAGGGCTTGTTCAGTGATTTTGGTTTTATTTTTTTCATTGAGACAATGGCCAGCGTAAGGCACAGCAATAGGAAACCTCTCCCCCACAATGTGATTAAATACAACTGTGCCCGAGCTCTCAAGGAACACGTCTGGCCATCTTTGCTGTCGGCCCCCACACCCCTATAATGTGAATTATGTGCAGTTGGGGTGCTATAATGTCCTGAAAAAGACATGGCCCAATAAATCAATAGGTGAAATTAAAAAACTGAAATCGACATGTCTGTAATTGGACCGTATAACTTCTCATTAATCCACTAAAGGTCTACATGGAATCATACTTGGGTACTCTTGGGCAGTAGGGACTTTACATTAGTGAGACCCACATGGTCTGTTACTTTCCTAATGAAAATGAAGCATTAGTGTGAAAATCACAAACAAAATAGAAATGAGTTTTAAAAAAGTTAAATACATTGAGAATCTACTTAGCACAAATATATACTTTTGTTTAGCAGTTTTGGATTCTGTGAATGGTTCATTCACTAAAGTGAGAATTCAAAGTTATCTTAAAGTAAATTTAAAATTTTAGGCCAAAGTAGCCAAACTGGAAAAATATCTCAACTTTTCCTATTTGTATAGTTTGGCCTGAATTTGGAAATTCACTGTGAATTCAAAATTTATTGAATAACCCCAACAGGTATCTAAGGCTAAACCTTTGCAATATTTGGTCTGCTGACAATAATTCACTCAATAAATATTTTATTCCGACTTATTACGGATACATAGCAACTGGATGGGTACATGTAAATAGAAACAGATATGTTACAGTGGAACTAACGTATAGAAAAGGTTCTAGAACGCTCTGTCACAAACACGGAATCTTGGAAAGGCCATGGTCATGAAAGGGTTAAACCCCTTTACTCTGTGTTAGCTGCAGCTTTATTCCTCTATCCTTGCATTGTGACTTCATTAATTATCTGCTTTGTGCAGCAGTTATGATGTCATGATGCTACAGCTGACATCACACTAGGTCTGTCCTTTTCACTTCATTCATTCAGAACATTCGAGGCAGACAGTGCAGCCATGAAGACTGTCCTGTTTTTTCTTTTCTTTTCATTATTAATTTCATCCTCTGGATATCTGAGACCATCGATTCTAGAAGTGAGTATATCCTACACACAGGTAGCTGCGATTTACACCATATTTCTAGAATAACTTCATTTCTATAACCCGTCTTCTAACCTGAGATCTGGGTTTATACACCAGCCCTGTACACAGTGTATAATGTGGGCTAGGGAGGAAATCTGTTCTTAATCTGACACTAAACTCTCCGCTCCCTGGCTGATCTATGATCTGATTGGCTGACGGTAACAAAGTATTAAGTCATATTTTAGCATTTCATTATACAGAAACCGTAATATCTCTACAGACAGTGAGCAGAGCTGATCTGAGTGTTCTTGGCTGCAATGGAGAAACTGCTCTCTCACCTTTGGCATTACAGCCATGTATAATATAGTGCCATTTATAGATAATAGCAATGTATCTATCTATAATGTGCTGATAAAATTACATTCTTAGTGACGTTTGCAGACGGTGTTTCTGTGCCTATAGTATACAGATATAAAAATCAAACTATGCCAAGCAGTGGGTAAGTGTTCGTCCCCATGTTAGCATTGTACGACGTGCACGGTGGGATCTAGCAATGGGCATCACATGGGAAGGACCAAATTAATTAACTGTATCGAATTTCTGGTAAAAGCACATATATTAATTAGTCATGGGCTTATACTCCCAGCATGGTTTGTAAATACCTTTTATTGGCTCTAATATTACACTGCCTTTATACAAGTCATCCACCTACCCATGTATTCTATCATTAGGGTTCATTACTTTATATGGATTTATAAATTACATATTTTTGTCTCTTTAGAGACTTTGCCTTTGAGCTGAAGGCAGCCCAAATTAAGTGTTATACTAGGACTCACCTAATAGATTTACCACTATGTTGGCAGCTGCATTAGAACTTTTTTTTGTCTAAGAATCTATTAACAACAAACTTTAAGACACTTTCACTTCCATATTTTTTTAGTCCACGAAAACCAACTTCTGCCGGTGGTTCTACCTGGTGGTTGGAAAAATGCTTAGCCTGGTGATTGGCTGTGGAGGGAACCAGGAGCTGGTTGATGATGGAAGAAGACGGGTATGTCGAGCCGTAACCTGACTAAACTTTGGAGTCTAAAAGCTACTTAATAAGTAAGAATTTTAAGCTTTTAGAGATTGGGGCTAGATAATTCAGTAATGCATGGACCATTTTGGCAGAATAATGCTCAGTGAATGGTGAATATATTTGAATTACAGAGACATTGTACCCAATAAATTTCTCCACATGAAGATACACAGCCTGGTCACTGACCATGGATGGATCCAGGAGCCAGTTTAAGATGGAAAACAATACATATGTGGAACTATCACCTGAGTAAACTTTGGGGTCTGACAGCTACTGAGTAAGAATGTTAAGCTTTTATGGTCTGGGGCTAATTAATTCAATCACACGTGGACCATATTGGCTAAAGAACACTCACTAAAACATGTTTATATCTGAATTGCAGAGTCATCGACCCAGTAGATTTCTCCACATAAAGATACACAGCCTGAAGACTGACCATGGATGGATTCAGGAACAGGTTGAAGATCTAAGAAAACACGTATGTGGAGCCATCACCTGAGTATCCATTGGGGTCTGACAGCTACTTACTGAGTAGGAAATTTAAACTTTTAGGCTTTGGGCTAATTATTAAGTCAATCAAACATGGACCATATTGGCTAAAGAACACTCAGTAAAACATGTTTATATTTGAATTGCAGAGTCATCATACACAATAGCATTCTGCACTACAAAAAAAACAAAATATATATATATATATATATATATATATATATATATACACTAAAAAAAAAGTATTCCCAGCCTGGAGACTGACAATGGATGGATCTAGGAGCCAGTGAAAGATGAAAGAAGACACGTATGTACAGCTAGGTAAGAGTTTGACAATTTTACATTTTGGGCCAATGAGTGCTGGCGCTGAGGGACCTCAGTGCTGGATTAAGGTAAGTGGTTAAAGGGTTATTTAACCCTTACATTGCCGCATGGGGGGGAGAGCAGAGGGACACTAAAGTGTTAGCAGTAAAGATTTGTATTCCTAACACTATAATGTTCCTTTAACATATTCTGCAATGGAAATAAAACGTACACGTAAATGAAGCCAATCAAAATTTGGTATTGAGGAAACGTAAAGATACGAAGGGCGTGCCTGATCTAGCTTACAGAATACAGTGAGTGGATTTAGTTACAAATGGCAACGTGCAGTATATTCTGATGGTGAGACATATACCGGGAGTTTTAAAGGGACACTATAGTCTCCAGAACAACTTCAGCTTAATGCAGTTGTTCCGGCCAGTATAATCATTCCCTGCAGGCATTTTCATGTAAACACTGCCTTTTCAGAGACGCTGAACTTTCCTCTTAGAGATGCACTGATTCAATGCATCTCTATGAGGAGGTACTGATTGGCCCTGCCCCCGTCCCACCTCCTTACTAATTTCAGCCAATCCAATGCTCTCCCTACTGAAAAGCATTGGATTGGCTAAAATCACGAATTCGGATGATGTCAGCAAGGAGGCGAGTCAGGGGCGGGGCCAGCGCAGAACGGAAATGAGGGTAGTTTTATTATTTTACAGGGGGGCTAAGGGGAGTGCAGCGGGGCAAACCACTTTAATGGTGGTTTTAACCCTATAGGGTCAGGAATACAGGTTTGTGTTTCTAAACCTAAAGTGTTTCTTTAAATGAGACTTTAAAAATAGAAACATGTTTTGCTTTGTCAGAATGGGAGTTGGATGTACTTTTTTCGAAAAATCATTGCTTTTATCCGAACTGTATATTTATATTATGGGTGTGTTTTATAGTGTGGATTTCTTACTAAAAGTCTGAGTGGTATCTCCATTATAGAAGCAAGTGTGACTTTGTACTGTTTTTTTTTTTTTTTTTACTTCAGACAATGTACCATCAGATGTCCTTCAAGAAACCCAAGTTTATTTGTTTAATGATAAATGTTGCAATGGCCCAAACTGTAAAAACAAAAACAAAAAAAACACAAAAACTATTAGCGGTGATTTGGACTATTGAGATTTTTTTCCTGGGGAAGGGGAAAAGGGAGGACTTTGCCCTTTGTATCTAACTGTATGATATCAGTTCTACCTTCTCTCCTCCCCTGGCTAATGGTAGCCTGGATTAGCTGTTGATGTAACTGGGCATGTCGAGATCTTGGAACGTTGTAGGAAATTGCCCCATCTGAGCATAAATCTCAGACATGCTCAGTCTGCTCCTAGAAAGGTTTTCTAACATCACCTGTTCACTTTTCTTTGGGATGTCTGAGCCTGTACACCATAGAAGAAAGGCATTGCTAACATCAGGGGATCATGATAACAGTATAGACATGAAATAAAGCAAACAGTGTGCTCCACTCCCACCAACTGCCTTTTGTGGAGGAGGGACTACTCCTTGGACTTTGAGTGTCAGAGTTACTGTCCACACCACTGCATATAAAGATTGAGAGTATATGTCGAGTGTATATGTATGTAACCTGTACTTGAATTGATGATCCAAGATTCTTGATCCTCTGAGAAATCTGATAGTTATTATGGAGTCTTTTGGATCAACAGCATATAAAGCTGTGTTTTCAGGGTTGAAGTTTATGGGCTTGAGTCTTTCTTCAACTAGATTAGTATGTAGGACTAATTAAAATCAGGCATATTCCCCGTTCAATAACTTAATTTAATTATTCAATACTAGAATATCAGACAGCCTAATTCAAAGTCTTCATAATAAAACCTCAAATCTAGTCCAAGGGTTCATTTGATCCCTAGCTTCTCAGGTGAACAGTGGGGGGAGGGGGGGGGCATCCGCCCCAGTGCTCCCCCCTTGGCTCCGCCACCGGTAGCAGCTTGTGGGGCCGGCCACGGGCGCATGGTGTGGCGGCTGACTTCATCTGGGCTGCTTCTGCATTCCCTATCCACTAAGTACCAGGGCGGGGTAAGTGGGGGCCTTCAGCGCAAGGCTAATCCTGGCCTGGGTCTGCTGGTGGAGGCTGCAGTGTGGTTACATGGATGGTGAGAGGGATGGGGTGATAGCTCATGCTACCGATTGTGAGACAGAGAAAGGCTCAAGGAGATGCCTAGCCTAGTGATGGTAGGAGGAGATGGGTTGTCTTATAGTGATGGTAGGAGGAGATGGGTTGTCTTATAGTGATGAGAGCGGGGCCAGTGCATAATGGTGATGGGAGAGAGATGGGGAGATTAACCATGAGCTGCCATCAGATATTGTGGTGTCGTTTATAAAACCACTGACAGATATACCCTCAACACAATCTCAACACAAGACATACCGACATATATACTGCTACATTCCCTCACATACGCACACTCTGCTAAACTGCCACACATACTCACACACACAGATACACATTGTGAGACATATAAATAAACACACTACCATGCACACAGATACACACTACCATGCCACAAATAGAGATACACTCCAAAAGCACACACAGACAGCACACTACGCAGATACACACTGTCAAATACACACTGCCAGACACACACAGTTACCCCACTGATGGCAGCCATGGAAATGCCTAAAGGAGATGTAAGAGAGTGGGTCTGATGCCTACTGGTGATAGGCGAGGGGATAGGTGATGTTTAATGGTGAATGAAGATCGGAGAGGGTGGAGGTGATGCCCAATGGTGATTGTTATCAACATAAGCATCACTCCCTCCCCCTCCCATCACCATTAGTCATCGCTCTCTCTCATCATTATTCATCAGTACTCTCCCTCTCACATCACTATTGGCCATCACCCACTCCCTCTCCCACCATCATTAAAGGGTCATTGTAAACACCATCACAACTTTGCATCATTGCGAAGTCGATGGTTAATAGAGTATTCTGTACTTGCTCTCAGGTGTGTGAGTGGCTTAGAACTACAGTGATTTGTGTAAATCACACAGCTATAAGCCGGATCCTCAGAACTATCTACAGAAACACAAGTAATGGATTCACAACTCCAGCAATTAAATAAAGAAGGAGTTTATTACCCCAGCACGTGAACTCGACAACATTTCAACCCATGGAAAAGATGTCTGTCAAGCCAGACTTGGCAAACACTCCTTCTGTGTGTTGAAACGTTGCTGGGTCCACGTGCTGGTGAATGAACTCCTTCTTTATTTAATTGCTGGTGTTGTGACTCCATTACTTGCTTCCTCCTAACCATCACTACTTGTGTGCAGGCGCTCCTTATTTGTTTTTTTCCTTAGAACTGTCAGACAACATTGATATCAGTAAACTGGAATTGATAGTTCCAGCTGTCTGATATCAACTCCTTCCCAATCGCCGCACGCACAACTTGGACTGAGCTCTCTCTCCTTCTGAGAGATTGAGAGCAGAGCTGTAGACCGTACATGTATGGACTGTAGCTCCACTGATTGCTGCATGCAACATTCATAATGGTACTGAGAGAGGGATGGGGTGATCAGGGCTGCCATCAGAACTCATACACAACACTGAGTGGACTCCCACACAACACACTCTCTACCAAATACATATACAAGCTTCCACGCACACAAACACATACATACATATATACCTGCAGAGACAATAACACCAAAACACACTGTGAGACACTAACACAAAATACATACTGCCACATACACACAAACACTCTGACAGTCGCATGCACATCTAAACACTGCCATACACATTCTTATACACAAATACACACTGCCAGACACATGTACAAATATACACTTACAGACACACATACAAATATACCCAGACGGCCCATTGATGGCAGCCCTGGAGATGCCGAATGAAAATGTGAGAGAGAGGGTCTGATGTCAGATTGTGATAGAGAAAGGAGGGGTGATGTCTAATGATGATCAGAGAGGGCGAGGTGACACCTAATGGTGATTATTATCAACATATGTATCACCCCTCCTCCTATTACCATTAGACTTCACTCTCTCCCATCATCAATTATCAACACCCCTCCTTCTCACATCCCTATTGGCCGTCACCCACTACCTCTCCCACCACGATTAAAGGATCAGTTTAAGCACCATCACAACTTTGCAACATAGATGGTGCCTAGAGGTCTGTAAGTGGTTTAGAACGTCATTGATTTCTTAAAATCACCCATCTTTAAGCCGGTCCCTCAGAGCTGCCAGTCGCCAGCTGGTACTCTAATTCCGGCCGCCTGATATCAAATTTGTCCATATTGGGCATATATAGACTCAGCTCTATCTCCTACCCAGAGATTGGGCCCACCTGTGCACTGCACATGCTCAGGCCATGGCTCAGCCAATATCTGCATGCAGCAATCATAATGAAGGTGGGAGAGGGATGAGGTGATCGGGGCTGCCATCAGAGCGTATACAACATCACTGACTGGACTCCTCTTGACACATTCTCCTAGACACATGCATACATAGTCTTCCATGTACACATACATACATACTCGCAGACACACACAAGCAGAAATACATACTGTGTGACACACAAATAAACACTGTGAGACATTCACAAATACACAATGTGATACAAATACACACTAAAATACTGCCATACACACAAACTCACACAGACATGAACTCTGACAGACGCACATTCTGATACACATTGCCAGACAGATACACACTAACAGACACACCCATACATAAACACACTGTCAGACAGATACACACTGCCAGACACACTCATACAGAAACACACAGATACGCTCCTGATGGCAGCCCTGGAGATTCCTAATGAAGGTGTGAAAGTGAGAAGGTGATGCCTATTGGTGATGTCTTATGGTGATGAGAGAATGCAGAGGTAATGTGTATTACCCTTCCCTCTCTCACCATCATTAGGCATCACCACCCCCCTCTTACATCACTCCTGGTCATTACCAACTTCTTCTCCCACCACCATTAAAGGGTCAGTCTAAGCACCATCACAACTTTGCGTCATTGCAGTGTTAATGGTGAATAGATTACCCTGAACTTGCTCTCAGCTCTTTGAGTAATTTAGAACTGCAGAGATTTGTAAAAATCACACAGTTATAAGCCAGCCCCTCAGAGATGTCAATCAGCAGTTTTTACTCTTAGTTCCAACTTCCTCATATCAATTTTGTCCACATTGTGCGCGTGGCTTGCTTATGTCGCGTTCAGAATTCGGACTGAGCTCTGTCTTCTTCCCAGAGATTGAGAGCCAACTTGCCATGCACAGACTATGGCTCAGCCAATTGCTGCACTTAGTAATCTTAATGAAAGTGGGAGAAGGATGGGATGATCAGGGCTGACATCAGAATGCATACAACACCACCGACTGGGACACTTTCTCCCAGACACATAGATATATAGTCTCCCATGTACACACACACACTTACATATATATTAACAGGCACACAAATACAGTTACACAATGTGAGACACACATGTACACACTGTGAGATGCACAGAAATACACTCTGTGAGACACATGCAACAACAAATATATATTGCAACGCACAGAGATACACACTGCAACATCACTCACAGATACACAGACTTACATAAAGACAGACACTGCCAGACACACATACATATAAATACTGGCAGATACACACTATTACACACACATACACACAGCCAGACATAACCACACAGACACACCCAGACACAGGAGATGTTTAATTAAACTGTGAGAGAGAGGGTCTGATGTCAGATGGTGATGGGAGAAAGGAGGGGTGATGTCTAATGGTGATCGGAGAGGGTGAGGGTGATGCCTAATAGAGAGTATTGTCATCATAGGTATCAACCCCTCCTCTGACCACCATTAGACTTCACTCTCTCCTATCATCATTATTTAACACCCCTCTCCTATCATCATTATTTAACACCCCACTACTGACCATCACCAACTTCCTCTCCCACCGTCATTAATGGATCAGTCTAAGCACCATCACAACTTTGCATCACTTCAATATTGATGATGCATAGAGTCTATCTCTGTGAGTGGCTTATATCTGCCATAAGCCAGCCCCACGGTTCTGTCAGTTGCAGCAATTGGAATTCTCAATACTGGCCGTCTGATATCATTGTACTCTACTTTGTGCATATGGCATGTATGAGCCGCAAGCACGTAGATTGTATGTATGAGCTGCAAGCAGAACTTGGACTAAGCTCTCATTACAGTGTTTGGAGGTGAGAAGAAATATGTCCTAACATGTTCACTGTACTTTGCACCAATACTATTTTATCTGAAGTAGGTCTGGTGCAGGGACTCACCTTCAATGTCAGTTTTCAGATCTTATCTTTTGAGATTTGGAATTCCACTGGCTGTTAGATTGACATCCTGGTAAGGAAAATCAAATTTGTCCAATTTGTGTCTGTGACGTCCATACGACACATCCAACTTGAACTGGGATCTCTCTCCTCTACCAAGATGTGCACACAGCCCAATTCATTAAACAGTGAGCTGGACTTTGTATAAACTGATAGCCATGGTGGTATGGTCGCTATCTGTATACAGAACAGTTCTGCTCATCATATGTGATGTTTGGAACTGATAATATTCTTATCCCATAAACCCAGGCTGGGTATAAAGCAAAATGAGATGCTCCTGATCGGAGCCTCTTCCTGCTCAAATAAGGGCCAGCCTGTAACTGCAGTCAGTCCCACTAAACCCAGCCTCTGCCGGGATCGTTCATGGTAAGTATTGCTTTTATTTAAATGTATTTATTTAAATTTATTATAATAATGATTTATTTCGGAGTTTATTTTTACAATATTAAAAGTTGGGGTAATTTTGGTGATATTATTTCCTTTTACTGCATTATCTATATCAGTGGTGTCAATGCAAATTTACCTGAGGACCTGTGGCAGAGGTGCCTTCTCATATGGAGTGCTGCTGATCTCTTCTTACAGATCCAACCTCACAGACACATATAGATCCATACTTCCAGAAACACACACAAATCCACAGTGACTGACAAACAGACGCACACCCAGATACACAGATAATCGGTGCCATATCATATAGACGCACACTCACAGATAAACTCATACATACAAACACTCATGGATACACACAGACGCAGATCCGTACTACCGGACACATTCACAGATTCCCAATGACACACACATACAAACACTCACAGACATTCACATACACACAGATCTCAGGGCACCACTCTGCAATGCTGGTCAGTGGGTTAGCAGTCAGCAGCTCAATTAAAAGACTGTCAGTTGCCAGGTGTCCAGTGTCTAACCAGACAGTCTGGAAATTGAGTTGCTGGCAGTTTATCTCCTACACTACGGGCCGCAAGAAGTTGATTGGGGACAACACGTGGTCCATGGGCCAGTGGTTTGAGACCCCTGTTTTATATAATGCAGTAAAGGGGGGGACATTTTCCACCTATGGTTTCTCTTTAATCAGCCATCACCCCTTTCTCTCCACTCACTATCCGGCTCCTCTCCTATATGTTAGTGATGGGAGTAAGAAAGGGTTTCATGGAGCCTAACGTTAGCGGTGCGAGAGGGAAGGCTGTCTAATAGTGATGGGAGAGGGAAGTCTTGATGCTTAATTTATGCTGAGAGATGGAGGGGGTGATGGAATAGGAAGGGCCGATGTCTAATGGTGATGGGAAGGAGAGTAATGCCTTGTGGTGATGGGAGAGAGATGGGATGCTGATGGATGATAGGAGAGGAAATGAGCTGTGTTTAATGGTGATGGGAGAAGGAGGAGGATACCACCCTCCTCTTCCATCACCACTTAGCACCACTCCCTTCCTCTCCCATATCCATTATGTGTCACCCTCCATCTCTCTTACATCACCATCAGGTGTTACACCCTCCCACTCCCATCACCATTAGGCATCCATCAGCCCCTCCCTTTCCCATCTCCATTAGACTCACCCCTCTATCTCATATCTACCATTTGTGGGATACTAAGGAAATACAGAAACTAATCCTGGTGGTGGAAAATGAAGGGGGTTGCCTTATGGTGATGGGAGGAGGAATTCATGGCTAATAATCATGGGAGAAGGAGGGGGCTGGTACCTTCTGGTGGAGAGAGAGGGAAGAGGTTTATTCCTAATGGTGATAGGAGAGGGATTATGCCTAATGGTGGTGTTAGAGGGAGGGGATGATAACCAGTTATAGTTGACGAGGGCCCTCCTTTTTGTATCATCCCACTCCATCTTCCATCACCATTAGTCGTCACCCCCTCTTTCTCCCATCACCATCAAGCATCACCCCCTCACCCTCCCATCAACATTAGGCCTACATCCTACACCTCACTCACCACTATTTGGCAGCCATTACTCCTTCCCTTTGCCATGAGAACTCGGCATCTCCCCCCTCCATCTCCAATCTGCCAACAGAGAAGAGAGCGAGGCTCAGGGAGAATGCTGTAGGCAGGAATAGAAATGGGTTTACTAGTGGTTTTAAAGGGGGAGAGGGTGATTCCGAACAGTGATGGGAGTGGGAGGGAATATAATTCCTAATAGTGAGGGTAGTGGGAGGCGAGATGCGCTATGGTGGTGCGAGAGGGATGATTGCTAATGATGATGGGAGTGGGAGGGAATATAATTCCAAATAGTGAGGGTAGTGGGAGGCGAGATGCGCTATGGTGGTGGGAGAGGGGTGATTGCTAATGGCGGTGGAGGTGGTGCCTAGTGACGAAGTGAGAAGGAGGTGGGGTGGTGCCTAGAGGTGATGGGAGAGGGTGATGCCAAGTGATGTTGGAAGATGGAGGAGGGTGATTCCTCATGGTGGTGTTTACATCATCATGAGGCATCACCCCTTCCTTCTCTCATCACCATAAGGCATCACCCTGCTAACTCCTATCACCATTAGGCATCACCAAACAGCAGTCTCCATTAGGCATCACAACAATCCCACCGCCATTGGGATTTACCACTTTCCTAACACTAATATTAGGCTAGCTTCTCTCTGTCCTACAATTAGCAGCATGAGCAGCCATTCTCACCTCCTCTTACCATCTACGTAACCATATAGCAGACTCCAGCACAGCCTCACGGCTGGCATCTTCCAAGCTCAAGCGGGTTTTTGCTTGCTCCCCCTGTTACCTGCTGGATAGCGAGTGCACGGGTGGTTCAGGTGGGGTTGGCTGTCGCGCTGTGCGAACCTGCAGCCAGTCCTGCAAGCTGTCACCAGTGGATCCAAGGGGGAGCACCAGGACAAATGCCCCCCTCCTCCCCCCCCCACACACCCGAGAAGCCAATAAGCGATTTGATGGCTAGGGAGGATCATGGCAAGTGCCATTTATTGTCTGGCCATTAGGGGAAATGGCTACAAATTGATTTTTTGCCTTCTTTTGGGTCAACATCATAAAAGAATGGGTTTCAAGGTTGAATTTAATGGACTCTAGTCTTTTTTCAACCTACACTACTCTGTAACTATACAAGCTGAATGGCAATCAATTGCTCAGAGCGCTGGGCTAACCAACCCTCTGGTTACAGTGTTTAGATAGCTAATTTAATTTAATGTATAGAAATCAAGTAATTGAACAGTGAATATAAATAAAAATCTCACTCACTGACACAGATACACAATTAGTCCACAAACATAGGCCACTGAGTCCTCTACTCCCTCCCAACCCCTTCCACCAGATGTTTTGTTTAGATGGTAAAAGGTAGTAATTTTACGGGCAGGTGTTGTGGATAGGAATAATGCTGCTTGCTTTACTTCCAAGATTTCCTCCGTGTTTGTGAGAGGTCCAGGTACTGTAACCCTGCTCTCTTGATGCTGAGAGTCAATGGGACCTCTAGAAGAGAAAGCAATGTCCATGCCTCTCTCCTTGGGTGTCCAGGATCAGATGTCCCTATGGAAAGTGAACAGGTGACATCAGAAAGCCCTTCTAGGAGCAGATAGGGCACATCTGAGGTGTAGAATCAGAAGGGGCACTTTTTGCAATTGTAACAAGATCTTGACATGCCCAGTTGTTCTTTACAGCTTGTCCAGACTGTCATCAGCCAAGGGTTGGGGAGGCTGGAAAACTGTTATCATTCCAGAGATACTACACAGCTTTTTTTTCAAAGTCTCACATTTTTATCAAGTCTAGATTTATGGGGTTTTTTCATGAACATTTTTCAGTCAAACGTCCCCAGAAAACACATTTTTTCATTTTCCCTAAACTACCCTCTCCTCACCATCTTTACTTTTAATATTGTTGAAAATTGCAAATAAACAACTTAAAAAACTAACTATGAACATCTCAGTAGTCCTCTCCACTGCCAACAGTTTGGGTTTTAAAAATTATTTTGCAACAAAAATTGGTGAAACACTGAACAAAGTACTGCTATGGATGAGCCTCTGTTGGAGTTCGTTGAAAGTCGATAAATGAAGTATCCACCCTGCAAACCGCGGATCAGAGAATTTCATCTTACAGTAAAAAGGTAGGTAGCCATATATTATTCTTAGAAACAGTTTGTAAGATTTTATTTTTACATCATATTTTTTTTTTAGTTTTCACTTTATTTGGTTAATCTTTTAATGGCTTTTATTTTCAATAGCAAATAAATGTGACATTTTTATTTAATAACGGGTTACTCCAACCAAAATCCAGTGTTTTCATAAAGCACTGGTTTTAGTGGGAGTAACCCTTTATGTGGATGTCCGCAACTGCCCCAAACGCCAAAATAAGTAAATAAATAAATCTATAAACTTAACCTTTTTCCTTCACCTTCTCTTTATACTACTTACATGTGTCAACCTTCAACAAAACCTTTGACGTTTTCCTGTTCTCTCTGACATATTAAATTCATGACATCATATTTACATTGCACTTCCAATGTTATAGATTTAGCATTACACGCAAGGGTTTGTTTATACTTTATTTGTCTCTTTGCAGTTAATTCAAGTATGAACCCCAGCACCGATCATCAATACTAATCTCATCCCGAATTATTCATCTAAAATGGACGTATTACAGGTTACAGATTTCTCCAAGTCTGACTTTTGTCTCAGCTACTGGTTTCCGACCGTTGGCTTCCTATTGGCGTCTATCGCTTTGTGGATTCTTATCAACATTGTGACTCTCGCAGCAACAGAGTATTAACTGTCTGATTCTATAATATTATACCTCCTAACAACTTCAAAAAAAAAATTATAAAAAAAAAAAATTTTGCTTAAAAAGTGCAGAATGTTACCCACAGAACCCCAGTCCGCCTCGCGTACAGGAAATAACAGGTGCCTTGACACTTATGTTTTCAGTATGCTACGGATCTGACGAGTTTCATGTGATTATATAAGTCAGCTGAACAGATTATTTTTGCATTCTTCGAAGCACCTTCCGTTGAACCTTTTATTTTTCACATTGTATTGTGATGTATAATTTCTATAATATTTAATAAATAAATAAAGTTATATTGGAATGAAATGTTAATTTTTCCTTTTCAAACACTGGACATCTGTAGCTGTATAAGAGAAAGATTAGAAATACAAGCAGTGTGTGCTTCGGAAATGTTCACTGTAGACATTTTCAATATTTGCTGTAGATACAATGGTCGGACGATCTGAGCATTGGAAGAGTTTATACTCTACTTACAGAATAGCAATATTCCTATAGACTTTAATGGAGGATTTCCTATTCAGTATGTAGATTGACCCCTTAAGGTCACAGCTTCAGAAGCTTGTCTTACACTTAAGCACACAAGCCATTTTTGCGTTTTGTGCTGTTTGTGTTCAAACACAATTTGCATCTCTATCATTTATTGCACCAACACATATTATATATTGTTTTTTAGAGGGCAAATGGGGCTTTAATTTGATGTCACATATACATAGATACATTCTCATTAATTATGAAAAAATACCAAAAAATGTAAAAGGTTTTGGCAATAATAGCGTGTGCATAATATGTCCAGCTTAGAAAAAGTAATTCAAAATAAATTCATTTATGTGTCTTCATTTATAGAGTACATCATATGTATCGGATTTCAGCTTATTTTGAAAGCTACAGGTAACAAAATACAATGACTAAAATAAAATTTCAATTTGCAACAATTTCAGAAGTTGGTATGTTTGTCTTGTAGGTTTAGTAGCAATCACAGAAAAAAAATGCCACACAAAAGTATATATTTATATAAAGTAGACATCACAGGCTATTTACGTAAGGTTAGTTTGACCCTTTTTACAGCCATTTCATGGCCAATCTCTGCTAAATATTGGAGTAAAATTGTGTTTTTTCTCTATTTTGGCATATACACATATAACAAGGTTTTTGTAATGTGTATTTCATAAAGCTGGTGTGTGCTATTCCTGCACAGAACTCCGTATTGTGTTCAGCTACATCTGCAGAGTATAACGATACCCCCATTGTATGTCTTTGGCACTTTTCTGTAAAGCTACAGTGTCATATAAGAGACAAGGCTATTTCAGTTTCTATAGTTAGAATTTTCATAGATGGATTTGACCGGCCTATGTCTCATTTTAGGGTATTATAGCAGTGTGACTGTTCAAATAACCCCACAAAGGGCTTTCATTTGATAAAGCAGACACCCCAGGGTATCATATATCGTGTATATTGTGTCTTAACTTGTCACCTTTTTTCACATATTTATGTCAATGTTTGTGGTGAGGGGGGGAAAATTGGCATTTTTTCCATATTAAGTATTTCTTACAGGTGATATGTACTACTGTCATGAAATCCCCCAAATTATGCTCCGTTACATCTTCTGAGTAAACCAATATGCCCAATGTATGACCTAGACACTATTTTGTGAAGTTACAGTGCTGTAAAAGAGACGTGATAAGTTCAGGTTTTTAAGTGTGAATTTTCATGGAGGGTTTTGATGCGTCCATGTCCCAATGTGGAGCACTTGAGCAGGCTACATATTACAACTAGACCGTAAAGGCATACCATTTCTTAAAGAAGACATCCCAGGGTTTTTGAAAAGGCATATTTTAAAACTTAGCGTAGGATCATTTTTCAGCTAGCTTGTACCAAGTGTAGTGGTAATTAGCATATATTCTGCCTTTTTGACACACAAAGGGAGTTGCACAGTATATTTTGCAAATTGTATGTGTGCTACGACTGTATGATACTTCATGTTGCTCAGCTATGTCGTCTGAGTACAGTAATACCCCTGTATGTACCTTTGCCAGGTATATGTGGACATTGAAGGGGCGCATTTGAGACACAGCCATTCTAGTTTTTTTCAAACTTTACATTTTTACGCTGTGTCAATACGCTATATAATCCAAATATCCCATAAAGGCATACCATTTCTTAAAGAAGACACCCCAAGGTATTCCAAAAGGCATATTTTGAACCTTAGCGTGGGATCATTTTTCCCCTAGCTTGTACCACGTGTAGTGGTAAATAAGCATTTTTTTTGCATGTTTGACACACAAAGTAAGTTTGCACAGTATATTGTGCAAACCTTATGTGTGCTATGACTGTATAATACTACATATGTTGCTCAGCTATGTCGTCTGAGTACAGAAATATCCCCGTTGTTCCTTTGCCAGGTATATGTGGATGTTGAAGGGGCACATTTGAGACGCAGCCATTCAGTTTTTTTCTAACTTTGAAGTTTTACGCTGTGTCCATGTTCCATTTTGGAGTAGTTTAGCTGGTTGGTTATTAAAACTTCCCCACAAACACATACTATTTATTAAAGAATACACCCTGAGGTAATTCAAAAGGCATATTTTGAACCTTAACGTGGGATAATTTTTTTCTCTAGTTTGTTCCAGGTGTGACGTCATGTTGAAGAGAGATAGAAGGGGGCGTGGCTTGTTTTGAGTTCGATCACTAGGCGCGAACTTTCAAACACATGCCCCTCCGCTCATTGGTCTATGAGTGGTATAAAGAAACCACTGGAGTCAGAGGACACCTGTATAGCCTCGGAAGAAGGCGCGTTTCTCAGTGCCAAAACACGTGTCAGGCAACAGGCAGTCAGGACAGATAGACGCTCGTGCGCCATCATTGTTATTAGCTAGTCAGTTAGAATTGGATTCATTTTCTCCACCGCAGCAAGCGTAAAGTGTGCTCTACTTGGGGATTTAATCTGGGATGCAAGGGATGGTGTAAGGGATGGCTTAAGTTGGTGATTCTCTCTCTATCCTCCCCCCTCTCTCAACATACACCTATATTTTTCTTGCAGAATTTAGTTGCAGCTATTTGCTTACAAGCTATACACTGTACACCAGCAAATGGATATAAGCTGTAGCAACTTTTTACCAATATAACCCAAGCTGTACTAGCAATTTTTCTACTTTCTACTTTGTAGCTTTTTGCAGTAGTATCCCTACTCAGTGATTACCTAACACTCCCTTCCTATTATGTAACTAATTGTTACACTTTGTTACTCTGTTAGACCTTACAAGTCTTTACTCAGAGATTTCAAGGCAGTGTGATACACGAGTATAGATGGTAATCTCCCCTTTTTTATAGCTACCAGTAGTTTACAACAACGATTCCAGCACCCATAATGGGATTTATCTCTATTTGAAGATACTTTCTATGCTTATTATAAGACATCTTCTAGATCTTTTTATGTCCCATTTAGGAGCATATATCCTATCTCTCCTTACTCAGTTATTATTATTTTATTTTGTTTTTTCTATTTTTGAGGATTTCTCTATTTTATTCTAGTGCTATTAAAAGCTAAGTTTTAGTATATACATACCCACTAGGGGGCGTCCAATTTCTATCAGACCCACTAGGTCTGTTTTTCTCTTCTTAGCACATTTATTTGCAATGTTGTTGCCCAAAATACTTCACAGTTACATTAAACCATACATTTATAAAAACATTAGCAGGTGTAC